ATTATTATTATTATTATTATTATTATTATTATTATTATTATTATTATTATTATTATTATTATTATTATTATTATTATTATTATTATTATTATTATTATTATTATTATTATTATTATTATTATTATTATTATTATTATTATTATTATTATTATTATTATTATTATTATTATTATTATTATTATTATTATTATTATTATTATTATTATTATTATTATTATTATTATTATTATTATTATTATTATTATTATTATTATTATTATTATTATTATTATTATTATTATTATTATTATTATTATTATTATTATTATTATTATTATTATTATTATTATTATTATTATTATTATTATTATTATTATTATTATTATTATTATTATTATTATTAAAGGTTCTGAAGAAATTTAATTCGATTTTGGAAGTATATGATATATATTAAAAATCGTTTGTAGTTATTAAGAAAGATGGCTTTTTTGGATTGATTTTATTACGAATATTTTCTTTTTGATTATAGAATATATCATAACAGTTCCCAATTATATATATTCATTATTAAATATAAACTATTTATTGAAAAGCTTAATATAAATACTAATAATAATAAGCCCTATCGTAAGTAAGTAAACTTAGTATTAATTCGAATTGATTGAACGACAAACCCGTATTTTTTAAATGTATAAAATAGGTTTATTACTTTAACTGCGTTTTTATTACAGTAAATACATTATATAAGGTCATTCGATTTATAATAATATATTTAAGTTAAGCTTGCTATTTTTTGTAAACAAAACATCTTTATAAAAAGGTTTATTTAAAGTTTTATTTTCATGTTTGAAAGAGGATATATAATTAATCTTAAGCTAATAGTAAATAATAAGGTTAATAATCGAGTAACAAGGTCATAATAATTTTACTTATTAAACAATTTTTCAAATAAATAAGTAAATTAGGCCGAGAAATCGTTTCACCATCTCCTTTTATTCCAAAAAATATAAAGCGCTTGATATAAAACGATGCCTTTAAAGCGCTTTTATTTGATAAATTTAACGTATTTTATATTGTTATTTATACGAAACGTGTAAAAATATCGACTTATTTAAAACTTTATATGCTTGTATTAAGCGATGTCAATGCTTAACGTTTATTTAACGTAAAAATATAATTTACGCTTCAAAACTTATTATTTAAGAATAGAATAATACGCTTTTATTTGGTATGGTTATAAACCGTATAATACGTAATATCTATATAGACCGTGTTCAAGCCTAAATTAAGGTAACCTTATTGTATTTAAAATACTGTTTAATAGAAATTTAGACTTACATAATCAAAACAAGTAATTTTTTTATCTATTTAAAAATATTTATCGGCAAATCGATACTTTTAACGATCTTTACGGTTTTAATAATATCCGTAATAAATCGGTACCTTGTCTTAGTATATTAAAAATATGAAAGCTTTATAACAGCTTGTTTAACTCGTATTCAAGTATTAAAACACTCTGTTTTAAAACCGTACATAATATTAAAAGCTGTGTTTATAACGATAAAGTGGTTGTTTTAGCGTATATCCCGTTATAAAAGGACGTTATTAAAGCTTTAATGATGTTAAATAAAAAATTTATTATAAGATATTATTTAGTACGATATAGTTAATCGTTCAATAAAATATTAACTTAAAAGGAAAACACGAAAAGTATTTTTTTAGTTATTTCAATGCTTTATATTATTAGTATTAATGTTGGAGCAGGCTTGACCGATCAATCGTAATACTCGAGTATGAGTCAAAGTCATCATATTGCTGATGGATTGGATTGGTAGGTCTAGCTGGACTTGCAGGTCTGGCTAAGTGTCCTCACAATCCGGTATCTAATGTCTTATCTAATCATACATGTAGATCTAGTATGGATGGTTTGAAGGTTGGAATCGCATGGATCCGAACATTAAAAAGTCAATCAAATCTTTATCTATAACAAAAATATTAAGGTCAGGGTTTATTCGTAAATAAACGAACTATTCTTTTAAATTATAAATAAAGATAATAAGTCCGGAGCTAAAAAGTTATCGATTAAAAGTAGTTAAAATCGCATGAGCGTAATCTTTATGCTTGAAAGAAAAGTTAAAGTTAATATTGACTTGGTTTAATTTATAAAAGATATTATTATAAAACGTAAAATTAACTATTGGTTTTTTTTTATAACGTTACAAGGATTTTTTTGTTTAAAGACGTAGTCAGAAACATATTCCAGCACTAGTTACTATTTTATTTAATATTTCTTAATCAAAAAGTAATTTTAACTACAACTAACCTTCCGGTTTTTTAAATAATAGCCGATATCATCCACTTATCGATTTATTTCTTATGATTAAAATAGCTTTGTTTACGGTCGATCCCGTTATAATCGAAGCATTAAATTAACTTTTAAAAGCGATTTTAAAAACTGCTAGCAATTTTTTAAAATACTTCTACGGCTTTTTAAAAAAGATTGATGACCTTTGCTTTCGTGGCTATTTTTACAGCTTTTTTTTAAATGATTCCGTAACTCTTACCGCAATTATTACTATTATTAGTAAGAAGTTAAATAACTGGCAGTTAAATCAATGAAGGAAAATAATTATGTTTCGCTTCTTAAGTTTTATTAGTTAAGATTTTTTCAGCCTAATATATATGGTTTTTAGAAATCATGATATATTGGGACTTAAAGCTGCGTGAATGTTTATAACAAATGTCGAGAAAAGCAGTACGTGTAACTATTTAAAAGTATTAAATCTAAATCGAAATATAATAAGCGATATTTTAACGTTATATACGATTTATTAACAGTTAGTATTTAATTATAAAAGCCTTGCCTTACTCTTTGTATTAAAGGAAACATAAAGCCTTTTAAACCGCAAAGATTTAATTAACTATAATACTTAAATAAATACGACAATAGATATTTTAAAATAAACTTACATTAGTTAATACTAACGATTTATAAGCTAACATTCGGCTTAATAGTTTAAATAATCGAAAAATATATAATCACTTTTTATAAGTTTAAAATAAATAAATAACTAAATAAATAAACTCGTATCAGAAAACAATTAAAATTACTTAAAAAATAAGATAATAACGATTAAAGATAATACTAAAAAGTTTATCAAAGATTCAAAGATCGTAAGCGAGATGTTACTACGTAGGATTATTATATATTTTATATTAAAAAGAAAAAGAAAAATTCGGTTTGAAAAGGGGTAAAGCCTCTTTTATATATAACTAAGTAATCTTATATAATCTTTTAAAGTAGCCGGATAACTATTATCAACACTTATTATTTACACTAATCAAAAGCCATCATTTACAGTGCTATAAGTGTGTTGTAAATGCCTTGGAGCTAGCGCTCCAGTGCATTTAGCCCCTAAAGCCACCTGAAACCTTGTCTAAGCCTGTTATAATCCTACCACTGTTATGATATCCAATACTCCCACTGAACAACCGTGAAAGAAATTAGTGACCCTTAAGAACAGTCCAATTTCGGTATGACTGGAGCGAGTCAAGAAGACACAGACTGAATGTTGTTTGACCACATTTCTAGGCCACAGGATGTTCAGACTGTTGAAAGCAGAGTGGTCGTCGTGTCAATGAATGAACAGGAGCTAGACGTTGACACTGCTACCTTCAGGATGAACCACAGCCAGCCCAAACTTTTTCTAAGGCCATTGAATGAGATGACAACCAGGTCTTCCAAGACAGTATTGAATCTGCGCTTCCCGTACCTAACATCCCACACGTTGGCCTCAAACCCATAACCACGTCACTGATGACGATTCTGCTTGCCCTTATCCTCAAACTTAGCTGCCTTTGCATACACACTTCCACGGCTTCCACAATACTGACAAATGCAAATCACGCTTGCATTGCCCACCCCATCTCTTATTAACCCCATGGGCGCAATTGGCTTCGCAATCGCTCTGCGACGAGTAACGGTTGCCACAAGCGCCGCATTGGCACTGCCAAGAAGTTTTTGAGAGTTTGCTTTCCAAGCGTAAGCATACGCCTCCCACGCCTTGCTCGCCCTCGCTGTCTTGCTCGCCCTCGCTGTCTTGCTCGCCCTCGCTGTCTTGCTGGCTCTTGTTGTCTTGTTCGCCGTCACTCTCGCACTCCCCTTCACATTCCAGTACCTGGTCGTATGTATACTTCTTGCCGCAAACTCCAGGACCGGCATCACCAGTTCGCCTGAACAAGGTGACGGCGCTATGGCGATTACTGCTGCTGCTTCTGCTCGTGGGGGTCGAGGAGGCGACGAGCACGAATGAGAGTCCAAGGAGTAGAATCTGAGGCACGGTAGGAGGGCGCATGTTTCGTGGAATGACGCTGTGGCTTCGGTCCCGTTTATTGGCGGTTCGGGATAGAGTGTGCTATCTTCAGAGGGTTTACTTGTGGGAGGGATGGGGCCATATTAACGGGGAGGGCAATCAGTCGGAAGTCCTCCTATATAACTGAGCTTGCTTGGTTTGTTTGATGCTGTGGCCTCACAGGGTGACCGGTTTACCGGCAACCGTGGCAAGAACAGCCAAGAACCTAACATATGGGTATTCAATCCTCCGTATATTTTTATCTTGAACTAGGGGTCAAAGAAAAGGTCGAACTTCAAATAAATTCCTTGGCGCAGGTCATAGGATGCCGATTACGCGTCCAGTCCTTGTGTAGACCGCCCCATCATCCTGGATAATCCTTCTCTCAACATGAAAAGTAGGACTCGTCCGGTTCATGTGCGCTTCGTGCTGTGGAATGGGGAGACGGCTTTTCTTTCGCCGGTGCCGTCTCAAGGGTCGCGCTATAAAAAGGATGGAGAATCGCCGGGGCGGTCCGGACATACGGAGTCAACGAAGAAGAGTCCTGTCGGTCCCAAGTGTGTAAATTGGCTCCGAGAAGGGATCTATCCCCTCCACGATAAGATTCCCACACTTACGACAAGCATGCTGAAAAGTACAGATGCTGCGTCTCTCGGCCAACTTGACATCTCAATCGAAATCTATGCCGTCCGGCCCATTCCCCATTCGAACACAGGTCGGGCATGAGGCACCTTTATCGATCTCCCGCTGAACCTGCTCCTCCGTGACATCAATGCCCGTGCCGCTCCTGATGGCCATCCGGAGAGTCCGGAGTTTTACATGGGCCATCCGCATGTGCCATCTCCAGACGCGCTTGCTGTCATACTCTTCTGACTCTCGGTCATCTGGTGCCAGGTAATCCCAGGTCGAGGCAGCGGCGGTGTCGAGCGCTGCATTGGCCAGTCTGTCCGCGTCCATGTTCTCGTCCCGGGGGACCTTCCAGAACAGCACTTTCAGCTTCCTCTCCTGGTCCAGCTTTCCCACCAGCGTGAGGATGCGACGGAATAGGTCTGCGTTCTGGACCGGGCTGCCCGAGGCGTCTCTATAGTCGTTCTCGGACCAGGTAAAGATCCACTCCGTCATGGCTTGGACCAGATAGTCGGAGTCGGACTTGATGACGAGCTTTTCGAGGGTCCTCCCGTCGGTGACGGAGCGGTTCCGTTCGCGGGCGACGTAGCTGTCAACTAGATGGAGCGCTCTCAACGCGGCGCAGAGCTCTGCCCGCTGCGAGGTGGCTTCGCGCGCGGGCAGGATTTCGGATTTGTTCCATCTGCTGTTGTCTTTGCCGAAATAGACGCCGAGGGATGCTCTTGCGTCAGCTCGCCCGTTGTTGCGACATGCGCCGTCGATGGCCACCATGATGTGATTGAAGGCGTTGAAGCCTGACCCATCAACCAGACACTGTGTCCATGGTCCAAGGCCGACCTCGATAGTCTCGTCGGCGTCCAGAGCTCTGCCGACGAGCTCGGCTGGAGAGAATCTTCTCGCCATGGCCCCTGCAGTAGGCGATGTGACTCCTGTGCAATGGGGAACTGAATGGTGGTGCCTTTCCTTCCCAGACTGCTGGACTTGTTCCGACTAATAGCTGGCGATAGCCAAATGATGATCACGTTTCATGACAAGTGAACAGAAGCTAGGCACCTGCAGTCATGGCTAATTGTAGGTGAATTGCGCGGGTGCGAATAGAGTCAGTGACAGTTCCGGACAATGCATGAGGCTAGGGCGTTTGCCATTTTGTCCACCCACAAATTTTGGGAGACTGACTCGCCAAGGTGATAGTCAGCCATGATCGAAGACACGAATTAGACGCCTAACTCCCCGCCACGAGGTGAGACAGAACGCCCGAAGTCAGTGGCGGCATCAAACCAATGTCCTATACTCGGTGATTTCCCCTGACTGCCGAGAAGTTTCGGATGACAAGGTCAACGTTCAGGGGTGATTATTGCGTCCCAACCAGTTCGAGGCGAGACCTTGACTTACGACCTCCCCAATTGCGGTCCAGGACAATACCCATACGATGTACAGTCGTTCTGAGCAGATTCGAAATATCGTATGGATGGTTGTAACGTTGGTTACATACTCTGTGGCTGTGTCATGGCAGGGGTACCTGCATACGGGGTTCAGCTGAGAAATCGAAGACATTGAGGTGCAGGACATTGAGGTGCAGAGGATGGCTGGGTGCAACTGTACCTTTCTCGACAAGCTCTGCGCAGCACGGGTTCTCAGCGACTTCTGTGATTGACTGTACCTCTCTCGTCGTTATCAAAGCCTCCGAATCCTGCACTTACTATTCGCCTCAACTACTTATGCGGTGTTGACGACAGTGGACACTGCGACACGTACCAATTGCCGTCAGGGACCCCGGCCGCTGCTCGACCAGCCAGCGAATCTGCGGAGTTCCGGATCCAGCAAGCACCCTGGTCATGAGGTTGACCAACTGCAGGACGCTCCGTTTCAAGGAGTTCGTCCAGGACATCCTGCCCTATGCGGTTCTGTCGCATATGTGGGACAAAGACGAATTGACATTCAGCGATGTGGACGGCGGAAACAGGATCAGGATGCAGAAGGTGGGGCTTGGGAAGATAATCAGAACGTGTCGGCTCGCGCTGGAGGAGGGCATCGACTACGCGTGGGTCGACACCTGCTGCATCGATAAGTCGAGCAGTGCTGAGCTGTCCGAGGCCATCAACTCCATGTTCGCGTGGTATCGCGACTCGGCTGTCTGTTATGCCTGGCTGTCTGATTTCAAGCAGGAGCCGGGCATGGTCTGGGAGAACATCATCGCGTCCTTCGATGCCCGGGAGGCGCTAGAAGAACGTGCAGGATTTCACAATGACCCGCCTCAACTGACCGTCGGGGAGGTCGAGGTGCGCGACCACATAAAGAAAGGGTTAGGGAGGTGCAAGTGGTTTTCTCGCGGCTGGACGTTGCAGGAGCCGTGGGCACCGCTTGAACCAGGAAACGGTTCGCCCTACTGACTCAGCAGGCTGGAACGGAACCCCACCACGTTCCATTTCCTGTCTCCCGTTTTCTGCCCGACCGACAGCCTCTTGCTTTCTTTGTACATGCGCGCAGGTCGCTACATCCAACACCACTCCTGGCCTGCCCCAAGCGACAGGGGACGTGCAATGGCCACGCAAAGAATTTCAGCTGCGTCACAATCACCACCAGACTAATTAGGCCACCAGGACAACGAAGGAAATTCACCCAGTCACTCTGGCAGGCGCGACCAGGTCACCCATTCCGTCCAAACTGACACCTGTCAAGCCAGTGAGTCTGTCAGGTCTGGTATGCCCCGTCACTACGCGTCCAAATATTACGCATAAAGACGCCCGTCGAGTGACTTGAGGGCGTTGCTAGCGGAGACGGCTTCGAGAGCGCGTCAGAGGCCGCCATCACGAGCACCTCATCCCAAGAGTCTTACGGCGCGTGACAGTACCCTCAGGTCCACGGAGCACGGCTCGTGGCACGTCACTAGAAGTCCACGGCGTTCGCAGCGGTCATCTACAGCGCGTGGCAGTCATCTTCCCCTTTACCAGAGAGCCTTCCTCAGCAGCCCTGGTCATTCGCGAACGAGGACGAGGAACGAGAGAAAAGGCGCGAGTTTTCACGATTTGGTTCACGTATGACCAGTCATCAGTCGCTGAATACTCAGTCAGCAGCAGTCCACAGCGCGTGGTACCCCGAACCACAGCGCGTGACACTACGAATCACAGCGCGCGTAGTTGTTCGTTACAAGCATGGTGTATAAGCCCGAACCAAGCCCTAAGCCCTTTTAAGGGAGGCATAGAGCACGGGAAATCCTCACGACCTGTTTGATTAGCAGCAGGCACCGAAGCGCGAGCCTTCGCGGTTATCAGATGACGCGAGGGATTGGTATCCCTACTGCAGTAGGTGATGACCACTTGGCCATGGCAGAAGATAGTTCAGGGCTCCCAGGCTCCTTTAGACATACATACATGGAGCTCGTATTAATCCTGATGGCTTGAGACATCAGACCACTGCCGACACCTGCCCATATAGGGATCACACTAGGTCCATCTAGCCAGATCACATACATCCGAATACATCACTTTCATCCCTTCCAGAGCTCAGCAGCATCCAGGTCAGTGTGCGACAGTTATGAGCCCGGTAGCGGCGCAATGGCCCTTTCCTGATCTGCTTGACCACATGCTGACTTGGATCTCTGCAGTTCGTCCATTCATTCGATCACCAGAACACTGATTTCTTGAGTCAATCATCGTCATCATGTCTACCCCCTCGAAAGCTCGTCTACGCAGAGCTAGGCTCACGTCGCCAAGCTCACAATGATCCCCTAATCCTGGCCGACTGGTTCATGTATCTCAAGCACTTCTGTCGATTTCGAGGCTTGTGGGAGCAGGTCAATCCAGGTCCAACCATCCCAGAGGGAGGTCAGACCTTTCGCGAGCAGACGACAGCTCCCCAGCCGAGCACGAGCGTCAGTTTCAGGCTACCTGTCGCTCCTACACTCGAGCGAATTACCCAGCAAGAGAACGAGCGCCGCGCGAGCGAACGAGAGAGATTGTACGAGCAGTGGGAGAGTGCTCCAGAGGATACGCGCGGTGACGAGCCTCCACCAGCCACGATGGCAACCAAGAACGAGCTGGAGGCTCAGCTCGAGCAGGCGCCTAAAGGCTACCCGGTGCTTGTGGCGGAGAGCTCTTCTTTCCAACTACACGCGACTCAGCCAGGTGTGAAAGTTCATTGTGAATACCGTGGAGTCAAGTCTCTGAGCTCCATCACGACGGAGCTCGAGTACACGGAGCGTGACGCGACCATTCGGGAGATCGTCACACTCCTCAGAGACCGCGTATCTCTTCCACGGAACCCACGAATCGCAGAGAGTACGTTGCCGCTCTGAACGAAGCTCAAGGTGGCGGGTGTCAACCCGTTGTTGTGGGACGCCCAGTGGTATAACGCGTATATGCGTGCTCGCACACTAGGGCTCTGGAGATCCAAGGGATCATCGGAGTGCAATCGTTCCTCAAAGCTGCAAGCAAAACGATCGCGCCAACGTGAGCCCATCACCAATGGCCTGGCCTAGTCAGAGCCGAAGCCCTGGGAGAGCCATACATGCCGCAGGAAGCGCTCGGCAAATGGCTAGGAGGCATGCCCCGCCAGCAGGAGCAAGAATCAGACATGGATGGGAGCTTCGCGGTAACGCTCGGAGGCCGCTCACGGGACAAGAAGCCCGGGGAACCAGAAGGTTACACGTGCCCTTGTATAAAAGATGGCGGCGCCTCCAAGCGTCACAAATGGCCCCTTAAGAGCTGTAACAACGTCCAGCTGGCTCTCTAGGGCAAGACTTCCCCAAAGCGCAAGTTAGCCAGACCTCCGAGCGAGAAAGAGCTCCAGGAAACTCGGGATCGCTGCCAGTACGCGAAATGAAGGCAGCTTCGCACCACGGAGCTATATGCGGCGGATGGCATGGTCCAACATACGCGTGAAAGGGCTGGTCGAAGGGGAAGACCAGGGAGCATGATCACTCGAGCCCGACTGTACAAGATCACCTCCATATATTCATCAGATCTCTGTTCCGAAAGCCTATACTGGACGCAGAGGAAGATAGGACAACAGAGGGCGCTGCCAGGACCGCGTGTGAAGTTGGCGCTCTCAATCAGTCACATCGACAACCTGATACCGTGTCTGCATCCTTCGTATCGTGATCAGCCGGCATCATATAACATGTAGTCTGGCCTTTCGCCAAGGTAGGGGAGTTGGCAAGAGGCCACGCAGATGACTCGTGCCGGTTAGTCTTGTACACCGAGATCCGTAACCCGACAAGGTCCAGCCTTGCCCCGAACGGTGTTCCTACCTCATCACCACTCATACGTTGCCCTTGTGCCTCGCCACCTTGGACAGTCTCTTCAGGCAGCTGTGATGTAGGTAAGAACATCTAAGACAGTATCTGCAAATATCGCCATACTAGTGCTGCTATCAGCCATGGTTATTACCTAGTAGAGCATGTAGTTAAAGACTCGTAGGCCTGTCTATCTGTCAGGCGTGAAGGGAGGCCCAGTAGTCGCCGTCGAGCCAAACCCCGATCATGTCACGAGCACCACAAGTGCATCAAGCCGTCAAGGCTCAAGTCACAAAAGGTACATCAATTAAAGAAATGCCTACATAGTACGCGTTGCCGAACCCTTCCATGTAAATAGCGCAGAAATACTGTATCAACGCCACTAGGTGATAACCCCTTCACCTCTCATTAACTGACTCGACGGCTTGGTCATGGTCTAAACACACAATGCTTACTTCATACTAATACTTCGAAATAGTTGATATGAATGGAGGTTTATGGCGGTTCAATTTACGTTTGGTTGCTACTAATGCTGCATATGTATCCCTTGAACAGATGCTATGGTTTGGGATCTATACGATTCCCACACTTGCTTTCCCTGAGTTATCGTCATTTCTCTCGGATTACTGGGCCAGAGTTGCCATCTCCACATCTATTTCCTTCTGATAGCGACAGTGTCCCGAGCGTTTTCTCCATCCTCCCACCTTTATTACTACCTCCCTGTGCAACGATTCCACGTTATCCAAACATGCGAACCAGATGGATGACACCAAAGTGTCCACACCCCTGTCTGTCTGTGCAGCCCCCCTGTTCACACCCCTGCCTGCATCCTGCTCCCTTTGCTTGCATCCTCTGCCCCCCCTGCTCCATCCTGCTTGGTCGACCAACAGACTCTAGTCTAGTAATCCGAATCAGAATCATGGCTGAAGTAACTGCGGTTGCCTGCCTTGTAGCTCTAGTAGGCGGGTTGAGATGACATAGGACCAGCATGCGGTTAATATCGGGAGCCCCGGTAAGCCGACACCTGGAGCTGGTGCAGCTTAAAGGTGGACGGCGGGATAGTGCAAGACTCGGCACCAAAAAGGCTTTAATACAGAGATAATAAAGCGCTTCCTGGCACTGTGGACTAGCTTGCTGCCCCGACCATGAGATGGCACTTCCCATACAGATCGACCTGTCAAGTTTCGCAAAGGGACCAGCGAAGGAAGAGAAGGTATATCATGCAACAGAATAAACGGATCTGAAGCCGCAACAGGCCACTGGCGTATGGGCAGGCGCTTTGGAGCAGAGTTAAGCGACAGCCACGTTGCGTAGCCTACGTTCTAAGTACTGTCGATTTGTGTTGAATACACGGATGTTGATTGATTCTATTGCTTGTTCTGCTCTGCGTGCAAAGATTGATTATCTGTCTTCTTGGTGGGTCAGATGCCCTGTGCGTCTCTGCCCGCCCCACTAGAGATCTTCCGGTGTCTATCTCCGGCTCCCATTCAACAATTTGAGCGCAACTTGGTACCATCCCCCCCCCCTACATCTCGGACACCCCCACATCTCGTACAGCAAAACCCCATCACCACCACCTAAACCCTATATGTTCACTTATACGCTTTCAGCCCAATATTAAGCTGTTCAGAATGTATTCAGTACTCTAGATAGCCTTGATCTTAAGGTTTAATCCAATGTAAAATTTACCCTGCGCAGCGTACGTGATTGGCTGTTTATTACCCCGCGTTTCTTATCCCGAATAGAGATTTTTGGGTGCTAGAGCCTCGTCTGAAGCCTTGGTCTATATGCACCGCAGCATCGTATAACCGCTTAAAATGCCTTCCAAACCGTATACAGAGGATCAGACGGCAAATATTATCTCAGATATTATGGATGAGGGCCTCTCGCTGAAAAAAAGCGCTCAAAAACACGGCGTCCCTGTTACAACGCTCTCTAACCAACTTAACGGCAAGCCCTCAAAAGGTAAAGGCTATATACACCAACAGAGACTCTCTCCTGTTCAAAAAAGCACTATAGTCAACTAGAGTTTGCGTCAGAAGAAGCTAGGACTAGCCTCTTCGCACTCCCTGGTGCGTGAGATCATTGTGAAAGTGTTGAAAAAGGACGGAGATTCAGGCCCCCTTGAAGACCACTTCATACCCGGCTTCAAGCGCTATAACCCCCAAATAAAGACCAAAGTTGGCAAAAAGATAGAATCAGCGCGCTTTAAGAGCCTTATGTCAAAAGTAGTTAACTGGTTCTTTAAAATCCTAGAGGATTACGGTTGGGTCAAGCCAGAAAACACATATAATATCAATAAGGGCGGCATCATGGCGGGTTTTGGTAACTATAACTTACCCTTTGAATCTGTAGAAATTCTAATTAAGTTTAAAAGCATCGATTCTTTAGTTTTAGGTAGTTTTGTTACTAAAAAGGCCTTCTTAAAAAGTCCTTAAAGCCGTAACTGGACCTCCTTTATTGAGGCCATCTCTGCAACTGGAAAAATTCTCAAACCAGGTATTATCTTCAAGGGAAAGGACCTCCAGGCCCAGTGGTTCATCGAGGAGTTTCAAAAGACCGCCAATTGGCATTATATATGCTCAGAAAACGGCTGGATTTTAAATAACATAGCCTGCCAGTAGCTAGAAGATATCTTCATCTCGCAAGTAGACAAAATATGAGGAAAAGATCAGGCTGAGCCTATTCTTTCAATACTAGATGGCCATGATAGCCATACCTCCGTACGTATATGATTTTCTTATTTAATATAGACTTCCTTTATTTCTTTCCCGATTTAATAAGGGCTAATACGTATTGTAAGGACGAATTCTCGACCATCCGTTATTTTGCCAATATATTGTTCTGTTTCTTCCTTGCACATATTAGTCACAGTATGCAACCCCTAGATAACGGGCCCTATAACGCCATGAAGGCTTACTACCAGAAATTCCTTTTTCAGCTAAATTCTCTGATAGATGCCTCGTCTGTTAATAAGATCAACTTTATTTGGTGCTATAGCTGTGACGGCCTGCACAGACCTTCCCACATGACAAGTGGATACTTTCCAATAGAGGAAGGATCTGACCAGAGGATCCCCTTAAAGGGGCAACCTCCCACTGTATCTATCTCTCTCTCTCTCTTCCTTTCCTCTCTAGTCTTGATATTCTCGTTAATAGAGTAATAGCTGCTTGCTGCCGGCCTTGTCCCAGCTCCTCGGTAAGCTCGCCGTGACAATAGCCAGGCCAGAACTGCTGCTCTTACTAAGGCAAACATCCTCTCTAGCTTCAGAACAACTGGATGTTATCCTATCAGCCGCAAGAAGTGCTTAGCGCACCCAGAAATCCAGGAAGAGAAGAAGAAGACCTCTGAGCCTGAGACCCCTAAAAGCTCTGAACTAGAGGACCAACGGACCTAGAGGCTGATCTGGAGCGGCTACGGCCAAAGAAGCGGCAGAAGATCCCTAATCCTAATAGTAAGTTCATAACAGTCACGGAGGTACTAAGTACGGGTGGTACCATCACCCCTGGTGTCTCTGCGGATGGACCAGAAGTTGTGGTTGATAATGACGAGGAAGAAGAAGCAGAAGACGAAGACTCGGCTGAAGAGGCCGCTTCGGAGTCCATACAGGAGCCTAGGCAGACCCGTTTAGTGCGATTCATTCGGACGCCCACTAGATATTACAAATGATCAGCTTCAGCGCTCTTGAATGATAATATTGCTGGATTTCTCTGACCTGAATGACTTCCTTGACATATGGGTGAATAAGGGGGTGTTTTGGTGGTGGTGGTGGGGTTTTGCTGTACGAGATGTGGGGGGAGTGTGATGGTATTAAAGGGTCGTTGTCCTTGCTAGACAGCAACTCCTCTTTGTCTTCTTTAATATATCCCTCTAGGGTTATTAACTCGTTACCACTCCCCACTTTGCTGGCAAGTGAACTAGCGCTTCCATCGTTCTCGGCTACGAGAGGCATATCGGTTCGAACGTCGGGATGTTCAGTATTATGAGCAAAGACAAGACGCTATAAAGATCTTATAGCCTGCGCGTCAGTGATTGCAATGTCATAAACGGCGGTTATTTATAATCTTGAGGGACGATTGGCTCCACACAAGTGGTGTCTTGCTCGGTCTACGGACATGAGATGGTAGGTGGTGGATGGATCTTGTCGCGATGTTTGGCAGCCTGATTGGGACGGCGCTAAGCCACGTGCAGCCTCTCGTTCCCCGCGGCAGGAACGCTGTGGCTCCTCAACCCATTTTCCAGGCACAATCACAGACCAGGATACAAGGTACCTTTGAGCCCAACTGGTAACCGTTTGTACCAAATGTGTACTCAACTGGGATGATAGCTACTTCTGGGATGGGGACACCACCCATCCTTTCTTTCAACTAAGCAACTTCCAGAATCCAGACCAATATCCACCATTCGTGACCCTGGTCCTGATTCTGGAAACCACTACCCACAAGGTACAACGCCACCTCGGGTATGTGTGGCACTTATCTTGCTATCCAGTCATCAGCCACAACGCCACACCTCCCTGAATCAAATGTGACCTCCCGTGGGGTTGGTCGTTCTGTCGCTCGCCTGAAACCGACCATCAATATCACACAACGCGCCGAATCAAACTACGCTCTTAGCCTCTACACGGAAACGATGGCCACGTCCTCTCAACGAGCAGCAGGAGTTGAAGCCTTCCAACGCCCGCAGTACAGCAGACACCAGCAGGCCCCTGTGCTACGCCGTCGCTATCCGCCTCAAGTTCCCCTCTCTGCCATGCAAGCGTAGGAACAGCTGTAGAATCGGGTGCTTTCCCACCCTATTCCCGGAGTTGTGAGAAAACACCTTCAAGCGGATCAACTTCGGCCCTATGCTACACGAGACATCACCTGGGTCAAGGTACAAGGCATTATATTTGCCAGTGTCTACCGGCCATGTGACAACCCACAGGAAGTGGATGATATTCTGGAAGTATGGACTCCACCTTTTGGCTGCGTTATAGCTGGAGATTTCAATGCTGGCGACACATCCTGAGACTCGAGCAATCCAGGATATCATGGTGGTGTCATACTTGCACAGACTATGGCAGACCACGGACTGGATCTGATTTCTGAACCAGATGTCCCAACATATGATGACGGGAATGTACTAGATCTGGTGTTCTCAGATGTCCCCATGGCTGAAGCCTCAGTCAATGATACACTTCAGTGCACCTCAGATCATAAGACATTACGAATAGTCATTCCAATTCAGGGAGATTGGGACCGAGTTCCTAAGGCCAATCATTGGATAGTACCGGACGATAAACTATAAGAGCTGGCAGACAATGTCCAAACCAGGATTCATGAACTCCCCCGGCTGGGTGTATCCCCTGGCCAGGTGGATACCTTTACACAAAGCTTGATCAATATGATTCAAGGCTGTATCAGGACAGTGGGCAAAAAGCCCCGTCAATCTAGGCCCACTGCTTGGTGGAATAATGACTGCAAAGCAGCTATTCAGACATACAGGGCCCTTTCTAAACAGACCACAAGCCAAGAAGGGCAAAATTCAGCCCGACAGGAATTTCGCTGTGTGATCCGAAAAGCTAAGAGAGAGTACTGGCAGACTCTAATTGATTCAGCGACTGAACCAAAAGACCTGTACAGAATTGTTTCCTGGCACAAGCTGTCAGCAGGATTACGTTCCCCCCCAATCATCATAGGGGACCAAATCTTTGAGTCACAAGAGAGCAAGGCAAATGCACTACGCTTAGCCACGCTTGAACGAAGTACCCCAGACAACGATATCATCAACCCCTGGTCTGCTCAGATCACACAAGCCAAGCCACACATCCCCCTTGAATACCATATTGGACTAGAAGAGGCTGAAGGGTGCACTATAGGGACCAAGAGCAACTCCCCAGGAATAGACACCCTCACAGTACAGATTCTGAAAGCTTGCTGGCCAGTCATTGGGGAGCATATCAGAGCCCTTTTCCAGACCTGTCTACAGATTGGACACCACCCTAAACCATTCAAAGTAGCTGAGATAGTGATGATCCCAAAGCCAGGCAAGAAAGACTACTCTAACCCCAGGGCCTACAGACCAATATCGTTATTATCATGTCTTGGCAAAGGCCTAGAACGACTCATTACAAAAAGAATTGCCTGGTTTGTCATTAAACTCGGAATTCTAGCTCCACAACATTTTGGAGCTCTGCCAAAGCGCTCTGCCGCCGACTTGGTAGCTGCACTCATACACGATATTGAGCAGGCCCTTGACCAAGGCCTGGTTGCAACGGTAGTCATAGCAGATATGACAGGGGCCTTCGACGCTGCCCTAATGGGACGGCTGGTGGTTCGCATGAGAGAACAGGGCTGGCCAGACTTTCTCATAAGATGGGTCCAGTCATTCATGTCTGAACGGTCCGTAAGAGTTCGGTTTGAAGGTATTATGACTGACATAAAAGCTCTCACTTGTGGGCTACCACAAGGCTCACCAGCTTCTCCAATCCTTTATATGCTGTATACAGAGTCAATCTGTGCCCGACTCGGTATGAAAAGAAGACGCTTTGGATATGCAGACGACCTAGCGACTCTCTGTATTGGAAAGAACCTTAAGGAAATAACTACAGAGGCTTCTGAAAACCTTCATTTGCTCAACCAATAGGGACACAATAATGCTATTGAGTTTGACCCCGACAAAACCGAGATCATACACTTCTCACGGAAAAAGAACTCAGACAATCCTCCGGTCCGCCACGGGACAATAAACAGAACAGCAAAAAACTCCATGCGATGGCTGGGTGTCTTCTTGGATAGAAAACTGAACTTCAAAGATCACGTTTCCTACTGGACCAAGAAAGCTAGTAGGGTAACAAACCACCTTCGAGGACTATGCAACACAGTCAAAGGACTTCCAGTAAAGTCAACCAAAAGGGCTGTGAAAACTTGTGTTATTCCTATTCTTACATATGGCCTGGAGGCCTGGTACCCAGGAATAGAAAAAATTAGGAGCTTAGGTGGGACATCAGCATGTCGTATTAAAGGGCTTCTTAGAACGATAGATGCTGTACTACGAACGGCAATCAGAGCTATCTTGCCAGTCTGGAAAACACACCCTGGACATATCCTACACTTTGAATCATAGATTCCTCCAGCAGGAATTCTTACAGAGTCAATAAGAAGACGTCACGGCCTCCGACTCGGACGAGTAGATCAGAGACACCCTCTTGTTGTCAGGCTCCAAATACAAGCTCGCAAAGAACCAACAAGGCTACAAAGGAGCTTCTAACTAGTCCCTGACTTCCAGAGACCAATACTCACCAAATCATTATGGAAGAAGCCCCCAGTCCATAAAGACAAAGACAAAAAAATAGAGCTCTTTAAGCAATGGCTACAGGAAAGAAATGCGAACACTGACCTTGTCATCTATTCAGATAGATCACAATTGGACGACCAAGGCATAACCCGCACTGGATGGGGCTATACCATCAGGAAAGGCGGCACTACACAAGAAGTATACCAGGGAAGGGACAGACTTCTACAAGCAGAAGTAGTGGATACTGAAGTCCATGGTGCTCTCCAAGGTCTTGCAGCAGCCAGGGCAATTGGACACGGAAAACAGCTATATGTCTGCCTGGACAACACATCAGTGGTGGATGGGCTCAATGGGACTCCACCCGAGACATCACAGAAAAGTTTTCTGCGATTCCCAGAACTCGCCACAGCACACACTCCTAGAGTGACCGTCAAGTGGATTCCTGGACACAGAGATATTGATGGTAACAAAGCTGCCAATATATTAGCAAAAGAGGGTGCTATGCTAGAAACAGACATAACAAACCTTCCTATAATCTCTTGGGTCAAGAGAGATCTCAAGAGAAAGGGCAAGAAAGAGTTCAACCAATGGTGAAAAGACCAATCAGAACCTAGATATCAAGAAATATACTGACATGCAATAACTAAAAGAGGCCTTATATCCTTTAAGAGGAGCACTCTACACAGACTTCTAGCGGCCAGATCTGGACATGGCGACTTTGCCAGATACCACGAACGCTTTGGGCATACAGACTCGAACAACCACTGCAGCTGTGGTAAAAAGAAAACACCACAACATATTTTCTTTTGTAAGAGGCTAGGAAAAAATCGGTTATTGCCTAGGTACTCGCTTAGGACAGCCTGTTTACAATACTTAGGAGAGAGGAGCACAGAATGGGCAAAATTCGTAGAGAAGAGCAAGTTCTTTTTAATAATCTGTCCCTAATAGATAACTTTTCTTAAAGGACCAGATGGATGACCCCAAGGTCATACCGCCACAACAACGGGGATGGGCCCGTGAGCGGGACTGACTGTACTTATTATCTTGAGACCTTCACAACCCTGCGATGCAGAGGCTCTGGGAGGCGTGGTCTGCACTACTGAGGAGCTACCCCCCACGTTAAATACAAAACAAACAAACAAACAAACAAACAATTGTTGCTTCAACACCATGTTTTGACTTGGACTCTTCTAACAACAGAACTCTTGCGACTGCCCAATAGCACAGTGCCACAAGTGGCTCAGCAACTGCAGTAGTCCACAGCAAAGCGTACCGCTTTTGGTAGATGTTAAACCAAGGTCACCAGACATATGCAGGAGTTAATCGCATCGAGTCGAGTCAATTTCTACGACAGCAAGTGGAACTATTTCGGGTCAAAGACGCAGTTGTCGTCGATACTGTCCTGGATCACCACTATCAACTCGAGCGTCTTGAAAGGGGGCGCTTTGAACGAAGTCTTGATGGGCCGGCGGATGTCGTGGGCGTCTAGCCGTCAGACCACGAGGGTCGAGGACATAGCATACTGCCTCCTCGGCATCTTCGATATCAACATGCCGTTGCTGTACGGGGAGGGCACAAAAGCCTTCACTCGGTTACAAGAAGAGATCATCAGATCAAGTCACGATCTCTCAATCTTCGCTTGGACGGCATATGCCGCAGACAAGAGAGCCTTTCGGGGCCTGTGGGCCAGCTCCCCGGCAGAGTTCAGGGTATGCCATACGCTCGTCAAGCCTTCCTTCAAGTGGGTTGATGGTGGTGAATACACCATGACGAGCCGGGGCCTCCGGACAACCGGCATGATCAGAATAGGCAGAGGTGCGGCGGGAGAAGCTGGCAGCTACTTCCTGCCTCTCAACTGCGTCGACGCGCGCCAGACGAAGCACATTCGGTTTGTGTCGTTGCGTCACTATGGCCCTAACCTTTTCGCCAGGAGAAAGCCGTGTTCGGACAGGACAGTCTTGGATCTAGACGTGTATTCGGCGGCAAATTTGACGCAACCGCAATATATATATGCTGCAAGGAGAGCGCGGACCTAGAAGCCACAGTGGTTAACAGCCGGACAGACGCCATCAAGATCGAATTCTCGGAGGACATGTTCGTGTGAGCAGCGTGACGGCCGTCCCGGATTCCCACTGGGATAAGAGAAACTTAACTACTCAGCTGTCAACGCCCGCATTACTGGGGCAGGCGGAAGATCAAGTTGACGGGAGGCAATGACGGCATCAGCATTGTGTGCGTGCAGTCGAATAGCTGGCCGTTGTATGGCATCTTCAGCTGGCACGATCTACCGGCTGATCTCCAGCGGGACGACCTGCTGCCGGGCCAGGTCGAAGATATACGGCAGCACTCGCGCGACCGGACCACGACTGTCTGCTCGGGCTTCATGCACACGGTGAAAGACGAATATAATAAAGACGTCGATTTCGTGGAGAGTGATATGCAGACTCCGTTTACCACTCTGCGAGTGAGTAGCGAGAGACTGGGCTATTCGTCGAGGGGCCGGAGGAAGGTTACAAAGCGCATCTCGTCGATCTTTAACGTCATGCAAAAGGCCAAGATCGCTCGAAGAGAAACTACCTAACTCCAACAGCTTCTTCATCACACATAACCGGAATATAACCTGTTCGGTAGAGACCTGGATTGACTTGCCCCCAACTGCAGGCTTGCCATCATCAGGCCGTGTGCAAGGTTGAGATAATCGCTGATCGTATAATCGAAATGTAGATTGCGATGCTGACCCCTGGCTGTGCAATAGCGGAAGTCATGCTGACTTGGGAGGTAGAGAAGGTCCATGAAGACGACGTGACAGAGAAACCCGGCCCCCCCCCCCCCCTGGTGTAATAACAGCCAATCACAACGGCGATAATGTCACCAACAGATAAGTAACCCGGAAGGGCATAGCCAGGTGGAGCCTCCCATCACGACTCCTCTGCTTTGCAATGGCTGACTTAATCGCACCTGTCCACATCGTCGCGACTCGCGGGGGCCTGGCCCAATAGACGCAAGCACAGATTGCCTGGCAGAGAATTCTCTGTGCCTTTCAGGAGGTATATAACATTCAGCAATATGGCTGTAAGGTAGCAGGAAGGGTCTCTCTTTCTTTGTTCTTGTTCTTCGACTACGACTCATGATCTTGCGGCGCATCCGTCCTCCTCGCATCGCTGCTACGCTGCTGCGTCCGCATCGCCACCCCACCACGGCTACCAGCACGAGAGGCGCCCTTTCGACACATCGCAGACTGACCTCCACTTCCCTTGCGGAACTCTCGCAAACTCAGCACAGGCACTTCTCACCTCTGCGACTCTACAGCCAGCGATCCGCGACCATGACCGCTCTCGAGGCCGCCGAGGCCGCGACAGCCCCGTCCCCCACCACCTCAACCTCCTCCGCGCCCATCCCAACCAGCAAAGACGCCCCCGCGGCCTCAGAAACACAAGTAAAGCCCAACCTCCCACCCCTCTCGCCCGCCGAGTTCCGCGCCTACAACCGGCTAGCCGAGCACATGGACCTCTTCCACAACCACTTCCGGCAGACATGGAACACACTCTACAACGCCGCATCAACAGGACGGCGCCCGGCCGCCATGTCCCTAAAAGCCTTCATCAACGAGGGCCTATCCTTCATATCGCACCTCGAGACGCACCACAGCATCGAGGAGACGTACATCTTCCCCGTGCTAGCGCGCAAGATGCCGGAATTCAAAGCCGGCAAAGGGAACGGCGCCGCCGAGCTGCTGCGCCAGCACCGCGAGATCCATAAGGGCATGGACGAGCTGCAGGACTACCTGATGAAGTGCCGCTCCGGCGAGCTGGACCTCGAGATCGCGGCGCTGAAGGCCAGGTTGGATACGTGGGGGACTGTGCTGTGGACCCATCTCGATCAGGAGGTCAAGACGCTGGGCGCGGAGAATATGCGCCAGTACTGGACCATTGAGGAGATTAACCGGATACCCATGTGAGAGAGAGGCTTTGCGGTTGTGTGTGTATATGGATGTATATGGATGTGATGTTTGTATATGAGGCGCATCGAATGCGAGATGACTTTCAGTTGTGATCCCGACCTCCGGTCAAGTGATGAGTAAAGATTCATAGACGCTTTTGGAGGGAAGTGCTAATCAAGGCCAGTCAATCCGCATGTAAGCGTCACGTTATACATGATAGATCGAGACGCATGGAAGATAGAGCAACAGTGGTGGGGAAAGTCCTCGTATAACAACCACGGGGACAGGTGAATGATGCACGAGTTGAGACTTGATTCACTAGTCGTAGAGTCAAGCACATGCACATGGTGAAAATGGTCAGTTGTCTAGCTGGTGCTACATGACCAGTCCGGTTGGCCTTTTGGCCAACCCTTGCCGGTGCGTTGCCAGTCGAAAACAAGGCCAACCATATGCACGACACGGAAATGAGAAAGATGTACGCCTAGTGATCGTCTGCCTAACCTCGAACAGCGCCGCCGAGCACACCTCCAGTAAATTGCGTGCCACCGGCTTGACGCGGGCCCTGTCCACCGCCGCGACCACCGCCACGACCACCACCCCGTCCGCCTCGGCCACCGCGCTGGTTCTGTCCACCTTTCCGGTCGAAAGCGTTGGCGGTGCCTTGTGTTCGGTGTTCGAGTGTCCGCTCGTTGGTCTCGATGAGGGCGGCAGCCTTGTCTGATAATGTGAGCGCCAGGCTCTGGAGCCGAGAGAGCTCAACACCCTTCCGGAAGATGACGGTATATGTGACCTGGTCAAGAGCAGCCGCCAGCTCCTCGTGACTGATCATCTTGCTGATGATAGCCGCCACCTTTCGGTCCTCAAGCTCGAACATGGATGCGAGGGTGGAGACAGCAAGCGTGTCGTAGAATGGCGCATACGTGAAAAGGTATGTCCTGAGACCTTCCTCTTGGATCTGCTTTGAGAGCATGTGCTTGATTTCCTCCGTGTTCGGCATCAATTCCCAGATCTTGATGTTGTGGATAAAGGTGGTGGCCTTCTTCCATTCGCCGGCTGCTAAAGCACGAGATGCCTGCATGACGTGGTCACGGGTATTCTCTGGAGGGCCAGTGAAGATCTGTCGCTCGTGGTACTCCAGCATGCGGCGGTAGGTCTTGCTGATGACTCGCTTCTTGATATCAGGAGAGGAACCGGTCTGGGCGAGTAGGGGAATCTCGAGAAGCATGCTGCAAGTCAGGTAGACACACTCCAGAAGCTCGAGGTTGATATGCATGTGAAAGGGTAATTGTCTCTGCTTCTCTAATCTCTCTTGCTCGGGCGAAACTTGTGAGAATCGCTGGATCATGACACCCTGAGCCAGCAGCTCCTTTTGCCGACCACTGCCGCAGATTTCCTGCAGTGTGTTCTGCGCTTCGTACACCAGACCCTTGCGGAATGCGCAAAGTCCGACTTGTACGAGCGTTCGGTTGTAGAGAATTTGCGTCAAGACATCGAAGCTGTTGATGGTCTCCTGCAAATGCGACATGAGCATCATGTCGCGAGCTTTGTAGTACTCGTCATGGAGTGCAAGGAAGTAGATCTGGCAGAGCATAGCGCGGGCGCGAATAATACCCTCGCTGTTGGCGAACAGGTAGGTGCAAAGAACGTTCAGGAGCTCGGTGGCGTCGGTGATACTGCCCCTAGGAGTAATCACAGATTCGACACCTTCGGGTACTGGTTTCCAGGCGTTCTCCTCAAGGGTCTTGACGACCTGTGCCGGCTTGAAGTAGACGTGCTCCAATCTCCGCATGACGACCCGGTTGAGACTGTCTTGGGGAATCTGCAGAGACGAGTCCTTGCCAAGGGTCTCGTAGTAAAGAAGACCACGGAAGATGACGTTGTACAAAGAGCTCTCGTCAGTCAGGCGCTCGATATACTCCGAAGTATGGGGGTCGATTGCTTGCAAAGATCGAGTCAATTCATCATCCAGCCGCTCGATGAGAGACACAACGCTTCCGGAAATCTTGATGTACTTCTCGCCTTCCTGTAAAGTGGGCGGCTTATCATCGTCCTCCCACTCATCGGCATTCTCGATGACAACGTAATCTGGGTTCGTCTGAAGCACCTCGAATAAGGTAGCCAACTCTTTCTCGGCAGCCTTCCAATGCTCGAGGGGCATGGTTGATGAGGTACCAGTTCCAAGGTCGAATCTTGACGATACGATAGTCAAGAGAACTCTGATCTGCTGGTATGGAGTGTTGGCAATCTTGTAGAGTTCCTCCATAATCTTGATTTGCTCATTCCGGTCCGTGTTCTTCTTGCCACGAGTCTCGATTATGCCTCGCAGGTGCTTGAAAATGCTCTCGGGGGTAAACTGGAGTGTTCGGCCACCCTTACCGACGGTCGCGAAACCGGCGTCATCCTGCTCGACCTGCTCGGTGTAGATTTCGGCCTTGGACTTCTTCGGTTTCGGAGGTGGTGCCTCCTCCTCATCTTCTGAAGCGAGGAAATCGAGGGGGTCCTCTCTGTACCGGTCGAATTCGGTTTGGTGGTCCTGTTTCAGCTTCTTGATCTTCTGTTTGACGGCGTTGAGACCACGAGCGCTGATCGCGTTCATCTTCTTCGGAGTAACCTTCTGCTTCGTGATCGCTTCGTTCATGGCATCCTCGAGCTCGACAATGGCCTTGATGTAGAGCTTCGGTGTCTGGCCACCGGTAGACATCTTGGTCACTTGTCTGTTGAGCTTGTCGAATTCTGTATCCTCGTGTTAGCAACTGTGCATGCGTGGCGTCGCCTTGCGCCTCCGGACGAGACGTACCAGTTGAAACCGCGCCCCAGTCACTGATTTTCTGCTTCTTCTCGATAGCATCGATTATCGACTCGAGCTCGGCGTATCGCTTGTCCTTGGCGCTCTTCACGGTTTTGGGTACATCCTCGTCGCTCTCCTCGCTTTCGGAGGACTCGCCACGCAAGAAACGGGCAGCACCGGACTTTTTACCGCCCTCTTCATCGCTGTCGGATTCGTCGTCGTCATCCTCTTCGTCGTCATCCTCGTCTTCTTCGGACTCCTCCTCCTTCTCCTCTTCCTCCTCCTCGGAGTACAGCTCCTCGTCGTCGGAGCTGCTCTCGCTGGAGCTGTCTTCGCCGCTGCGGAAGAATCGCGACATCTTTTCGGTTGTTCTGGGAGTTCGCAGGGTTTTGGTATCGAGAAAGCAGTGTCGATCAAGGCGAGTACAGGTGGGCGTGATGTGTTGCGTTGGCGCCGCCTGGGATTGATTAAATTGAAGATCGCAGAGTGAAAATCCAGTCACAGAATGTGGGTTGTAATTTTTGGAGGGGTAGGGCTCCGATGGTCCGTGCTTGACGCGCAGCGACTATGAAAGTGGGTGTGGTTGGAGCGGCCCCACCACTTCAGTTGGTACGAAATACGCATTAATATCATATTTCGCAAGCAAATATGCGCACCGACCGAATAACGCCGTTTTGAGGTTCACAGGCTCCAAGCCAGGGTGATGTGTGTGACACCATGAGCACTTACGACAGCGCATGTGCTGTGATACCAGATATTTTTGTTATATTGCAGAGTACAGAGCATTTCCTTTTTGTACGAGCACAGCCAAGGCCGAGGAGAACAGAGGGCCGAGCCGGGCTGCTGGGCTGAGCAACGCTGAGATATTCTGCTCTACTCGCACGCCAAGTCCCATGGCCAGTAGGTAATGATTAGTTAGGATACATATGAAGGCAGTAACAGTGGTAGGGATATTATCAAGCTAAGTGTGCTGTGCTACCCCGAAGCCGAATACGACAAGGCCACACATACAGTGGGCGTGCCCGAAGAGGAATTCGAAACACCCAACACCAAAGCGACGAGCTTACACGATGGTCCGATGCCCTGTCTAAGTCAGGATAAATTCATGCCGTCCAACAACGCCGGACCCCGTCACATTGTGTGATCATCGTGACTTCGTGATGAAACGGCTCTGGTGTTGAGCTGTTTACTAGATGTTGTTCTTTACTGGGAACTGTCCATCAAGTTCGGGTGGTCTCTGGCTCGCCAAGGTCTGATGCCTTTCGGGTTGGCGTCACGACTCTTCTTCGCTTGTTCTAATACCTTCTTGCTCTGCTCGTTGGTGTACAGGGCGCCGAAATCCTTAATCTCGGTGCTCGCAGATTTCATCGACATGATAGCTTGACTGTAAACGTCTACTACTGTTCGGCCATCAGTCTCTGATGCGGACTCCAGGAGAAACGAGGTTCGTACGGTTTTCGGTGGTGTCTGGCACCGACTCGAACATGCGAGGAATGGTTGTCCGTAGCTCTCGACACTAGCACTCAATGCGGTCAGCAGTTGTTGTAGGTGATTCTTTGGTGTGTAAAGTACTAAGAATTCTAGATGCGTTACCTTGATATATAAGAGGTCGAGATGCTTCAGGGCCTGCTCTAGCTGTTCCTCGTCTGCCATCCTGTCCTGGGCTTGTGCAGAAGGTCCAGCATTGCCTTTCTTCATCTGCTGCTGGTTGGCAGCCATCGTACGGCCGTGGAGCTCCTGGAGGTGGACAGATTACTCCAACATTACCAGGGCGCAATGGTCTGGATGTAGGTACAGTACCTAAGGCAGACCCCTGTGGCTGCAAGTTGCAACGAGCTGGATGGTCAGATGGTTTGACTCGCCGCCCCAACGCAGCGCCGCGACCTTGAGACCCCCACTAGCCACAGGTGGCAGCTTGAGCTCGGTCCTCATCAGGGACGCCACAGTTGCCGGCCACATTTGTCATTCATGAAACCTCCAGTCTGCATGTGGCAAGTGGCCTCGCTCCGTACACACACGGTCCATCTGCTGGACGAGCTCATCATTCAGATCCTCGATCCCCACCTTTCCGATACCGTGCGACAACGAGCTCCTATCTCGAGAGCGCCTCAATAACGCGTCCATCACACTGTTCGACGACACTACCACCCCGCCGAACCGCTTCACGACGCCCTCGGTCTTTCCCTTCCCTTTTCCCCAGTGTCCCCCGTCACACCGCCAAAATTTCACTACAACAGGGCCCCCATCACCCTGGCGTCGCCGCTGGCGTCGTGAACGGCAACGTGAGTGCCTTGAGCACTCCGCGGCAGGTTCAGCAGACGACCCCCGCGACGCCGGTCACCATGCCGCCCGGCGACCCGGGTGCCCTCCTGGCGCCCCCCGAAGGCATCTACCGAAGCTTCGAGGACCTCCTGGCTGCCGTGCAGCGCGTCGCGAAGGACCAGGGCTACGGTGTGGTCAAGCTGCGTGCCAGCAACTACCGCGACGGCAAACCTACGCGCTACGACCTAGTTTGCGATCGAGGCGGGGTCAAGTACAACAGCACGGCCAAGAAGCGAAATCCGAGCACGCGCAAGGTCGACTGTCCCTGGCGTGCAAAGGCTGTCTGCGAGGTGCAGCTGGGCAACCAGTGGCGCTTTGCTGTCCAAGATTCCCGACATAACCACGAAGCTCGAGTCCCGGCCGCACCCCCTGGACAGGAGAACACCCCCATCGCCCAGAGCATCCGGAGTTTTACGCATAAGCTGGATAGAATCGGTCACGATATGTCACAAGGCTTTCTTGGCATGGGTCAGCGACTGGAGAGCATCGAGAAGAGACTTGAGGCCATGGAATCGCGCATGAATTCATTCGAAGCACGCATGTCCGGCATGGAGAGTCGAGCGCCTGGCATGGACATTCCGCTGCACAACATGGATATGGAGGAACCTATGCCGGGTATGACCATTTCATAGGACCCAAACGGCCCTACCTCGCCTGGTCATCCTTCCAATGGAGCCCACGAAAGTCTTGATTTGGCTCCCTATGGCACTCCTCAGCACTCCTCAGCACCCGTCGCAGAGAATCTGAATTAGGAGTTGGCCTTCAGTACTCACATTCAAACCTCGATAGAGCAGAGGCTGCGTAACGCCGCAGACTTGGTCTCTACGTTGACCAACATGGCTATGCCTTACTGATACTTCTTGGCGGCCAGGGAACGAGGGAGGGCAGTACGGGAGGCATGATTACGACAGCAGTTCCTTCTGCTGCACATGTATGGGTTCGAGCGGTGTGCACTGTCTGCGTTGCTTATACCGCGTGGTTTCATGCTTCGGTGGACATACAAGTCGTTACAGGAGGTTTCACCCGGTTTCAATCTCGGGACTTAGAGGCGTACGGAAGTGTGCACTAGCGTGTTCAGTCAACTTTGCGATCAACTCGGTGGCCATGGGTTCAGGAGAATCGTCAGCATGGCAGGAGGATTTCACGTCGGATTCCAGAATTTGTTTGCCTTCGGAGGCAGCCTGCTTTCTCTCCCCCTCCCTGCGCCAAAGCATCTAATGCAATGCAGAGAACTCAAAAGTCGGCGGGGGCGGTGGCTCATAGACAGAGCACAAAGATGTTTGCAGCCTTAGGCACGGAGGTCTAACTGAACAATGTGGGTTCTTTCCGCGAGCAGATACCGCCTGCCTGTTCCTATGATAAGGAACTAATAAACTGTATATGCCACCCACCTGATGTGTTACTGATCTTGATGGGAAGTGACATTGCTATCCCTCTTGTTCTGACACCGAGCGTACCAGAAACTCGTCACGTCCAGGAAGGGAGTCAATGCAGTTCATAATGCCCATGTACGATCAACTGCGCGAACTCTTACTCTGTGACCACCATCGGCACGTGTAGCCTACCTAGATATTAGTCAACACGAGACATTGGTGGTCACAGAGTAAGAGTTCGCGCAGTGGATCGTACATTATCCGTGGGACGTGACGGAGTATGTTAGGTCAGCAGTCAGCCTTGGCGGAAAAGGGCCTCGCAACAGCTCACGCTTTTGATTGCTGAATTATGGTTGCGAGCCTTGAGTATGATGGTAATGTGACTGTGCCCATGTTTTTGGCTGCTTGCTGCGTCTATCACTTTTGGACACAAACCTCCTGGCAATATGAGACTGATCAAGGTTTGATTACCTACCTGAGGTACTTATTGAGGATGAAGTCGAACCAACGGGGCCAGCATCCTCCGGATTGAACAGGCGTAATCTCACATGGGTCTACATTAGATATAACACACAGGTTGTCCTTGAAGTTAGAACAATGGACTGTCTGTACGCTCAGGGAGTGGTTTGCAAGTACTCTTCCTTCTTGACTGTCCACCCTATACGTGGAGGTCTGCTCGTTAAACATCATTCTTATTGTCTATATACTTACATTAAACTTCTGGCTCAACAACAACATCAACCCAACGCCACATGCCCTCCCTTACAGTGATGACAACCTGCTACACTAAACCCCCATAAGTCTCCGTACATTACCTGTCTCAACAACCAACGGCAAGATTATTAAATCGGAACAAGCATACCGGAATAAGTATCAATGCGACTTGTTAGATCAGAGCTGCTTATTCATATATGCTTATTCCATTATTTCTAATTTTCTTACTGGTGATCTGGAGTCCTGCTAACATGCGCGTACGGAGACCTATGAGGGCTAAGTGTGAGGCCTTCCCATATTCTCAAAACGCCATTGCTTTGCAGTATTTTCTCCGAGCGCTACGCGTGGCTTCCTACCATTCAGAGAATAGGCCACGATGGCTAAACTCTGCAAGGTTCATGCAGCCAAATCCACTTTACATGCAGTCAAGTTGCTTACAGTTTACAGGCATTCAGCAACCTGGAACACCATCACTCTGTCAGCGAACGCGCCATGGACCTAGAAGCAGTAGTCACCGGATTGCAGCGACGGGCGGTCAAGACATGAACCAGTTGCAGCCCATATCGACCATTCCGACAACTCCGACTCTTCGCCTTGCGACACCGAAGACCCGCGCAGGAGGCGGTAACTTGTGGTACGCTAAGTTCGGTTTCTCACCTTCACTAACGTAGCTGACAAGCGAGTTGACATTACAAGCGAGTTGGCACTCGTCATGAACTTTCCAACCAATACGATTCAAACCATCATATCTCCACCAACAACAATGGCACCGCGTTATAACGAATCAGACTTGCAGCTAGCTGTTCAAGCTAAATGACGTGACCCTCATATTCCTATATTTCAGCTTGCGAAACTCTTCAACGTCCCTCGTTCCACTTTGAGCAATAGAGTCAAAGGAATGCCATCACGACGCGACAGCATGCCCAATACTTTGAAACTTATGGTTTCCGAAGAGAATGCCATTTGTTCCTTCATTCTTGACCTGGATGCGCGAGCATTTCCGCCCCGGTACAGTTATGTTGAAGATATGGCGAATCAATTGTTGGCGGCGCGTGGGGCTGGACGCGTTGGAAAGAACTGGACGCGGAACTTCATTAAACGTACACCAGGCCTCCGGACGCGTTTTCATCGGAAGATAGACTACCAGAGGGTCTTGAACAAGGATCCAGACGCGTATCGCGCGTGGTTTTGCCAAATTGCAGCGGCAGTCGCGAAACATGGTATCCAAGACGCGGATATTTACAACTTCGACGAGACTGGGTTTATGATGGGCATTATTGGGTCCGGCATGGTCGTTACAAGCGCCGAAAGACGTGGCAGGCCTAGACAAGCTCAGCAAGGCAACAGGGAATGGTCTACAGCAATCTCTGCTGTTAATGCTGATGGTTGGGTGGTCCCGCCGTTCATCATTCTACAGGGCAAAACCCACCTCGCGTCATGGTATCGCGACACAATATTACCACGCGATTGGAAAGTGGCCGTGTCCGACAACGGGTGGACCACGAATGAGATTGGTTTGGAATGGATTCAGCATTTCGACAAGTATACCAGACCGCGTATGACTGCCGGTAAACGCCTCCTCATCCTAGATGGTCACGAAAGCCACCATTCCCAGGTCTTTGAGAATTATTGTCAGAATAACGGCATTATCACCCTTTGTATGCCTGCCCACTCGTCACACAGGCTCCAGCCTCTAGATGTCGGCTGTTTTAGCCCGCTCAAACGAGCTTACGGTCGCATGATTGAGGATCTCATCCAGCGTCATATAACCCACGTTTCGAAGGAGGACTTCCTTGCAGCGTTTTGTGAAGTACACAACGCTGCTATGACGCTAGGAAACATTCGAGCAGGTTTCAGTGCTACTGGGCTTGTTCCTTTTGACCCAGAAAGTGTCATTTCAAAGCTGGATGCTGTCGCTGTCATACGAACACCGTCGCCAGACCCCAATCTGCCACCCACTACTTGGACTTCGAAGACGCCTACCACCATTAACAAAGCGGTAAACCAATCGGTTTATATCCGAAACCGAGTCAGAAACCACCAGGGAAGCTCACCTACATCAATAATTGATGCGTTGAGCTCGTTTTCGAAGGCTACATACGGTCTTATGCATAAGGTCGCTTTGGTTGATTCCTGGGTCCGCGAACTAGAAGAGGCCAATCATCTATTAAGTAAACGCCGGAGAACAAAAAACAAAGGTCTAATGAAAGGAGGAGTACTTTCCGTTAAAGATACAGTAGATCTTTAGGCTGCAAAGGATGGTACTGAGCTGGCAAAACAGGAAATGGGTGAAGGTAGTCGTCGTCCAAGGCGGGCGGCAGCGCGTGGGCGACGGTGTGGCATTTGCGGCAATACTGGCCATAATGCGCGAATTTGTACAATAGAGATAGAAACCTCTGAGCAAGAGGAATCCGCTTGATTGAATTGAACTGAATGCGTTGTGATGAAGTTATTTGACATGGCAGTTGGAGAGTTCATGACGAGTGCCAACTCGCTTGTAATGTCAACTCGCTTGTCAGCTACGTTAGACCGTCTGGATTCGCAAAGGAGGGACCTGTTGGATATCATAACAATGGTAGGATGATAATATTGTAAGACAGGCTGTCAGGTAGCTTTAGTGGCTGCATGCGCTAGAGCGCTAGCGTTAAGGCATTTATAACAGCCTTATAGCCTTATAAACCTCACCTTTTAATTGGTTTAATTTAAACCTATTTGTTATAATTATCTAGTTACTTTAAAGGATTATGTTGGATCTATGCGATTCCACATTCAAACCTACCATACCAAACCCATATGTATGATTAGATAAGAGATTAGATACCGGATTGTGAGGTCACTTAGCCAGACCTGCGAGTCCAGCTAGACCTCCCAATCCAACCATCAGCAACATCATGACCTTGACCAATACTCGAGTATTATGATTGATCGTTCAAGCCTGTTCTGACAATATTAGCTAATAATTTTTTTTTTTAAAAAAACTCAAAAAAACTCAGTTCGTTTATTTAACTAGTAAGACTTATTTAAATTAAGTAAAAACTCTAAAAATATTATGACGTTTTATTAGTATAAAAATACATATTAAAACCCATTATTAATGCTTTAAAAATACTATAATACTTTAAATTAACGTATAACTATGTCCTAATTATCTTTTATCAACTTTTCAAAGTATAACCATCCTTATAATTATCTCTTTAATACTTATAAATATATTATAATACGCTATTGTGACGGCCTGCACAGACCTTTCCACATGACAAGTGGATACTTCCTAATAGGGGAAGGATCTGACCAGAGGATCCCCTTAAAGGGGCAACCTCCCACTGTACCTATCTCTCTCTCTCTTCCTTTCCTCTCTAGTCTTGATATTCTCGTCAATAGAGTAATAGCTGCTTGCTGCCGGCCATGTCCCAGCTCCTCAGTACGCTCGCCGTGACAGCTATTTAAACGTGTTATACCATTTTAAAGTTTTAAAGTTAATAAATTAATTATAATAATACTTTTAGTTTATAAAAGTGTATTGAATATTATGGTAATAATAAGATAGTAATATTATAAAATAAGCTATTAAATAATTTCAATAGCTATATGCGTTACAACGTTAACTTTAAGGCTTTTATAACAACCTTACCGCTTTATAAACCTTAACTTTTGATTAATCTAATTTAAACCTGTGTATTATAATTATCTGGTCACCTTAATTAGTTATATAATAGAAGCTTTTTCCCCAAGAGATTTACTTCTTCTTCAAATACAAAACACTTTCAAATCTAATAGGACCACAAGCCTAGCCGATCCCGCCTAAACATCCCCAAGTACCTACCGAAGAAATCTTCGACGCGCAGCGAACCAGTCTGCCGATGTATGATACGCGCTTAACACTTCCCCATTTCTCACGGGGTTGCCCCCATACCTTACGGTTACCATGCTATTAGACAGTGTTCGCGGTACTGCCAAGGTGTATGGCGCGTATGTCAACCGCCCCGAACCAGGTCTAGGGCATATCATCACTGTACAGCGAAACTGGCTTTCTTCTACAGGCATCGAGAATGGCAGGACTATGACCGTCATTTCATCCAAGGACGAGCTTTATACAAATTCTACAAGAGTTATGGGCTCTCATGAAAAGCCTTGAAGCAACATGTTCGCCCTCGTAAAGCGGGACGTTCCCAATACAGGAGATCAACGGCCGGTGCTTACAAACCTCTTGTTTTTACCCGAATGAACGCTGTACGGGGCACGAGGATCTCATTGCAAATCTGAGGCTAGAGAGAGCTTCGCTACATCGGATTATTTTCGATTCCGGCTTCGGATACCTGGGCCGCACAATTGACTCGGATACATCGATTTGGCAAGCAGGAAATGTTTCATAAATAACGACAGAGACACAACGTAGTTATGTTTTTTTACATCCGATTCCCTTACGAGGTGGCGCAATGTGGAGTAGGACGATGGAGGTCTGATTTAATGATAAGACGAGAGCTGACGAAGCGGATGAAAGGGGTTCCGAAGATTGAATTGACGACTCCTAATACCCCCGGCGGGGTACACGTGCCCAAATACGCAGGTATGTTGATCGTATGGTAATGGAATAACGCAATTGTAGGCTCTGTTACTCTGCGGTCGTATTCCCGTCCCCGATAACGGTGAGATCACACACTAAGACGAGGCGACACCACGGCATGTAAGGGATGCGTCTCTACAGATCGTTATGACCGCCGAATCATCCTGATAAGGCGATGGGCGAGCCGATGATGCCAGTCAGATTAATACGCCACTTCATGGCCCTACTGGTCAGAGAGGACCTAGTAAGTACCACGGAGGCCAAGGACCAGAAAGGTTAAAATTGCCGAATGGCGCGCACTTGCCCCAAGCAAGTCCAAGAAGAAAGAGCACCCTCCCCTGCCGATCAGAACCTCTGCCTGATACCACGCAACTAACAAACAACCTACTGTCGATCTAGCCAAGGGAATTGAACCAATTACCGAGGCTAGGGCTATCTACGAGGCTTTGCGGTTCCAGCTTGAGCGTGCAGTGTTGAGGCCATCCCTCAGGCGTTAGCTGGCCTGAAAACCTCTTGGAAGAGAGTCACGAATCACAAGCTCGAAGAAGTCCATAAGACAGTTTGGGAGATAGTTATTGGACAAGATGAACGACATATATATTTAAGAGGTTTGAGACGATTGAGAAATGAGCTTGTCGAGATGAAAACAGATGCCTTGGTCCTTCGGATCGAGATCTCTGTGAAATTAACAGACGCCTTTCCGAATCCGAGCTGTGACCCTCCCTGTGACATGCTGGTTCTTTTAATCCCAAGGGTTCAGTCTCGTCTATGAGCTGTTCATAATACAACTTCTACCTTCGGGGCATTCACCTCTTAACAATGACGCCGTTACCGCCATCGCTGTCATCAACACTCTAACGCTTCCGTGCACCCGACTTGAGGCAAAAGGTGAACGTGGGCTAAGTCTAGCTAGAACACAGAGTGAAGCCCACACTCTAGGGTGGAATCACATAGATTGCAACACATCATACTTACATATATTTCAATATACAAGCGAGATCTACGGCCATGCTGTTCATGCGGCACACGCTTCTCCTGGCACTTTTCAAAGACAAAGCCTAACGTTATTGCGTATTCCTGCTGTGATGACTATGAGTCATGAGGCCTTTCCGCCCACGAGGAAGAGGGCATGTAGAACGAGAGTCCCTTGGTATTTTCTAACATTGTTCACAGTGTGTAGTCCGCTTTGGGCACACATGCTTCTCTTCCATGCTCATGCGCGCCAGCGACTCCCCAGCCCCCTTCGTGATGTCGGTTCCCACGGCTGGGCTAGCCACTCCTGGGCGCTGCGGGTAGCACAACTGTAGAAATGGTTGCTTTGCAACTTATCATTCTGCAACTCACAGCTGCACGATCTTAGCACCCAGGGGCCGGACAGTAAACCAACTAGATGTGCAGGTGGGTCCGGGCAATGGCGGCATCGACGGCATGATTTGATCGGCCCGCATACACGTCTGCCGATCTTCCCAAGCTCTCGGGATGATCAGATACGATAGAGATGCCCCTGGGCGCAAGAGGGAGAGATCGCTCGCGTGAACTGAGTTTGGTGTATCGCCGGTGCAAGTCATTGGTGAAACCGACTGCGCGTTAGTTGTGAACCACACTCATCGAAGACCTCATCTACAGCGACATCGGCGGACAACATCATACCTACCCAGTGCCAGGCAAACAACTGTTGCATTTCAGGGCCTGTCCAGTCCCTCAACTCTCATCGACATTGGGGACATTAGGAGTCATGGCCGAGATCAGTCATAACACAGCCGTCAACGGCAATCTGATACCAAAAGGCACGCATGATGACACAAAACCAACACTCCTCCTGGTCCTCTCCAGCGTCCGAGGCAGCGACAACACACCAGAATGGCAACGCACACTCTCCAAATTCAACATCCTGTACTACGACTGCAAGACCGTCGACGAGTTCTGCTCGCGTCTGCAGCCCGGCGGCCCGTACGCCAATATCAACGCCATAGTGCGCACAGGCTGGCTCAAAGCCGGTGACTTTGCACACCACTTGATGTTCCGCGGCCGACCCATCGAGCTCTATCCGCCCTCGCTGCAGTTCGTCGGGTGCAGCGGCCACGGGTACGACGCCGCGGACATAGAGGCCATTTCGCAGAGGGGCATTGCGTATGCGAATACGCCCGATACGTGCACCGAGGCCGTGGCGAATACGGCGCTGCATCTGGTGCTGAATGTGTATAGGTATTTCACACTCGCGGAGCACTACACGCGGAGCGATCGCTGGCTGGACAGCAGAGAGATCGGACCGGTTGCTGTCGATCCCTGTGGTCAGGTATTGGGGATTGTCGGACTGGGTGATATTGGGATGGCTATTGCTCGGAAGGCGGCGTACGCATTGGATATGAAGATCCATTATCACAATCGCAAGCCGAGGCCCGTCCTTGAGGCGAAGTTGCCGAATGGAGCGACATATCATGACTCGGTCGAGTCACTCGTCAGAGCAGCGGACTGCATATGCCTGGCATGTCCGCTGACGGAGGAGACGAGACACATGATCTCAGCGCCGCTGCTGGCTCAGATCAAAGACAAGAAGATCAGGATCGTCAATATAGCGCGGGGCGGCCTGATCGACGAGGATGCACTGCTGGAAGCGATGTATGCCGGGCAGGTGGTCGGGCTCGGGCTAGATGTGCATGCGAACGAACCAGGCATCAACCCGGGGCTCAGGGACAACTACAGGACGACGGTGCTCCCACATATTGGTGTCGCTTCGCAAACCACTTGGTCGAAGTTCGATGAGGTGAATTTGAATAACTTGGAGGAGTTTTTCTTCGGGGATAAGGGTAAAGTGACGTTGGTTAACCGAGCCTCTATCCCTGCGTGAAATATACTTTTTAAGAGGTGTATGTATAATGATTTTTTTCAAATGACAGAGAGAAGCAGTAGTTGTTTTTGCGGTATACTGGTCGTTCAGGGGCACGTTACGGAAAGAAAACCCTCACCACCAATAACCCCACTGCGATCTCGTCGCCTGTTCCGCTGCGAATTGATTCACCCTCCAGATGATATCCTACGAAAGTGACTCAAGACTGCCGTGAGTCCTGGTGACTCCAGTAGAGGGCATATAGTACTCAGTTGAGGAGTTACATACCTAATCTCAAGTTCGTTAGACAAGTCGTATGGAGGTGAGATAGAAACCCCAACATATACCTACATATCTACATTGTACCAACCTATGGCAACTCCACTGGTGTACTATGTATTTCTTTTACCGTCGTACCCTGTAGCTCCGCCGGTCCACCCGCCAGCTTATCCCTAAAAGTCATGCCTGGAAGCCCAGCAAGGTGCTTGGTGACAAGGACCTTCTGCTCGACATCGCCGACTGGCAACACCCCAAGCGGCCGTCTGTTCAGCTCGTCCAGCATTTTCTTCTTCTCCTCCAAATCGGTGAGGTTAGCAGAGGCGAGGTCATCATCGCCAGCCTCGTCTTTCAGGTTCTTCCACTCATGCATGTACCGGACATCATTCGTGTCGCCGTCCACCGGCTCTACCTCGCCTACCGCGGCATCGGCTAGCGTGAACCGATGCCGCACGATGAGCCGCTGCAGCGCGGTCCGCATGCTGGTCATGCTGAGGGGCTGGTAGAACTTCACGGAGATGATGGGTATGAGTTTGTCGACATCCTTGTGCGTCCGTGTGCGGACGGAGGCTTCGCCTTCGACCGTCTTGGAGCAGTACTGCGTCGAGGCATCCTGGAAGTCCTGCTTCGTGACCACCTTGCCCTTCCTGCTGAAGGCCGCGGCCAGTATGAGGATCAGGTCGCACGCGCACTTTGTGACCATGCGCGCGGCGGGCGGGATCGTGGCGAACGGCAGACTGGCCAGCACCGGGATGCCGCCAAAGACGCTGGCGAAGGTCAGGCCGGCCGTGATGCCGAGGATGCCGACGATCTGGCCCATGTTTAGGGTCATGAAGGTGCCCAGGTTGCGCCACAGGACGCGCTGGGCGATTCGCTCGACCTCGTCAATCTTGTCGACCGAGTTGAGGATGCCGAAGCACTTGATGATGCGCGTGCAGAGCATGCGCGAGATGGTCGGGGTCGAGATGGTGCTGCCTACCAGGATGGCCGAACCTGCCATGGTTGACCAGTTGGAATAGTTCAAGAGGCGCACCGTCTCCTCGAGGGCCTGGGAGATCTTGGGGTCCAGGTCGGCGATCTGCGCACTTACGAAGTTTCTGCGTGCGCCGTCATCCGGCACGAGGACGACAGTCTGTTTGACCAGCTCTTTGATAGAATCTAGGTCTCCTGTATGACAAAAGGGGTCAGCATGACTGAGACCAACACTATAGCTGGGTTCATGAAGGTCTGACTTACTCTTCGAGACGTAGACGAAAGGTGCAAAATCCTTCTCCAGCCCCAGCTTCTGCTCCAGCTGGTTGATGTCCTCTTCCTTGACTTGGAGGAATTTCTCCTGCGACAAGGCCCGAGCGCGACGATCGAGCTCCTCTCCAGTTACACCTTGGTCTTCCAGCTCTTCTCTTGCTTGGCCGTAGTGCTCGTTGATGAACCTGTCCTTCATTGTCCGCACGATGATGACCGGCACTGCCTTTGCAACCTTGTCGAGGACCTCGAAGATCTTCTTGTCTGCCTCGTGGACCAATCTTGTCGAGGGGACGTCTATACAGAACCTGCAGTCAGATGTCAGCGGTTGATCTCGTGCAATTCCGGGTTTTACCAACAGACATCGGATCAGCCGCACAAGGGCGTGGTGTGCAATGATCCGATGGGGCGCCAGGCACTTACCATATCGCACTGAGTTTTTCCTCGGGATCGGACGCAGACGCTCGCTTTTTAACGAACTGCTCCAGTAGCTCGATCTCCCTGGTTGTGCCGCTCTGGAACCCACGCGAGTCGTGGACGATGAGGCCAGGGAAGGTGTCCACCTCGAACCCCTCATCCACATCGTGCACTCCGTGGTCATTGTACGATTCCTCGGTCTGTGGGTTACCTGAGTGAGAACGAAACTCTTAAAGTGATAGGTTGGGTAAATACTCACCACAATGGTCCCAAAGACCTTGTTGATCAGCGTCGACTTGCCAACGCCGGCCCTTCCGCAGACAAGGACGCGACAGTTCTCGAGGTCGTAGCCTCCCATGTCAGCAGCGAGATCCGCGCGCCAGGGGTCTACGTGGACTCTGCCTTGTCGTCTGAACTTGTCTTGTCGGAACGTGCACAGATCATCCAGGAAAAGCGCTAGAGGATCAGCGATCCCAAGACGATCGTAGAGATCGCTGACGAAGTAAATTGATGGGTGGATGATGGTCCCGTATGGGGCTGATATGAACTGTCAGTGACGGAACCGCTCGACTAGATTGTGCAGACTTACCAGAGTCAAGGAAACCAATCAGCTGGTGAGACTGAAAGACGGTCCGGGGACCTAGGAATAGCGACATGAGTGCCGCACCCGGATTGATCTGCACGATGTGCGGCCGTGGTCGATGCTCGGCAACATCGGCGGTGCTGGTGCTGGTGCTCATGCTCAGTATCGACTTGGCATCAGATTCCTTTCGCTCAAGACTCTTGCTTAGTTTACTTCGGATAGATAGTCTTTCCTTCCACGACCGTTTCCTGACCTGCAGACCGTCGGCATCGGGGGTAAGAGGAGGAGTAGAAGAATCATCCTTCTCCTTCTCCTTGCGTGACTTCTTCTTTAATACGTTTCTATTGCGCGTCTGCAAATTGCCATGTCTATGTGAAGCCCGGAGGTCGAGCATCTCGATCTCGATACCGTTTATATACTTGAACTTCCACGGCTTTATAGGCCTGGGTGGTTCTGAGCTGTTCTGGGAAATCTCCATCGGTAGGACGAGCCCAAGTGGTTCCTCGGTGATGTTGATGTTACTTTCAGCAGATGCGTGATCCAGAACCAGGCCCTTTTCTCGACTTGCAAGGAGGATCCACTGAAGCGGATACAACGAGAGCCCATCATCACGCGAGCCACCGCCCAGGTCGGCGTGTGATCCGATGAACCACGCCTCTATGAGGGAGCGTTGCTGCAGCTCCTCGTGAGACAAGCTGACAGGGCCAAATGGGCAAGGTTGGAATGACCTCCGATTCTCGTTGAGCGCGAGTGCATGACGGACATTACGGATTGACTTCAGCAGCGGAGGATCGGGCTTGCTCTGATCTCGGGGGACCTTGATTGCGTCGAAGAGCCCTGCAAAATGAATGAGAGGCTGACGAGCCAGAGCTTTAGCGGTTCTGTATTTGGTTTTATTAGTCTCAACGGCCATATCGACGTATTGCAGGACTAGCGCTCACAAGAAGCGGTACAACTGGGCGATGGTGAGTCAGTAACCCTATTAGAGCTCATTGGGACGGAGCATCCCATTTACTAACCTTGGCTGCATTCGCTGCTTTCTGTGTACTTTGACGAAAAGGGGTCAAACTGAGGAGCCTCATCTCAAAGCCTTTCTGCCCCGTGAACTGCAGTGTACTGAGCTGGTGTAACAAGTCTGCAACGACGCTTACAACATCTGATAGGAGTGTGGCGTCAGCTAGGATGTCATTGATCTCTAGTCCTAGATAGCTCACATGCACCACGGCTGAAGCCGTACAGCCATAGCTCATCAGTCGACTCACTCAGCTGATCACAGCAGTACTACACTTGCGCGTCAGACGAAAACTGGCATCCGAATGGCAGAACGGTATCTCTGATGTAGACAAGCACACATACAGCAAAGATCTTGTCGACCTGACCATCGCACCCTGCGCTCGTCGTGATATCATCGTTGAAGGCGTCGACGGGCTGCTTCTCGATGCCAACGCCGGCTTCGTAGTGCGCCACCTGTTTCACGGGCCTGTCGTCGCGAATGAACGTGCCTTGCTTGATCGAGGCCCAGATTCGGTACACATTGCTGTTATTGCCCTCGCGCCGTGTGATGGCTCCATGTGGGTCGTACCACGTCCCGTCGACGCACACGACGACGCGCTTCACTGGACCTGCTGACATTGTCGTGACGTTTATGGTGTGCCCCGCACGAGGCTGCGGCACAGGCAGAACGGAGCCTCCAGGGCTAGATACTGGGGCCTGAGCGAGCTTATGCCGATATTGTCATAATCATCAGGGATGTCAATAGAGTATACTGACTGAAATGGCAGCTTGGTGGCTAAACAGTCGCAAGGCCAAGGTACGTCGGTGTCTTCGTCTGCGCTTTGCCTTACGATTTGTTCCACACGTGAAGGTAGGAGGTGACTTGAGAAACTGGAAGACATCTAGAAGAAGAGTATGACAGGGGGCTGCGCGGCTGGAGCTGAACCCCCTCCTGGCCCTCGGCACTTTAAATGAGACAACCGTGTAATCCTACCAAGGCTCCCCTACTTCTCCATGAAAACGAACACATAAATAACAAAAACAAGACAAATTTTTTCCAAAGAAAACAACTATCAGTTTATACACGTCTATTCAATTTTTATCATCAAGTCATGTCTTATTAAAGTCAGTTGGTTGCTATGACTTATTGTGGCTTTCTGCAGCTTACCTGCCCCTCACCCCCCATGCTTGGCGAGGTGTCCTCGATACGTACATGTACGTAGATAGTAAGTGAAGCACCGCTGTAAGTCGTTGAAGGTGTCTTATTGGTACCATTTCTGTCTACTTGCTGGGTTACTCCTCTCACTGAACTGATCAGAGAAAGGTAGGTACACTGAACCCTTATAAGTCTCCGTACACTCCTCATCCACCAAGCGAAAGCGCGTTTATTATAAACGGAATAAGCACGCTAGGATAAGCATCGAATATGACTTTATAGCTATAAGCTGCTTATTTTTGTCTGCTTATTCTAGTATTTCCAATATTTCACGTGTGATCTGGAATTCTTCTAACATAGCGCGTACGGAGACTTATAAGGGCTGGGTGTACACACGGCTCGGCAGCGTCAGAGGCCCTGTTTATCTCATCGCGACGCATCATTCCGCCAGGCTGCCGTTGGTCTGTATAACGGCAACGGACTTGCTAACCTTCGACGGTTTGATTGATGGTTCTCGGTCGATGGAAACTCTAGTCACACATCGTGGTGGACTCGTTGTGCCCCGTCTATATTGCAATCGCGGTCGGAGAACTCGCAGAGGGTCTTTCTAGTCGACGCCATCCTCCGTCACACATGAATCCAGGTTGATCGAATCATTGAACCCAAGAATCCCATAACTACCCTAAGCATGAGTGACCGTGGATTTTCGTCAGATCAGAGAAAGTCGGTGTTATCCAGAGCAAGAGCCCATTCGCTGTACTCATTACTCGGCGTATCCAGCACTCCAGTGCTCCAACTCTGGTCGAAGTTGCCGAGGAAGTCCTGGATGAACGGGGCGTCAAGCGGCGCGTTAGACAGCGACTGGTTGCCGTGTGGGGCAGGGCCAGGCGCATTGCCAGACGCCGTGGGCGTGGTAGAAGCACTGTCTGGCCTCGTCTCTGGCCTGACCTCACGGTTCACGTTGGCGGCAAACGTCCCCGTCGACGTGACGTATCCGCGCATCGAACCGGAGGAAAGTCCCGCGCTGGTTACCTTCACTTTATCGACGTCCCTCCGCAGCGAGATCAACCTCTCGTGGAATTCGCGTGCTGGCATGTTTCCGTCATCGACCATTGACTGGAGCAGCGCCCACGAGAGGGTAATCGCGTCATTATCGGCATCGTTCGTCCGTAATGCGTCCGACATCATCAGAACAACCACAGACGAGAAGATGTAATGGGCGTCAAAGTAGCCAAATGTCGCGACGTTTCCGTCTGCCCATAGTTGTCCTAGAAGGTTGGCCGAGGCCCGAGCGGCGTAGATGCAGGCCTCACTCAGTGCGACTGTCATGGCTGACAGCGGTTTGTTCGGCTGCCCCGAACCAAGTGTCTGGTTGAACTTGACATGGTAGTTGAAGACATGAAGCAGCACAGGCCGCGTAGTAAGGATGATGCACTTTGGTAAGTCAGCCTCGCTAATTGGCAATATATATATCTGGAGCTCTTACCTGATTGAAATGCAGTCGTAAAGACGCCACAGAGCGTGATCCATATGAGGGGAATTGATTGTGATCCAGCTTCAGCTCGTGAGGCAACTCGGTTTCCCACTGCTTGAGGTTATTCAGGATCGTATGAACATTGCGCACAAAGTCCTTTGTACGTTGGGTTTCGGCCCCGTAGATGAGGGTTAGTATCGACCCGGTGATCCGAGATAGTTTGATGTTGGCGATGAGCTGTGTAGGGTCAACGAAGTCGTCTGCCTCTTCTGCCAAAAGACCTTCACACGAAGGTAAGGGAACATCGATGTCTTCGTCTCGGATCATAGCTGCGTGACCAAGCTTCGAACTGCATAACCGGTCGAAGGTGTAAACAGTCCACCAAACCCTCCTTCGATTCTCAATATCTGCCGCGTGGATGCTGGGGTCGTATGAGATATTTCGATGTAGGCCAAGAGTTACGCTGAGCCGAAGCGCAAGGCCAGCATACGTATATGCCGTGTTGCGACGGTTTAGGGCATGTGAGTAGAATGACTGTCTTGGTCAACTCCGGTCGGGGCATACATCTGCTAGGGCTGCTTACTAGTAATAGTATTGTCTCAATGTAGTCGACATCGGGTTCTTCGTAGTGTTCCTGGAACAGAGACACAGCTTGCATGAAGAATTTGGTTCCAGGCACTTTCCGTTCGCCTCCTTCGGTAGATCCAGTCCTCTTCAGATACAGCTCGCCTAGTGCCAGCACTACGAAAACACGGCATAGCGATACTTGATCTGCTTGCTCTGGATCTTGGTAGATGTCGTCGACCTTGTCAAAGAATGACTTCTTCCGAAGCAAGTGGTAGTCTTGACCAACAAAACGGATAACGACTTGTATGAGCACCTGAGCATAAGCACGACTGGGTAGCGTGTATGGCGCGTCGATGGAGCGCAGCAGATTTGGGTGCTTGACCATTGGCACCACATACGCCGACTTTCCCAGCTCACCGTTGCGGGCATTGGAGCCGAGACGGTTAGCAAACGCCGTGCAGGCAGCGCCCCCAACATAGACAGGTCGAGACGACATGCCATCATTCTCGGTCAAGACGCGGTCTTCAAGTAGCGGGTTGGCGACATCAGCGGTCGCTTCGTCTTCTTCGCCCGTCTCGTCACTGGCATTACTGTCCAGCAGATTGGCCGTCTGTTCAGTCCCCGCGGGGCTTGCAAGCGGAGGCATAGAAACGCCAGTTAACGGCCCTGCTTTCTTGAGCTCGGCGTTTTCCGTCTCAAGCTTCTCGATGTAGCTGCGATGGTGATATCAGCCTTGAAGCACGTTCAGGACAAATTGCGCTGGCTGTGAGAAGACACCCACCTCTCCAGTACTGTCACCTTTCTTTCGCGGTTGGGATATGTGCATTCATCGCCGTTCCCTGACCGCACACAGCCTCGACACGGCTTCTCACCTGTGCATTTAGTCTTTTGCGTGTGACAGCGACTTTAAACGTGAGTAAGCGATGTATGGCAATGATAAGAGTCCCCTTCACTCACTTGCACGCGACATAGCTCCGTCTAGGCCGCTTCGCTGGTCTTGGAGAGGGGGTGGGATCGTCGCCGTCACCTCCGGACAGAGGCATGATGGGCTAGGAGCATTGCTCAAGGAGCAGCGTGTATGGAAGAACACTTCGAGTACGTGCTGAAGTATGTGATTCAGACCGCTGTCAACCCGCTTGAGCTGAGAAGACGAGTCGCAATGATGAGATGTCACAAGGTGAGGCGGGATTTGGGGAAGCCCACTGGCCCACTGCTTTGATGCCGCTACCCGTATATAGGTAGTGGCACTGGAGCACCAGGCAGACCCAGTCACCCAGATGCCCCCCAAACTAGCACTAAGTAGTTAGCCGATAGCGGTTGATAAGGTATCCTTATCCAGATCCACCCCTGGCTCTACAGTAGGCAGCCTACCAGTTCTCAGGGTCTTTGATCAATGCTCCCCCCCTAGCCACCCTGTTATCAACAACCCGTCAGCGGAATTGACCATGTTGGCATATACCTTACATATATGCCCACCTGCTGGCCTCACACGACGGAGCCAGCTGTACGGTCGACTGTGGCTCAAGAATGATAGGGTACGTACGTAGATAGCCACAGCGCTATAAGTCAGGGGTAAACTACTATCAACTTGGATGTAGATGCAAGGGTGTAGGTACATCGAAATGACAGAATATCTGCATCATCATATTAAATCCCCATACGCTCTGGTCTTCGCAAACAAGCTGCTACTCCATAGTCTACATACCACCCTCCGCTCGATTCTCTCGAAGTGCTATCCTACAAGCTATACTTGAAGTGAACATCATAGTCACCCTCCTCGGGGCGTTCGGGCAGGGGGGTTCCAGCCTCCTCCGCGGCCCTGATCTTGGCCTCGCGTTTCTTGTTGACCATGTGCATGCCAACCATTAGGGACGCGACCATGACCAGAGCGACAGCAGCCAGACCCATAGAGATGGAAAGGCCCTTGATGTACCTCGGGCTGTCCGCCGATGTGAATATTTGACCGACTGCCACTCCTGCGGTATTTCCCAGCGTGAGCGTGCCTCCCACCATCGTAGCACGCTTGAAGTGTTGGGCGACGTTGTCGCTGAGCCACATAATGCTCATTCCTGTGGTGGGGTAGATACCCATGACGGTGACTGGAAGACACTCTGTTAGTCCCAGGAGACGCGACTCGCGCCTTGCAAATGGGCAACTCACTGAAGCAGGCGAAATATCGCACTCCCAGATTCTCGACTGAGATCAACATGGCATAGCCAACAATCAGGCAGAGAAGGGGCCCACCAATCCAATAACCGCGGTTGGCCGTCTTGTCCGACATGTATGCCGTGAACCCGAACGTGAGCAGACCCCAGAAGTAGATTGGCACAGTCAGGAGGTTCGCGTTAATCGAGGTGTATCCAAGCCCCTTGATGATCGCAGGCAAGAAAGTCGTGAAACCATAGAGGGAAATGTCGACGGAGAACTGGAAGATCCAACTGTTTTAAGGTTAGTCAACACTCATCCCAGCGGATGTAAGCGCACGTTACTCACAAGGCGAAGAATTTGGGATCAGTGAGCGCAGCTCGAACGGATTTCCAGCTGAACTCCTCGTCGTGTCCCCAATGGGGGTTCAATTCATATCGCAGCTTCATCAACTCTTTCTCCTCTGGTGTAAGAAACCAAGCGGTGGTTGGGGTGTCGGGAAATAGGAAGAAGAACGCTGGGGAGACCAGAATGGTGATGATCCCTTCGATGATGAAGAGAGATCGCCAGGTCGAGAAGTAAGTACCCGTATGAATTCGAGTGAGGGCGAAAGCGAAGATGCCGCCGAAGGCACTGGCGAGAGCAGAGAATGCGAAGATGACTGCTGATCTGTGTAGTCACGATTAGTGGTGGCACTTCGTGACTTGCGAGAGGGTCTATTACCTCTTGCCCCTTTCCGACTTCTTGTAGATCAAACCGATGTATACGTTAATGCAGGGAATGAGTCCAGCTTCGAAGAATCCGATCAGCATTCTGCAGGCATAGAGTCCTTGCCAGTTCTCGATGAAGGCAGTACACAGGCACACCATGCCCCTATTACGTGTCATTAGCCAGGGTCCAAGTGTAACGCGGTAATATTGCTTCACGTACCAGCAGAAGCAGCAGCCTGTCAGTAAGTACTTGGGGCCAATGATCTTCAGGAGCACGGCAACTGGACCTTCGAACGGCACATAAGTTGCGTAGAGAAGAGTAACTGCAGTTCCGTACTGGTTGCCAACGAGTCCAGTGTCTTCGGGCAAACCAGCAATATTTGCGTTTCCAATGTTGCTCCTACATTTATGTTAGTACTGCGTCGTGCGCTTGCATATGCCGAGTGCACTGGCCTGTCCAAGTTTGCCAACATGTAAAGGATACCGAGGAGTCCGACAGCATAGAACTAGCGGTATCGTGAGCATTGAACATTTCCTGACCACAGAACATGCAACTTACATCGAACTTCCGCATCATCTTGGCCTCCTTCGCCGGATCGATCATGGCAAGAGCCTCTCCATTGCTCGTCTGGACCCCCGTGACAGTGTCAAGCTCGGGTGCCGTGCCTTTCTCCATGGTCTTCTCCATGACTGATTATTCAAACTGTGGTAGAAGACTATGCAACAAAGATGTTCACAATGGAAGATGAATTGTGCGAGAATATGGTCCAAGACTGGATATCATCTTCAGCTCGTCGCGTCCATCACGTCCTTAAAGGCTGATTGACAAGGCTACCTGGTTCTGGAACTTCTGGCCACCAGGATGACAAGGCACCGGCGATACGCATGGTGGAGCCTATCATGGCTATCAGGAGTACATGGCAACTATCGAAAGCAGGGTCAGCGATACGTTGTCTTACTCCTGTCATACGATTCATAAACCTGACACCTCGGACCCTAGTTCATGATATGGGCGGGGCCCCAGATTTGTGATCGGGTTGAGTAATCGCGCCGAGGCAAGGCCCCTATCTCGCTCGGTGTGGGCCCGGCACCCACAACCGCCCTATCTGGCTTGCGACCTGCGACCGGCTTGATAACAAACCACCGATCGCGTCCTTGCCGACAGTCCGGGATAAGCACGCAACGTACCGCGCGCAATGGCCGTTGCATGGTGACCAGTAAGCGTCGGCTCGGTGCCTGTGGTATCGCGGGGCGTCTGGGGAGACCACTCCTGGTGTCAGGATACCGGTAGTGCCCCAACGACTTCCGGCTCAGGGGGCCGACGATGTTAACAAAGATGTACGTACTTAAGAGCTCAAGTCTCTGTGAGACATGATGAGGTTGTAGTATCAATTTGCAAAGACCTTGACCATATCACTCATCAACCATGCCGTCAATCGCAGAAGAAGGAATCAGAATCGCTATTGACCGGGGTGGGACATTTTGCGACTTGTAAGTTTGCCTCAAGAGGCCGAGCTTGGTATCGGCCGCATCTCATCCCGTGTGCTTCTCTAACACTTCCAAATAGCTGGGCTCACCTGCCAGGTCAAAAAGATGATATTGTCTTCAAACTGCTGTCCGTTTGCCCAGGTGAGTACGACGATGCGCCGACAGAAGGAATCAGACAGATCCTGGAACGGGCGACGGGAAAGTCCATTCCCAGGGGCACCCTGCTGGATATCACCCCAGTCGAGAGTATTCGCATGGGCACCACAGTAGCCACCAATGCGCTGCTGGAACGGAAAGGCGAAAGAACAGCTTTGTTGATCACCAAGGGCTTCCGTGATCTTCTACTCATCGGCAACCAATCACGCCCAAAACTGTTCGACCTCGCGGTACGGAAACTGGACAAGCTCTACGAGACAGTCGTTGAAGTCGATGAGCGAGTCACTGTTGAGGGGTTCTCAGAGGACCCCGAGCCTCAACCGATCGATGTGGAAAGCGATCCAGCATTGATCAAGGGCTTGACGGGTGAACCCCTACGCATCCTCAAGAAACCAGATCTGGAGCTTGTGAAAGCTAGCCTCAAGCAAGTATGGGACGACGGATACCGCAGTTTGGCTGTCGCTCTCATGCACTCTTACAACTACCCAGACCACGAGCTAGCGATCGGTGAGGTCGCTCGAGAGATGGGCTTCAAGGTCTCTCTCTCCTCGCAACTCCAGAGCATGATCAAGATAGTGCCTCGAGCGCAATCTTCAGTCGCCGACGCCTACCTAACACCCATCACCGCCAACTACCTCGACCAGTTCAGAAAGGGGTTCAAGGGAGAACTCAGCGACGAGAGCTCCAACAAGCTCCTGCTGTCACAGTCACATGGCGGTTTGGTCAAGTACACGGAGTTCAGCGGTCTGAGCGCCATCCTTTCCGGACCTGCTGGCGGTGTCGTCGGATATGCGAAGACCTGCTACGACCCGTCCGAGGGAACTCCCGTCCTGGGTTTCGACATGGGAGGTACGAGTACGGACGTCTCTCGATACGGTGGTGCTTTGGAGCACGTCTTTGAGAGTACCACGGCCGAAGTCTCGATACAGAGCCCGCAGCTCGACGTGAACACTGTGGCCGCAGGTGGTGGTTCGATATTGTTCTGGAGCAACGGCCTCTTCAAGGTCGGACCAGAGTCAGCCGGCGCATTCCCGGGCCCAGCCTGCTACGGCAATGGCGGACCATTGACTATCACAGACGCCAACTGTTTCTTGGGTCGCATCCTACCCGACAGCTTCCCGCGCAAACTCGACCTCGACAAAGTCAAGAAGGAGTTCCTGAAGCTCACGGACATGGTCAACGCAGAGAAGCACGGCGATGACCGTCTCACTTCAGAAGAGGTGGCCATGGGTTTCATCGAGGTCGCCAACGCGACAATGGCGAGACCCATCCGCACTCTGAGTGAAGGCAGGGGATTCGAGACGGGCGCACACAACCTTGCATGCTTTGGGGGCGCTGGTGGCCAGCACGCGGTCGCGATCGCGCGCGATCTGGGCATTCGACGTGTCCTGATCCATCGGCTGTCCAGTATTCTCTCGGCCTTCGGTATGGCTCTGGCAGACATCGTAGTTGAGAAGCAGGAACCAGAGTCCACGGCGTACGATGCCGAGTCCAGCGCTCGCATTGACGAGCGCTTCAAGTCAATGTCAGCCAAAGCCACCACGGAACTGGAAGCGCAGGGCATCCCGTCGCATCGTGTCGAACACGAGTGTTTCCTCAACATGCGATACAAGGGTAGCGACACTGCGCTCATGATCGCGAAGCCAGAAAACGGCGACTTTGCTACTGCGTTCGGAGAGCGCCACCATCGGGAGTTCGGCTTCAGCCAACCGCGCGACATTCTGGTCGACGATGTCCGTGTTCGCAGTGTTGGCAAGGCGATGGATGTGCCCATCTCCAGCGCCTTTGACCAGCTCGACGATGCTGACAATTTTCCCGTCATTGAGTCCTCGGCCGCAAAATCGAGTCAGAAGATCTACTTCCAAACCTCCGGCTGGACTGACACGGCTATCTTCCACATCAACGACATTCCCAAGAAGTCGAGGATACGGGGTCCTGCAGTCGCCGTTGATGCTACTCAGACCATCATCATTGAGGAGGATGCTGAGGCGCTTGTGTTGGATGAGCATATAGTCCTCGACCTTGTCAGGACGAAACACAAGGCCATCGGGACTGAGGAGATCGACCCCATCCAGCTTTCAGTCTTTGGACATCGATTCATGTCTGTCGCAGAACAGGTGAGTCAATTCACGACTTCCACGACGGCTGTTCGCAGCGTACTGACTTTTCACAGATGGGCAGAACTCTGCAGAAGACATCAATCTCCACGAACATCAAGGAGCGTCTCGACTACTCCTGCGCTATATTCTCGGCTGATGGCGGGCTTGTCGCCAACGCTCCGCACATTCCCGGCCACTTGGGCTCCATGAGCACAGCGATCAGGTATCAGGCCGACAAGTACGCGCCAAATGGACTCAAGCCTGGTGATGTGGTCCTCTCGAACCACCCCTGCTCAGGCGGAACCCATCTGCCGGATCTGACTGTCACGACGCCTGTGTTCAATGACAACGAGAACCCAACGGAAATCCTGTTCTTCGCTGCCAACCGAGGTCAGTTACTCAAGCTTCCAATTGCCAATTCATGCTAAGATCAGTTCCAGGTCACCACGCAGACATCGGTGGCATACTGGCTGGTTCCATGCCTCCCAACTCGACCGAGTTGTGGCAAGAAGGCGCGGCGATTGAGTCCTTCAAAATGGTCAAAGAGGGCGTCTTTGATGAAGAGGGTCTCATCGAGGAGCTGTACGTCAAGCCGGGTCAGCACCCTGGCTGCAGCGGCACAAGAACCCTGAAGGACAACATTGCCGACTTGAAGGCCTCAGTTGCTGCCAACAACCGTGGTATCCACCTGATCCAGGCGCTCGTGAAGGAGTACACTTGGCCCGTCGTCAAATTCTACATGCAAGCCATCCAGAAGAACGCGGAGGAGAGTGTGCGGACCCTACTCAAGGGCTTCAGCAAGCGTTTCAAGGGACACTCGCTCAAGGCGGTCGATCACCTAGATGACGGAACTCCATTGGCCCTCACAGTCACCATCAACGGAGAAGACGGATCAGCCAAGTTCGACTTCACAGGCACTGGCCCCGAAGCCTTCAACAACCTCGTGAGTAACGCGCAAGCTATATGAAAAGCACGCACTGACATTCGACAGAACACCCCATCCGCAGTCATGTTCTCGGGCATCATCTACTGCCTGCGCTGCATGGTCTCATCCGAGATCCCCCTGAACCAGGGCTGCCTAGCCCCCATCGAAGTCTACTGCCCGCCCAACACCATCCTCTCCCCCAGTCTCAAGGCAGCGACCGTCGGCTCCAACGTCGAGACTTCCCAGCGCATCGTCGATCTGATCTTCAAGGCGTTCCGCGCCGCGGCGGCTAGCCAGGGCACGTGCAACAACCTGACCTTCGGCTACGGCGGCACCGACGATAACGGCAACATCACCAAGGGCTTCGGGTACTACGAGACCATCGCCGGCGGCGCTGGAGCCGGTCCGACCTGGGACGGGCAGTCGGGTGTCCACACGAACATCACCAACACGCGCATCACTGACCCGGAGGTGTTTGAGAAGCGCTATCCCGTGATCCTGCGCGAATTCTCCATCCGCAAGGGCAGCGGTGGCGCGGGACGCAGACGCGGCGGCGACGGCTGCGTGAGAGACATCGAACTGCGGCTGCCCATGCAGGTCAGCATCCTGTCGGAGCGGCGCGTGATACCGCCCTACGGCATGGCCGGGGGCGGCGAGGGCGGCCGGGGCGTCAACCTCTGGATCCGCACGGATCCCGAGGACGGGTTCACGCGGACGATCAGTCTGGGCGGCAGGGCCACGACGATGATGAATGTCGGCGATCGCGTCATCATCCAGACGCCTGGCGGCGGCGGGTACGGCGTCGACCCGGACGCGGAGAAGGAGTTTATCCCCGAGGAGGAGCTGCAACAGCAGCAGAGCGCGACGAATGGGTCGTCTAATGGGTATAAGGCTAGTGCGGTGTTCAGGGCGAACGGCAGTGTTAGCGAGAGGGATGCTATGGGGTCGTCGCAATGATGTTGCTGGGAGATAACGCGTCACGTATTATACGATAGTTAGTGAATTTAGAGCCCTGGTATTTGCACTTTGATGGGTTTCCTCGTTTGTGCCTTGTCAAGCTGCAAAACGGCCCCCTGAGTGGTGTCCTGGCGAACTCATTACCTCCTGTCTAACCTGCCAGGCTGGATGGCCACCGCGATCACGTTTCGTATGGGGCTATTATAGAATATTAAATCATCTTGTACCTCAGCACCTCGCAGCTGGATACGTTGGTGTGCTTAATTGGGCGGCCATTACTCACGCCAAAAAGACAGGGCAGCCAGGTTAAATGGCTACAACGATGGAGTTTGGTAACTTACGACGATGCTATATACATGCCGAGAACTACATCCGGGCAGCGGTCAAAGGGATGGCAACGGTGGTGAGCTCACCGCCAGCGAGTTGGCAGATACCTAGAAAAGTATCGTGCAAATGAGGGAAGACAGGATGGTGTAAATAACAGGAGCCATGACTTAGTTCGCGCATTTGTTGCTCGTAGTCTGCCTACCGAAGTGTTCAGGGGCAATTGCATCTAAGCCGAGATCGGCCGATCGGCCTGTTCAGGGGAAGCCGAGGTTGAGATAGAACGGACAAGGTATTTGACCTCTGGTCCCGAACCCAGGTCGAAGTGCCCTGGACTGAAGGGAGTGCCGTATTCCGGACATCAACCAAAGTACCACTATCTCATTCCAATCTCACACTACTCAAAATGGGGAGCCTCGACCAATCGGCTTCTGTCTTTTCGTCCCTCGACTCCATCCCGTACGATGAGGCTTACCGGGTCTTGGCAGCGTTCACGAAAAACCCGAGCCCGGATAAGATCAGTCTCGGGGCTGGCGTCTACCGGGATGGCGAGGGCAAGCCGTGGACCTTGACTTCGGTGAAACAGGTATGTCGTCGGTCGATAATGGTCACGGGAGCTATGAGAGGCTGACACTACCCAGGCAATTCCTCGGCTCCCGGACAACTATGAGTATGTGTTCTGGTCCTCCTCCTGGCCCTCAAACGTTTCTATCAAGAGCCATTACCCTCAGTCATATTGCGTCCTATCGGTGACTTCCCAAACTGGTCCAGAGGCACCAGAAGCCAAATGGCGATAACACGCACTAACATTGACCCCCTGATAGTTATCTTCCCCAAGGAGGCTTCCCCCCTTTCATCAGCGCATCTCGGAAGCTGCTCCTAGGAGACCTCAGCGAGCGCGTCGACGAAAAGTTGATTTCAATCCAAACGGTCTCCGGCACAGGCGCCTGCCACGTCGGCGCCGTCCTCCTGATCAACAGCTTCAAGCCCAAGAACGTGTGGATCTCCGACCCGACTTGGATCAACCACTCCCTGATCTGGGAGTGCGCGGGTCCGGATGTGACCAGGAAGTTCTACCCGTACTACCATGCGGAAACAAGGTCTTTCGACTTTGAGGGCATGATTGCGGCTCTCGATGGCGGAGCGGAAAGGGGCGACGTCGTCATTCTCCAGGCGTGCGCGCATAACCCGACTGGCTTGGACCCTAGCAAGGAGCAGTGGAAATCTATCGCCGACATATGCGAGAAGAAGGGGCTTATTTCTTTCTTTGACACCGCATAGTAAGTAACGAACCCGTCAAAATCTCGACTCGTCAGCGACTGAGCTGACATCACTCCCAGCCAAGGCTTCGCCTCAGGCGACGTAGACGAAGACGCCTGGGCAGTTCGGCATTTCGCCGAGCGTGGAACGCTCGAGCTGTGCATTGCGCAGTCCTTTTCGAAGAACTTCGGTCTTTACGGAGAGCGCGTCGGCGCCTTCCACCTGCTCGCCCGAGACGCCGCCGTCAAGCCGGCGGTGCAATCGCAGCTTGTCCGCATCGTCAGGTCTGAAGTCTCGTGCAGTCCGTCGTTCGGGTGCAAGATCGTGGCCACGGTGCTGAACGACGAGAAGCTCCGCAGCCAGTGGGTCGAGGACCTCAAGACCATGAGCTCACGCATCAGGAGCATGCGAGAGGCGCTGCTGAAGGAGTTGCAGAGTCGGGGCACGCCGGGTTCTTGGGATCACATTGTTTCCCAGGTAAGAGACTTCTCTATATCATTCGCTGTGGAGTGCCATACTGACTCCCGGTACGACTAGATCGGCATGTTTTCTTATACGGGCCTGAACAAGGAACAAGTAAAGGAACTGGAGAGCCAGCATCACATCTACCTGCTGTCAAGCGGTAGGGCATCGATACCAGGCCGTAAGTCTTGAGTCACCTGGAGTCATCGTCAGCAATGGGCCTTGCTAACTCTGGTTCAGTCACCTCCCACAACGTAGCACGCGTTGCTCAAGCAATAGACGCAGTGGTCAGAAAGACTCAAGGGTGACAAAGAAGCCCAGCTATTGGATGATTTCACATATATTCAGAATAGCTTTGGTCACTCATCGGAAGAATAGGGAACATGCATACGACTTATCAAGAATATACGCTTGTGCAGCAAGCCATGGGTAATTTACTGACCTCAAGGGGTTTCTATCTCACGTCAGTTGTTTGTAGCTACTGATTAGAAGCCATGGGGCGGACGAGCTCTGAATACATAAGATGTGATTCACTCGCAACTACATCTCATCTGAATTGAGAGTAGTCGTCGTTCGAATATGTACACGACCCCGATGCACATACGGCGCAGACAGTATAAGACACACCTCCACGCTGACCCCATTGCGCCATAGATCACGACCCCGACGTCGATGTGGGCACAGAAGTTGCCGTAATCAAGGTGCTGGTAACCAGCGTCGTCGTTATCGTCGCGTTGCTGGCGCTACCCGTAGCCGCCGCAGCAAGTACGCTGCTGATGGTCGAGTAAGCCGGCTTCTCCGACAAGTTCTCGTCCCAGGGCAGCGCCGCGCCGGACCCCGCGAACACACCCGGGATCCAGCTGTACTTGTCGGTGTAGTCCCAGATGGTGATGCCGACGCACGCGTCGACGGCCAGACACGCCTGCGTCACGGTCCCGTAGTCGGTTGCCTGCTGCTGCAGGCCCGCGTCGTCGGGCGGCAGGCTGCTGAAGCGGATGTCCAGCTCCGTGTAGGCGACTTCGGTAACGCCGGCGGAGAGGTACGAGTTGATCGAGGTTTCAAGGTCGCTCTGGGTAGGTATGGTGCCCACGATAAGGTGAGCCTGCATTCCCACGCCGTCGATCTTGGCGCCGGCGTCCTTGACCAGGTTAATAATGGTCACGGCGCCGTCCTGCTTCGCGCCGGTTCCCTCGATGTTGTAGTCGTTGTAGTATAGCTTGGCATCAGGGTCGGCGGCGGCAGTGGCTTCGAAGGCGAGTGGGATGTAAGACTCTCCGATGACAGTGTAGAAGACATTCTCGCGGTAAGTACCGTCCTCGTTGAGGGCTTCGTTGACGACATCCCAGGAGCGGCACTGGCCCTTGTAGTGACCGACCTCGTTGGCGATGTGGGTGTTGAGCACAGATGTCAACGTATCCACGGTCCATGTGCCATCGCCAACTGCACTGCCAATTAGCACTTTCGTTGCCCCCTTTTGTCAAGCATCAGGTATCAAGTATAATTACTCACCCCAGGACGGCAGCTGCGAGTACCATGCCAGAGTATGGCACCTCACGATCTGACCGTTCGACTCGGCAAAGTCGACGATCTGATCTCCGGACGTATAGTCGAACTGGCCCTGGCTCGGCTCCGTGTACTCCCACTTCTGCCCATTTCCTGGCGTGATCTGGCCAAACATATTGGCATCCTCAAGAATGGCGACGTAGGCCGCGTCTGTCAACTCCCCGTTGTCAGTGGCAGAACCAAAGTAGAGCTTTCCAGCCGCTTTCGCAAGCTGGTTGAGCTGTGCTGAAGCGCCTGGGATGGCCAAGAGAGCCGCTGCCGTGGTTGAGAAATACATCGTGGTCGTTTGTCAATGTAACAGGAGCATAAGGACAGAAGGCGGCCCACGCGACCTTCGCGAGGTCCCTGGGACTATATGTGCATGTTGATCGGGAGCCCAAGACCAGCTCAGGAGATTGTGATGACGACGACAAAACTCCGTCTCGCATTGCGGACCGTGGTGCCGATGCAACCCAACCAGATCGCCGCAACGAGATCTTATAACCGCACATAATCGGATTCTGGTTGAGAAGATGAGAGGCGGGAGTGCCTCAAGTGTCACTTAGACAAGCTCAACCAAGGTGGGGAAATCGCCCCCCTGAATTGGCACGATCCGATTGCGGGGAATCGTCTCACCTCATCCCCGCAGCTCAGTAAGTCGTACGCACCCCGGGCGAACGACCTCAACGCGGCACGGCAGTACCGAAGTTCTGGGATACCGATGTGGAATGTCGTCCGGCTAAAGTATGGGTTCCTCCACCAACCGCCGTGACGCTTCTCCAGACATGGAAGAACGGACCTGATATCTTCAAGGGGGAAACAGGAACCTGGAGGATGTATAATGTTTTTCGACGTCTTTCCCTCCACTCACTTGTTCATCTCAATCACTGGGATATGGTCGATCTCAGTCATCGATGGTTGTATCAATAACCCCTGACTTGTGCCCCTTATCGACGAAGCCGGCAGTGAAAGACCATCATCCAGCCGAAAAAGCGCTGCCATTCTTAACTGATTTAGAAGTATAGATCATCACTAAACAGACTTAGCATAATACAACATGCAGGCGATCGTTCCCTTACATCTACTCAGCATTTGCAGACCGACCTCAACAGGTCCAGTCCCACAGTTTCCATCAGCATCATAGCCGTGGTTCAAGTCACAACACCATACTACGTTACAGCCCAGTCCTCACCTCAGTCTTAGTCGCGCAAACACACACATTACGACCCCCCCTGAACAGAAAGTCCAGAAGACGATCTACAAGTCAGGGGACGACAGTCATCCATCCTTACCGACAGGCCAGGAGATCGTCCGGAGATCCGTGCTGGCAGGGTCAAGGTGAGCCCCGGTACCTGCTGCCGCCTGCGGTTGAGAGGCACGTACCTTCGCCTTTCGCTTCGTGCGGGATCAGCCGTTTTGGGGCGTGGACGACAGCCATAACTTCGGTAATGTACCAACACGAGGTCAAATCCTGGTGAAAGTATAGTAATGCCGTGTGCCGAGTCCCTACCCTTCATACCTGTTCCATTGCAAAAGCTTCGTCACGCTGGTCGAAAATGGGACCGCCTTCCTCACGTTCTCACAGAGCCAACACAATTTCTCGTGAGAATGTTTCATTCTCGTGATACGAATGCAAGAAATATCTACTTCAACACAAACCCCAAGAGCCAACGAGCAACACGGTATTGGCATTTTGGTAATCCTGCCTCTGTAAGAAAATGCCTCGAATCAATAGAACGCCGTTGTCCAACCCTCTATGCACCAGCTATGCCTCCAAGCCGCCGACCCAGACAAAGGAAAGGGGCCAGCCAAATGATCTATATGCATAGAAAAGATCCCGTTCGACTGACAAGACTAGAAGCCACCCGCCAGGCCGACCAGGCCGTGATGCACACACACACACAGACACACATGCATGCAGCCAAGATGCCCCTCCGCCTCACGTACACAGCCGTATTAAAGTGCTCGTGGATTCGATGATCCTCGGTTATCCAACTAACTCCTGCTTCGTGTACTTCGTTTCTTCGTGTAAGCACTATCAAGTACTAATGCCCGCCCGACCCGTGGTTCCAGGTAGTTAGTCTTCGTATGATCGAGACTAGGTATCAATGTCGGGATTCGAAAAACCTCGCAGCACCCCAATGCCTCCCTCCCTCCGATCGATGCAGTCTATAGAGTCTGGACAGACCCCCGTCGTCGGTCCGTCACGACGCGCAGGCCACGCACAAGGCCGCAGAGTCCCCAGTCGAGCTTCAGCATCTAGCCCCGCCTCTCTTGTAATGCCCCAGCCATGTTGAGCGTCATGGGTATCGCGGGACGTTGGATTTCCAGACTCCGGCTCACGAGGCGTCCGCCTGGCGTTCGCGGATGCGGCACGTTGACGCGACCACTGCGTCCGACCAGCCGGCTAGGCGCACTCTCGTCCTCGTCGGCGCTGTCAGAGTCGCCGTCATTGTAGTCGGCTAGCCGTGTGAAGTAATCAGCCAGTCCATCAACACTGGGTGTTCCTACAACAATGTCATACTGCGGGGGCGGCGTCGCCATGGGAGGCGGCGGTTCGTCTTCGTCGAAAGCGGGAGGGTTGAAACTCGGATAGCGCATCAGGTGCATGGGCCGTGCGGCGGCTTGAGGATGTGCGCCTTGTTGCCTTTGGACTGGCTGGGAACCGCCGGCTGCATGCTGCTGTACGTGCGCAGCTGGAGGTGGCGCAATCCCAGGCGACTCGACACTAGGAGGACCTGGGCTGGGCTCGACAGATGGTATCGTGCCGGTGCTGGACGCCGGGCTGGGGTTGGTCGCAAGGATGTCTGAATCAGGACATCCACAACGAGCGTGCTGGCGGTACATGGGTTGATCGGCGCCCGAGTACTCGGGCAAGGCTGTGTTTGCCTGGGTGGCGCGACAGTCCAGGACGGTAAAGGGTGAATCGATGCTGATCTCAAAGTGACGTCTGCGCTTGCCGGCTGGGTCTTCTGGGTCGAGACGAGAGATTCGCATGACAATCTGTGGAGAGTTAGCAAATTGTTATCGATCGAGACAAACTGCGTGGGAGAAGGGACACTGTACCTTAATCCAGTGGTAGACATTGACGTTCTTCCAGCTACAGTCCGGGTGAAGTCGCAACGTCTTGTCCTTGGCCATTTGCTCGCAGGTGGGGATTTGGACGTTCATCTCGATCTCGGTCGATCCCCAGTATGTCTCCAGGCCCAAGTCCAGGTCACCTAGCATGTTCTCGGTCAGATCAGGCAACGGCTGAGGCACTGTATGTGCCTGTGAAGCTTCCGCGCTCCTCCGTCTTTGCGCCGCGAGCCGCGCGTCATGCCTCTCTTCCGGTGAAAGCTCGCCGCCGCTCAGAACCCTTATTTCTGACCCTTCGTATGCCTTGTCTACAGGTTTTCCAGCAGCCTTTTCGAACAAGAGGATCTTTCGTCCAGGGTCTTTCCGCGTCACCCTTCGATCGTTCGTCCAATATTCAATGGATTCGGTCGCGAACACCTTAAGTTTGTGAATCTGCACCTTGGCTAGCGGTGTCAACTTGAAAGCTATAGGTATCTTTGTGCCAATAGGGAAAGATTTTCCGGATATCATGATGTCGTAGTGAAGTTGATCCTCCCACTGCCGGCTAATCGATATGGGCTCCGTCATCTCGAGAGATAATTGGTCAGGGACCCGGACAATACGTACTTCTTTGGATCCATGAAGATTGGGCTTGAAGGCACCTGCTCGCTCCACGATAGTCTCGAGGTCCCATTTCACCGACCCGAATTGTAACCTCGTCGTCTCGAGTTGATGGTGGTCAATGGGTAACTCGAAGGTGTATTCGTAGGTTCCAGGGTAGAAGACCTTGTACGTTTTCTGTTGCATCACATTCGCGTTGGGTGTGTCCCCTTTCCCGAAGCTCCGAGACTGGACAGACTGTAGCGACAGACGTTTATAGTCACGCGCGGTGAGATTATTTCTAGGCCTGCCATTGAGGGCTAGAGAGACTGTGGATTGTGTCGGTGTGAGACCAGAGACTGATGACACCTCCGGACTCTTCCGTAACGTATAGTTGCATTGGTTGCCAAATTCGGTTTCCCATGTCTCGTGCATGGCGTGGAAAAAGGTCAAGACCTGCGTCCGTAACGATTCCTCCTCGAATTGGTCGACTTTCATAGGCGGAATTCCTTCTGGCCATTCTGTCCTCGCTCTGCCGTGCAGCTTCAACGTCACCGACTTCAACTTCACGTTTTTGGTAACGTTCAATTGTAGTTTTCCTCTCAACAGAGCCGTGGAATTGGCGGCCTCATGCCGTGGGTGCCCATCATGTTCAAAACCAGCGAGAAAGACGTTCGGCTCGGCCAGGATAATAGAGCACTGTACTCCACTTCCACTAGCGACCGGCTTTGGAACCTCGGTAACAGAGCTCATGACACTCTTCGCGGACCGTGCCGTCATAATACTATTTCTGTGGGAGTTGTTCAGAGCTGCGCTCAGCATGGGCGGTCGGCGTACTTCCGGCATCATCGTGTATGCGGGCGCCAAAGATGTAGCTGATGGAGAGGGTGCTGTCGGAGACGGCGGCCTGGTTCCCTGAGTGCCTGATGTGTGTGGTCTAGAGGAGTCGGGAGCGCCGGGCGGAGTAGCGTGATCGGTCGCCGCAGGCGGGGAGAAATGCGCCTTCAGAGGTCCGAGAACCTTCGCAAACACCCGCCGAGAGGACCTGCTCACAAACCGATCTTCCTTCCTGACCGGGTCGCTATGCTTCTTCTTGTTCGACTTGGACGATCTTTGCGACTTTGTGGTATTGCGCGGCCTTAGTTCGGTCGGTATGTAACCGGCAGGGTAGGAGACGATGTGTATGGACTGCGGTCGGCGTGTCCGAGGTCGGATGTGGGGGATCGGAAGGGTCGGTGATAGCCGACTTCTCCGTGGTCCAGCTCGTGGTCTATAGTAGACGTTGCCCGCGAGAGGATATGCGTACTGTTGCTGTTGCTCTAGGCGTACAGGACTATCTGAGTCTGCCATGTTGGTAGGTTAGGATTACAGTAAAGATGGGGGTATCGTAGCAATGCGGAAAACGAGTGACAGGTCAACGCGACAACCAGGTCGAAGAAATAGTTGGAGTGATGTTGGAGAGCCACATGCCACGACCTGGGACGATCGACAAACGCGGGTCATGCGCGGTAGCAATATTAAGAAGAAGCAGGCCGTTGACAAACGGACAGGGTGAGACACATGGTAGGGTGTGAACGGCTAGACAATGTAGGGCAACCTTAGGTAGGATGATAGAGGAATGGATGAACAGCAGGGCAGCGACCGGAGTAGGCAAGGAGGTGGATGGACAGTGACGAGGGATGCGCGCGGGCATGCACGGATAGATGAAGGACGGAAAGGGAAGAGGCAGGAGGAAGGAGGAGGGAAGTGAGGACCTACAGGCGAAGCAATAGTGTCATAAAAACAAAGTCATTATTGTACCGGCAGAAGGTCCAAGTCGTTGCTTTCCCACACCACTGACCAGTGACCAGATCAGAGACAACAAAGAATCACAGCGGTTTGGGATAGAGCGAGGCCGGTTAGAGGGTTGGAGGGAAACACCTGGTTGGCAGGTTGGCGAGCTACGCTGTCCCAATTTCGATGCCCCGCCTGCAACGAACACCGCGAACACCGAGAAACAGCCAGCCGTTTGCAGCGAAACCCACGGGCCACGAGACCAAGTTCCGTGCTGCAGATTGGAGGAGCACGGGAGCACCGGACTTGTAGAGTGGTGTATGTAAATGGTACCTTGCACGTGTGATGATGGAAAGCCCAAATGATGTCGTCGGCTGAATCGCGAGTGAGCAATAAGCAATAAGCAAATTTATTGGGCTATAAGTGGGCAATGGGCTTGGAAGGGGTGAAGAGGCCCGGGATATGGGACGATGACTTGGGATGACTCGTGTTGACTGTCGCTATGGGCTATGGGAGGGCTCGCGTTGCTTTGGTCAATTGATGCGGCGATATGACATGTCGAGTCGCGGAGAGATGGTGACGGGGAATGAGAGGAACATGACAGACACAAGATGTGAAGAGATGATAATGTGAGGGAAAACGTCGTGCTCACTGCTCACTGCTCACTACTCCGCCGCATGATCTACCGATGATGTAGGTATTGGCCCCAGAGACCCTGCTCATTATGTTGCCGGTGCCGCCGTCGTCGGTCGGTAGCGCGGCACCAGAACACACTGGCCTGAGGCTGGAAGCAAATCTATTTCTGTTTTCGGTGGATGAAGACCTGGTAGACTTGCCGACCATATCGACACAGACTCGACAGAGACCACCTGCGCATTCCATGTTCTGCCCTGCGGACAAGAGCTCGCTGGAGCTGCAGTACCTACATTCGTTGTTTGCGGGAATAGCAGGAAACGTGGTTGTCCGCGTTGACTGATGAGTCGCTTGAACATCACCACGCACAACTCATAAACTCCGGGCAATCCCACAGGGACAGCCCAAATCAGGGCACACCAGCACCAACAGTTGCAAGCTTCTTGCGGATGGAGGGGCGGCCCCATGTCTTAGACCCAATCATGCGGGCGACAAAATCATCCAGACCTGCCCACGTCACAAGCACCGATGTCTATCAATGGCCAACGGAACCTGGCAATCAACATGCACTGCCGTATGTAAGCAACCAGGGGCCGGCCTGCCAGTGGGAGACTGAGGTTCAGCTTTCATCCAAGAAGGATTCTCGTCGTAAAAGAAAGTCGCGACTCGCGAGCTCATCTCGCAATCCTTCAAGGTCTGTCGCATTGACAAGAAGTCATGGTGTTGAGGTCATGAGGCTGTGACTGAGGTTGTGCGAACCGTGCTCACTGCTTCAGGTGTGTGCTAATAACGGACACTCCGTCATTTATCAATCTTAATCCGGGTCTCCATGCGATGTCATCATGTTGGGCTCAACTTGGGCGTTTGAAATGCCGGACCGGGCCCAACCCGTCCTGCGCATGAACACATCTGTCAAATCATATTTCGGGATTTCTAATGCGTGCCCTGGGGGGATCCCCGATCCGGCTATCTTCAGACTGGGCATGCTGGGGTAGCTCTGCCCGAGAGCGAGGCACGTCAATCAGACGTCCTAAATAGGTAATAATAAATAGGTAGTGGAAAGGGTCATAGACGCGCGCCGCTTGTACCTACCACCCATGATTTCTGTCGACGAATGACGCTGCAGCGAGTCGGGGAATATTCTGACGCCGAGATAAATATAATGATCCGTAATGGGTGGTGGTGGTGATCTTGGGTGCTTGGATGCTTCATCCGATATGCCGGCAGACTGGAGATAGCAGGACAAGCTGGAGTTGCTCCGATCCGCGGAGAATGGAGAATCAGGAGCACTGGAAGTTTAAACACTGGGCCGTGCGTGTCCTCACGAACTCACGAATCATGAATCCAGGATGCCCGCACGCCAGCGCACCTCGGACGTGTCGGACTCTGGCAGGTTCTCCAGACTTGTTCTCGTCCTCGCCAGCACAGAGGCCCTTCAACCTTGACTCCAGTTCATGCTGTTCGGGAAAGTGGGGGACGCAGCTGCACACCTGTACACCTGTACACCGCCGGAATGCCGGCAGGCCGCAAGGAGCGTGTCTTGCTGGACGCTTGCGACCAGTGTCGTCATCATCCGCGAAGTTTGCTGTCCCCCATCGGATGGCAGCTTCCCTTCATCTCAACCTCAACGCGCATCTCTTTTGCCGTCGAGAGAAAAAGAAGAAACACCTGACCAGTCTCGCCAGTGACCACTCGGTCCTCGTCCCATAACCTGACTCCCCTGTTTGTGAGCTGAAAGCCCGGGATCTGGTAGACACGCCAGCCCTGCCGAAACACACCTGGTGCTGGCTGATAGGGCAGCACCTCCCAGAATCAAGATTCCGCTCCTTGACATGGCAGATTTGTTGATTGATCGAATTTACGATGAACCCTGTTTCCTTGGTCTCCCATATCTCAATGCCTTGGAAGGCAAGATGCGCCTGTTTCGAACTACGGTCGGTATACGCACGTACCACAGCTACGTAGGAGAGTGAGAGCTTGTTACCATCATACCGAGGATCGCTTCCGTGGACCAGTTGGCTGTTGGTATCTTGTGTGTTCCTGTTGATCTCTACTGCGCCGTCTGGGGATCAGCATTGGCCGTGGGGTGTGGAGCGCGGGGAGGGAAATCGTTCCCGGGAGTTCCAACTTCAATGCTGGATGGTGGGGCAACCCCGAACCAGCTGCGGCCCAACTGTAGCCAGCTGTCAATCCCTCTGACGCCTAACTAAAGGGGGGTGAGCTGTCACTGAAGCCTCACGTCAGCACGTGTACGCTTTTGAGTCCCTGTACACTACTGATTTCTTTGTGAATCACACTTTAAGTAACCTGACACCAAATTCTTCGAGTATTCTAGGTTTATAAGTCTTGTGAACATGCAGGGTAGCCTCTTGGCTCGTACACTGTTACATCGCGGGCTGCGCATCACTGACCCCGGAGATGTCTGCGCTCAACTAGACTGAAGGATCCATCAATTTATCTGTCAGTCGGGAAATAGGATACATGCTGTAGTGGACGATAGGTCGTTGTAGAAACCTCAAGAGCTGGCCACCTGGAGTGCTATGTCGGGATACCCACGCCTGCCACTGGACAAGGCACTATGTCGATGACTTTGGGGTCTACTTCAATACATGTTCTGCCTCCCCTATATATCACTGTGCGGATTGCGTCGTATCCATGAGTACGGTCGGTGTGATCGTTAGACTAACCAGTGCTAATCACAGTGTTGGTTGAAGCAGGTTACTCGTACCAGGCCTGATTGTGACATAACTTAGTTGGCGATTCAATGATCATGTTCGAGACCCGTAAATTGCCGTGACATATATTCAAGTAATCGCACCAGTAGCTCAAGTGAAGATGAAGTCTTATCATCTTCTGGCCTCCTATAGTCATCAAGGCCTCGACGAGGTCCTACTGGCTCTCGAGAATCTCAACCATGGTGGGCCGACCTCTCAAAGGGCTTCAGGACACCGCCTGCGAGGTTTATATGATAGGCCAGATATTCTCTCCTACACTCCTACTTCTTAGAACCCGCCGACTAACACATATTCAAGTTTCGATTTAGCTAAGGCCATGCAGCACGAATCTCAGTCCCGTGAACTTGTGCGAGCGACTGCAAATAGCAAGATGGAATAACCCGAGCCAGCTGTAATGTTATGAAACTTGCCCGCTCAAGATCCATGGGTCCTTTTCCACGAGTTGACACCACTTGATCACACCGTTGGTTACATAGCCAACCAATTCTCACGGCACAGGTACAAGGAGCATATAAAACATCATGTGCGAGTGGCTTACCTTCATCAGGTGTATTCGTAAAGTGTCTTTTGAGAGCCGATTTGAATTAATTATAATTGGCAGATAGTAGATAGGTCGAGCAACATTCTTCGCGTGTTATCAAAGATTTATCGCCTGCCCATCACACCGGTCTACCCTGAATCTTTATAAGTCTCCGTACACCATCCGTGCAGAAATCAACGGTTAATATACCTTCAAATCGGAATAAGCACATTGAAATAAGCATTAAGAGTGGCATATCGAACTAGAGCTGCTTATTCCTGTATGCTTATTCCAATATTTCGAAATTTCTACGGGTGGTGTAGAATCCTTCCAACATGGCGCGTACGGAGACTTATGAGCGCTGAGTGTAGCGATTTATCCTATCCACCTCATGAATGAGCCACGCTGCGTACATAGTACATATTTCGAATACTCCTCGTTGAAGTAAACGCTGTGCTTGAGATCAATTAAACACGATTCGAGATAAAACAGTGAGGATGCATGAAGGTGGTATACACACGCAGCAGACAGCCACGAAAGGGATGCCACAAGAAGAGACTATTACTCATGGATGGACCAGTCCCAGGCGTCCTTCAACCTAGAATGTTAGAAACCTAGAGCAACACTCCACGTGGGAATGACTGGACGCTGGCTGCTTACATGGCCTGCCACGCCTTAGCAGCATCACCGTGCATTTCATCTCCAGATGAAGCCTAGAAAGAGTCAAGAAATGCTGCTCGCTCAGGAGACACTATATTCGAAAAATTCTAACCCATGCGCCATGTTCATTATCAGCTCACAGCTGCAGTCCCCAGGCCACGTATATTCCCATGATGGGCAGTGAATATCAAATACTTACAGTTCGACTAAACTCTCTCACAACTTAGGGTCGCCTTTGCTACTCGAATCCCGGCCGCAACCGTGGCAGAACATACCACGCTGGGCCATTCGCACCCCCTTTCGAAATGCAATGAGCTCCACGATCAAGTAGTAAGAATTATACCAGTCGCATTAAGTAAGTCGGAAGCGTGTCAGAGGCACTCAAAATCGGCCGTTCCAGGCATGGTATTGGGCTGTCAGACTCAATAGGTTAGATTAGTTTCGAGTCTGAGGTATGACAAGCCAAGTGTGTTCCCGTTGCTTTTACCTCATGGGAGACAAACGACGCGAGGGGGGCATCAGGGGGTCAAATTCTGCGGCCTCCAGCGTACTGCCGTTCTGAATCGAAATGTCGCTGCCGCGCTCTAAATAGCTGGCACTTCTTAACTTTTTAAAACTAGACTTTTTTAATATGACAAGCCGCATTATAGCTAGATTAAGGCATATCAAAAAGATTAATGTATATAAAATAGATTAATATATATAAAATAGATAGTTTTATAAATAAATTTTATTAAAAATAATTATTAAATTACATTAAGGGTTATAAATAAATTTTTATATATACGTTATTATAAGCTTAATTTAAGGTTAAAATTGTTTTAATTAGATTTTTTTAATTCTCTTTATAATCTATCGGGAAATGCGCTGTTAAAAAATATTTTATTTTATTTAAAATTATTTAATTCGTAAAGTTATATATTATATTATTAACAATTTTTAAACCCGTACCTTTTCATTACCTTTTTATACCTTAATAACCTAAATTAATTCTATTAATAATGAGATAAAAGGTACGATATTTAAAGTTATAACTACCGTTATAACGTCGTACGTATCAGTTACTACTATTTTTAATAACTCCGAACTGAAGCTGTTTAAAAATAGTATAAAATGTCGGATGTGGGTGGCTCTGGGTGTTGGCTCAATGTGGTCCGTGCACTAGGATGGGGGGTGGTTGCCCCACCGCTCCGTCGCTACGCTAGATAGACGCGCCGCACCAGTATTTAGCTGTAAATACGTCCGTACGAGGTAGACACGAAACAAGCAACCAAGCAAGCTACATACACCCGAAACCACTGCTCCCTGAATTCTCACATAAAATAATATGTGCGACGTAAATGTAAAAGCGCGACCGTAAAGAACGTACTTTTATCGCTTCGTTAAAAAAGTTAGGAGGTGCTAGCTATTTGGAGCAGGGCAGCGACATTTCGACTAAGAACGGCAGTATTTCAGGTCCACCTGGGTCGCAACCCAGGCTGGCCACACGCGACCAACCGCTGCGAACCTCACAGACATTCACATATATGTAGTAATGAGACCGTTCAGTGCGTCATGAGCCCCTGCCATGGCGAAGAAGATCTCGTGACAAAAGCTTATCGAATACGGAGGGTGAGGGCGTCGCCTGCCCGATTGAGCATAGGCTCGGTTGCAATGGCCCCTGATCACGGGAGATGCACGGGAGATCTCCCCAGACCTGGCAAGTCAGGGACCCAGGGCACCTGCGGTAACAGGGGTTTAGATTGCAGGTAATCCAGCATGAGGCCGCAGCTTTTGATTGACCATGCGTACCTACTTAACTACTGTACCTACCTTATCTTGATGCAACGAGACGCGGGCTTGGCAGGTTGGGTAACGCTGCCCGCATCTATAAGATGGCCGCGCTCGCTCATCGAAGACTTCTGTTCTTGCCTTCTTGCTCAAGCCCGGTACCTCCCCTCTTGGCTCTTTGGCTAGGAAATACGGCTTGGCGGTTCCAGTATCTTTATCACCATGATTTCCCTACTTGCCCTCTTCGCCACCGCGACCGCGGCCCGGGTAATGGACAGCCTACCTTCGGTTCCCAAAGGATGGACCGAGGTTCGCCAAGCTTCCCCAGAGGACCCGATCACACTCCGCATCGCCCTGCCACAGCAGCACGCGGCAGCGTTGGAGCAGGCAGTCCTTGAGATGTCGACGCCTGGTCATGCCAACTACGGAAAGCACATGAACCGCATGGAACTGCGTTCCTACACGGCACCGACTGAGCAGTCGGTCTCGTCTGTTGTCGGCTGGCTGGTCGAGAGCAACATTGAAGCATCCGTGAACAACGACTGGATCACCTTTGCCACGACCGTGGGAGCGGCCAACGATCTGCTGGACACTACCTTCGCATGGTACCAGTTCGAAGCCGGCGGCAGCCCCAAGCTTCGCACGCTTTCGTACAGCGTCCCGGATGAGCTGGCTGAGAACATCGACCTCATCCAGCCGACCACCCGTTTCGGCCAGCTCGGCGCCAAGAAGTCGACCATCTTCGAGATGCAGGTGCTGGGACCAGCGGAGGACGAAGCCGAGCTTGACATCGCTGCCGCTGATTGCAACACAGCGCGGATAACGCCTACCTGTATCAAGTCGCTGTACAATATCAAGTACACCGCCTCGCCAGAGGGTAACCTGGTCAGCTTCTGCTCGTACCTCGAGGAGTACGCGCGATACTCGGATCTGGCCACATTCGAGACGCAGTACGCACCGGACGCCGTCGGACAGAACTTCACCGTGGAACTGGTGAACGGCGGGCTGGACGGGCAGACCAGCAGCGACGACAGCGGAGAGGCGAACCTCGACATCCAATACATCCTTGGTGTTAGCGCCCCGATTCCGATCGTAGAGTACAGCACAGGTGGTCGAGGGTGAGTCGCGCTGCTTTGAATCCGCAATAGGTGCATGAGACTGACTTGGCCCAGACCGCTCGTACCGACCACTGACGAACCTGGTCCGGACTCTTCGAACGAGCCGTACCTCGAGTTCTTGACCTACATCCTGGACCAGGACGACGCGTCTCTGCCCCAGACGATGTCGACGTCATACGGCGAGGAGGAGCAGTCCGTTCCGGCCGAGTACGCCCTGAAGATCTGCAATATGTTCATGCAACTCGGTGCCCGTGGTGTCAGCATCCTGTTTTCCTCGGGCGACTCCGGTCCCGGCGACTCGTGCGTACGCGAGTCAGACGACGCGCCCTACTTCCAGCCCTCCTTCCCGGCCGGCTGCCCCTATGTCACCTCCGTTGGAGCCACCCACAACGTGGCCCCCGAGGCCGCCGTCAGCTTCTCCAGCGGCGGCTTCAGCAGCCTCCACGCCCAACCTTCGTGGCAAGCCGAGGCCGCGGGGGCCTACCTCGAGTCCATCGGCTCCACCTACTCGGCCTACTTCAACGCCTCCAACCGCGGCATCCCCGACGTCGCCGCTCAGGGGTCGTCTTTCGCCGTGATCGACAAGGGCCGCAGCGCCCTGCTCTCCGGAACGAGCGCTTCGGCGCCGACGTTTGCCGGTGTTGTGGCTCTGCTGAACGCTGCCAGAGTGAGCCAGGGCGATGCGCCCCTCGGGTTCCTCAACCCGTGGTTGTACAACAACACGGCGGCCTTCTTCGATATCACCACCGGCTACGGCAGCGGCTGCACGGGCAACTCGGCCTTCCCCAACGGTGCGAGGTGGAACGCGACTGCTGGCTGGGATCCCGTCACTGGCCTGGGCACGCCGAACTTCGAGGAGCTTCTGGTGGCAGCGGCTCCGGGGGTTGAGAATGCTTAGATGGAATGCTTAGTGGTAGACTGCGGCGAGCCTCTGAATATGAGTATGTTAATAGTAGCCCTAATGGAATGATTACCGAAACATCATGTAGTGGTACACATGTATGATTCACGTTTGAGGTCCTGGACCGTCACCGTATGATGATTGTGGCCGTCAATTTTAAACCTGGTGACACGGCGCCCCAAGGCCCCTGATAACAAGGGGGCGCTTTGCTCTGTTTCCTCTCCGGCCGTCCGACGACGTGCGTGATCAGCCCCTGACGTACCTGGGCTGAATGGTTCCTCGTTGAGTTGGTCGAGTTTAGTTATCAGTAAGTAAGCCGCCCCAAGCTCCATCTTCTCCCGAGGTTCATACTTGGCCCTGCGTATCCCAAAAGGAGCAGCGTCTGTTAAACGAACATGCTGGGTGAAGCATTACTGATTGGCGAGCGAGGTGTAGCTTTTAGAACCTTGAATAAACCCCAAAGTATAGAAAAGACCCGGCGTCTGATTCAACGGGGACATATTGAAGTCGGCCAGGCCAGTCTTGGTTCTACTTCGACTCTACTGCCAGTTCTTGCTCATCGTTTCCACGATGACTCCATGATCCTCATGCTGCTTCAATCCCGACACCACCACAACAGCAACGACACCCTCGACACCCTGGACCCGAATAGGAACGGCCCCGCCATGGATGGCGTAGCCGGCCGCCTGCTCCTGACTCAGGCCGTATTTCTCCCGAAATTTGTCCTCCTGCCCCTCGAACTTGCAGTGCATAAACCATGTGCTGCACCCCCACCTGAGCGCCGAGTTCCTCTTCCGCTGCACCCACGTCTCGTTGTCGGGCATGACACCCGAGCCGACGGCGCACTGGAATACCACCTGCCCGCCGTTGGCGAGCGAGATGGAGATCAGCGTCGGCTTCTCGGACGAGAAGGGGAGGAGGCGCGCGTAGAGGAGGTGGCCTAGCTCCCACGCGTCGTCCATGGTGAAAGAGGCGAGGGTGAAGGAGTCGCATGTCTCTTTCACCTTTTCGGCCTGTACATCCGTGTCAGATACCGTGTAGACGTCTGCAAGGGTAATGATGAATGCCAAACCATACATCTTCTGGCGGACTCGCGATCGCAGCAGGCGATTCGGACTGCGAGGCGGCCAAGACGGCCTGCAGCCCGAACGCAGGGTTTTCATTGACACGTCTTAGGACTTTCTGCGGCATCTTTGAACTTGCGAGGGGCGGCAGGTCAGGGGCTGATGATGAAGTTGAATGTTTGAGTGAGTACCTACGATGGGCATGACGTCGAACCTCCGCAGCAAGAGAATTACTAGTTTCTCCACTTCGGGCCCGATTCCGGGGCCGATACCTCATCAGACGACGTCAGATACCATCGATGAACAGGTTCATCGGCCGGAAGAAACAGTTTGAATCCACCTGTATGAATATAAAATGCATGCACCGAGATTATAGGGATCGTCTTATGCCAGTGTATCAGCTTACGCCGTGCCGGATGAGCTAAGCTTGATACCCCAAATGGAGAGCCTGAAGGTGACTGTGTGGGCAAACGCCATTGCATTACAAGAGTGTTGTAAGAACTGCAGAGCATGAAGGTATACATACAGGATCAATGAACTGGGCAGTCAGCTTTGATATAGGTACACCACACTGGCAGTCAAAATAGTGTATGTGGTGATGATGTGCCGCATCATAAACAGCGCCACAGTATTCACATGCAGTATGACAAGTGAGGAGGTATTTATTACGCCTGAACAACGTGTCCACCAACTAATTAACATAGTGTAATTAACATAGTGTATATCTAGTACCAATACTCCAACATCACCGAAAGCATCCCAATCTAGTCCCAGTTGCCAGACCCGAGATCAACAGGCTTGCCGTTCCGCACATCCTCCATGATCTGGTCGATGCTCCAGGGCTCGTACTTGTATCCAGGCGGATAGTTCGGGGGCACAGAGTCAACCTGGTCGAACGGAACCCCCTGCTTGATGGTCTCGGCCATCTTGTGGTAGTTGGCGTACGCGTACGACTCGGGGTCGTGTCCCCAGACCCAGCTCGGCAGCTTGGGCTGCGCGCGCTTCGGGTCGAACTTGACCTTGCTCCAGTCGGTGTCCTGGAGCAGTTCGGCGTTGGAAAATCCGAGCTTCTGCGCGCAGGAACACCGGATGAATCGGAATCGGACGTGCGTGCGGACGGATAGTGGCACGTTCTCTTTGCCGCCGATCTGGAGACACGAGGCCAGCGAGACGGCATCCTCGATTGCCTGTGTTGCTCCGTTACCGGAGGCGGGCAGGAAAGAGTGAGCGGCATCGCCGATCTCAACCACTCGTCCGCATGGGGATGCCCATGATGGTTGGGGGTTGCGCCAGAAGAGCTCGAAGTTGATGATGGTTTTTGGAGGGGTGAGCTTGATGAGCTCCTTGAACATAGGTGCCCATGGTGTGGGACCGACTCCCTTGTCCATGTTGGTCAGTACTTCATCGGCTTCCACGGTGTGGTTCCAGTTCTCTTCTTCGGATCCGGTGACCTATTGCACGTTAGTGAGTGGCGGCGCGGTGGGCTTCGAACACGACTTACGTCGTGATTCATGATCCAGATACATGTTCCGGGGCGGGTCAGTGTCATTGCATATGTTCCTGGGCTGTGGGCAGCGCGGTCAGTCACAACCTCTTATTAGAATGTGCGAAGATCAGGTCATCAACTTACCCAAGCCATGTTCTGATGATGGGTTCGCCACCATTCTCACCGACCATTTTGAAGAACTCCTTCACCTCTGGGTTCTTATCCAAATGGTGGATGGGGAAGGCTGCTCTCCACATCGCCCGGCCGGAGCTCATGGCTCTTACTTGGCCACCAACGAGCTTCTGGGATTTTGAGCCCACGCCATCTGCCGCGATGACAATGTCGGCCTCGAACCGCTCACCCTGGTCAGTGACGACACCGGCCTTCCCGCGCTCCTCGTCCTCCCAATAGTCGACAACTCTCTTGCCGAACTGGACTTTGACGCCCAGCTTCTCGACTTGGTTGACGAACATCTTGTAGACCAACGGTCGCATCTGGAACGTCCCTGGCGGAGTGTTCGGGTCCATGCCCGCAGAACGCAGCCGGTCGGCCACCTTCAGAGGAGGGATCATGCGCTCGCCATTATGCTTGAACGTCTCGATCCAGGCGTTTTTCATGGAGATCTCGTCATACTCCTTCGACAGCTCTGGCCAGTGGCGGAAGAACTTCGTAGCGCTGTGGCCCATGAAGTACATGTCACCTAGATTCCCATCAGTAGCCATTCTGCTGCTCATCGCCTGCCTCGCGACATACCTGCAGTGTTGATGTCTGCGTTTCGCTCGAGGACGCGCACAGTATGTCCCTTGCGAATGCACTCGATAGAAGCCGTCAATCCAGCCAGTCCTGTGCCTATGATGAGGACATCGATGCCGGTCTGTGGGTATGTGCCCACGGGCTCGCAGTCATTATTCTGGATAGAGCCCATGTTGCGCGAATGATGGTGCCCTGTGGTGTCCTGGTAGAGTTGCGTTGGCAGCGTTTGGGTGTTTGAGAAGCGAGCTTAATGTTTGAACAGATCTGTATAAGACAGTCTGTAGTTGTGAGCGGTATGAGTCGGGAGTGGTGTCACAGTAAGGACTGACAGTATTGGACAGGAATGCCATTGCACCAGTCACCACTTGAGACTTGGGCACAGACGATGGTAATAAGCTGCCCGGCCTAGATCCGGCTATGGTCATTCAGAGCTAACACGGCATCATCACTGTGCTGAATTCTCCACGCAAGGGCCGGCACCTGGCGCGGGTGGGACAGTCACACAAGCTCGGGACCGAGATTTCGCAGGACCTTGCATTCCCGGATACCCGTGCGCGCGACGTTCGCCCATATATTCACAATGTAACATCTACCGTAATTGTCGCTGCTAATCGCGCAAATGTCCCCTACCTGTTCATCGGATTATAAGGGGAAGTCCGCAAAGAAGCGGTATGGAATGATCGAGGTCGTGGCGAGAGACTGGAAATAACGGGCGATGATTCATGATTCTCGAGCGCGACCCTCATAGACCATGGCGTTAAGGTATTTCAGCTAATCACCATTGGTCTTGGCCATTAAGGTTCTCAAGGAAAGTCTACGCATCTACGAGGCGTTTATAGCGTTGAGGCTCAATTGTGCCAAGCCCGGATCTCCAGGACCCAGGGTTTAAAAGGGGAGGCAGCACATATCAGGCTTCGAGACAGGGGGCTGAATAGATGGCACACACGCACCGATCTATCTATGCCACTATGGATTTCTTGTGTTCGCAAGGACTTTTTGCAAAGTGCAAACCCATGCATGGGCTTTCGCTTCAAGGTCCGTAGATTGTTGGCAGGCCATTTGCTTCGATGTTCTGCACCACGCCCGTCCCGGGCGAGGTGAAATCGACCAAACTAAACATGGAAATCATCGCGATTCAGGACATCCAATCTCCATATCCACATATCATCCAGACGAACTGGTTTCCACATAGGGAGCCCTGATGGCGGTTGCATCGGCAACTACTTCGATGTGACTATCCGAACCTCAGCAGGCTTACCTTCCCCTGTGCAGACTGGCTTCGGTGATGTGGTCAGACCTGGGATGAGATAGCGATCACCCAGCGATATGCTCTGACCTCGCGTCTCACTTGGTGTGGCGCACCCCTTTTGTATAATGACGGTATCTGGTTGGTGCGGGCTAGTGTGAGACACACCTGTTCTCGAGCACGATAGACTTTTGCCTCGCAAATCTTGCTGCTCTGAGCGTGTCGCGTCCACCGCAGTGGCGCCAACTGCTGGTTGCCATGACCCCCTTGCTCGTAACACTCAGCACAGGCTGACCATGTACGTGCACGTGGTCTCGAAGGTTCCCCTTTGCCCGTCCAGGCCAAAGGGGACAGTCATGACCCGTGATCTCTATATGTGCTTCCCCCCTTCCTGGTTACTTGTTCAGTTTCCTGTTTCCCATGTTCTTTGAGGTACACAGTTGGCTTCTTGCTAGTCAACATGCAACTGTCGCTCATAGCCCTAGGCGTGGCCCTCATCGGCTTCGCCGTCTATCATCTCGTGAGGGAGTATAGACACATCAACAACAAGAAGAAGATCCCTGGTCCGACACTACTACCATTCATCGGGCGTATCCACGATCTTCCCATCGACTTCATGTGGCTCAAGTTTCAAGAATGGGCACAGCAGTACAGCGGGGAGAATGGGTTCTACATGACGGAAATGCTGGGCTCCAAGTTCCTGGTCATCACGGACGAGAAGGTGGCAGAGGAACTCCTGATCAAGCGAGCGAGGTACAACTCGGATCGGCCAGTTATAAGATCGCTGTTCGACTCTAAGAGTACTCACGGGTCTGGGGAGTATTTACCATTGATGGGAAAGAACAGTGAGTTCTGCAACAGTCAAGACCTCACTGTATTACTGACATATTCAGAGTACTGGGCTCGTCAGCGCAAGCTCACACATGGATACTTGACGGAGGCGAGCAATGAACACTACTACGGAGTCATGTACCACGAGTCGAAACGATGGATGGCAAGGTTGATCGAGAATCCCGACGATTTTCGGTTTTCCCTTGAGGATATGGCATCGAAAGTCATGTGTCAGCTGACGTGGGACGATCCAAGTCTCAGCGAGTACTGCACCAAGAGTGCATGGGGGTTGCTAACGCAAATGTCACCCGCCGGTCCTCTCACCAACGTCCTGACGCCCCTGTGGCATCTCCCTCTCCCGCTCAACCCATGGAAGCGAGCTGAGTACAAGCGCCACGACGAGCAGCAGGCCTGGTGGATGGAACGGTTGCTCACGACTTCCGACAAGATGGACCGTGGACAACAGCGACCATGCTTCACACGGAAGTATCTCGAGACGGGACACAATCGTTCCAAACTCGATGGCGACCACGAGGCATCCTCCGTCATTGGCATGATGGCACTTGTCGGTATTTTCACCGTGGCTGGTCCATTGTCGTACTGGCTGGTTTCCATGGTGCACCACCCCCACTGGCAAGCTTCTGTGCAGAAGGAGATCGATGATAACTGTAAGGGGCGGATGCCGACGCTTGAGGACACGCCGAAGTTGCCCATCTTGAGAGCTTGCATCAAGGAAACAATGCGCTGGAAACCGAACGTCCCTACTGGTAAGTCCGAGACCCTTATCCGGTACTTCCGTACTGATCTAAATACCCTACAGGAGTCGCACATGAGATGGAAGCCGACGACGTGTACCGAGGATACTTCCTCCCCAAGGGCACGAGAATCCTTCCTCTCGATTGGTACGTTCTTCCGATCCTACGATGTTCTGATCGTGTCACTCACGTTATACAGGGCGTTTATGCGGAACGCGGAGAAGTACCCCGACCCAGAGAACTTCCGCCCAGAGCGGTGGCTGGATCCCGGCTGGCCAACGTACCGAGAGCCTCTCACCGAGTACCCGACAATCAAGGGTATGACGTCCTTCGGCTTCGGTCAGCGCCAATGTCTTGGCCAGACGGTCACGCAAGACGAGTTGATTGTTGCCTGCGGCGCGTTGAGCTGGTGCTTCAACCTCAAGCCCAAGCAAGACCCGATTACCGGCTACGACCTTCCGGTTCCCCTTGACAAGTCCAACTCCCTACTCATCATCAAGCCCGACCCGTTCCAGATGGCATTCGAGCCACGCAACGAGGCCCGAAAGCAGGAGGCTCTCCGTCTGTGGGCCGTGTCAGACGCTCAAGATCAGCGAGAACGAGCGGCGTTCGCCAAGGGTGCTGAAGCTGAAAAGCTCTCTGATGTTTATGAAGCAGTTGACATGAGCTACGTGCCCGAGAAAGAAGCTGTGCTGGTGAAAGCCAATGAGATCCAGAAAGACGAGATCTTGTGCACTTCGATTGGCAACGTAGAGGTGGAGGTGAAGGTGGCGGTTGGTGCTTAGATTTGGTTCAACGTGCGTAGCACAATACCCATCGTAGTTGTCTCTGTCCAGGAGGCTGTCGGACAGTAATAGGGAGGAGTACACGCGGGATGGACTACCTCGACAGCCACGTTCAGTCTGCTTTCCTTCGAGCTATATGTACTACAGATATTTCGTCTTATATCGCACTCATTTACATAGATAGAGATTCAAACTGGGTTATTTCGTGGAAGCAATCTTTGTCAAGCTGTGAAACCAATCCTTACACCTAATATGAGTATGAGTTTACTGCGGACTATCTCTAGCTGAAGGCGGCTGTCACGCCTCAAACACCTACCAGGAGGGCGGCGATGGTCTCCACGAGGCAGTGTGTTCCACGATGATTGATTGATTGGTGACTCGTTACGTCTCGAAGGTCCCGAGGGGACGGAATGTCACGATACAGTCGATAGTACCTGGGCTAGAGGCTAATGTCAGCACCAGCAAACCTTCGGAACGCATTCGGCGGTGTATTAGGGGGGAGGGGAAAAAGAAACTAGCATCGGACGCCCGCCGAATGGGTGTGCGTCCCCAAAACCTTGTTGCACGCATAGGACCCGTGCAAGTTAGTCCAAGGTCCGGCACACGGCTGATCAAAGGACCTTGGCGCAGCTCTCGGATGACCACGGTAGCAAATCAAGCACCGTCATCACTGAGGGTCAGTCCGCATCCCACCATACCGCGCGGACTACCCTCTCACGGAGTCCTCGCATGGTCGGACATCTACTTTGGGGCGACTAGTCTCTGGGCCTTGGGCGGCCTTCTGGCATATATGTCAGACTCGTGCATGTTTTCACGACCTGCACCGACGAGGTCCACGAATCCAACTGACTACATGCATTGACACCCTGACACGACGAAGCACACGAAGTCTCACCCGCCCACTCACGCAACCATGTCTGTCGTCCCCCAAGCTGTCGTAGGCACCACGATCGCCTTCTCCTTCATCCTGTTCGGTGAGTATCAGACAGCAGATTCCCTACGGATTGAGTACAGCGCTCATATATTCACGACAAGGCAATGCGATCACGCAGTCCTTCATGGGCGTGCCAGCACTGCTGGTAGACTTCCCCGCGCCCTCGTCGCCCGACCACGCCGCGCGCGCCCACCTCCTGGGCAGGCAGTGGCCCGTCTTCTGGGCCGTGGGCAACGTCTTCTTCCGCCCGATCAGCACGCTGGGCATCTTCGGGTACGCCTACACGTCGTGGGCCGCGGCCAACCAGCAGCAGGGACTCGTCGGCGGCAACCCGCTGGGCGACTGGCGGCTGTACGCCGTCTCGGCGCTGTGCCACCTCGTCACCGTCATCCACTCGGCGCTCAACATGCAGCCTATCAACGAGAAGCTGGACGCGCTATCGGAGCCCAAGGGCAGCAGCAGGGTCGACCACAAGGAAGCTGAGAAGTACGCTCGCCGATGGATCAAGTACAATACCGTGCGCATCATCACCCCCGTTGTGGCCGGGTCGCTGGCGCTGTGGCAGACTATCCAGAAGCACTGATTGTCAGGGTGATTGATGAGGCAGTACCTAAGGTCCAGTCGGACAACTAGGGGAGTCCAGGAGCACGCATCATAGATATTGGATTTGGGGTATAGCTTGGTAGGGTCGCTGTGATTGGTGTGAATCTCGTGTCGATGCTGAGTCACATTGGTGATGGTAGGAAGAGATAGATGGTAGAAATGAATATAATCCTGGTGCATTGGTCGGACAATTTTCATGCATTGGCCGTCAATAGTTCATGATGCCGTGTATTCCTAGTACAACATGAACTTACACACGTGGGCCGTTAACAGTCCAATCATCTTGAGTACATACATGTAGTCTTCGGATAGGGGGGAAATTTGGACCAGTGTCAGGGACCAAGACACTTCCGAATAGTAAAGTACAACGCTCAACCATTGTGTATCCCAAGCAACCGCCATGGTAGAACTTAATTTACTTTGAGACAAAGTTTCAAAACCGCCTGACAATATAATGAACTGATGGTGTATATTGTGCGGGGTATTAAGTTATTGTGTAGCGTTGACTTGATGAGCCCAGACCAGCCAACGATGCTTCCAGGATCAAAATAACGTTTGCACCAAGTAAACCTTAGCAAGCCGACCACCGCAACCAACTGGGTAGATCCTGTCAAGAGACCACACCCAGTTCCGGCCCCTCAGACCCCAGGTTAGTAGTGGGCGCTTCAAAGTCCTTGGGTTTGTGCTTCCGCGCCATCTCCATGGCCTTGGCGCTATCCACGAACTCCTTGACGCCGACGACCTGAGTTCCGTCGTCGGACAGCGTGATCATCATGATGCACTCGTTTGTCCACACGCCCTTCCCGCCCTTCAGCACCCCCTGCATGTGCGCGTGTACCACCACGACCCCGGACGCGCCGTCGTCGACCATGGACTGCGGGACCATCCGAAACTCGTCGAACACGCCGAAGATCCCTGCTGCGTGGTGCGCGAAGGATTCCTTGTTGCGCGGGGGCATAGCTAGGCTCTCGGGCAGGACGTGGTGCTCGAAGTTTTGGGCCAGGGGCTCGAGCAGTCGGGGAACCGAGAGACTGCCATAGCCGTCGAGTAGAGTGTTGACAGTGGCCATGCGTTGTGATTTGCTTGCCTGTGCGGGTTGCTGCTGCTGGTTGGTATCCATGACGAATGTGGCTCGAATGGATGTATGTGTGTAGGGGTGGTGGTGCTCATATGGGATAAGCTTCGGCAGCGAGCATGCGGTTCGGCAATAAGGTAGAGATGAGATGCCTGGAGGGTGACTAAATAGTCGACCAATGCTGCAACCGGACTCCCGACAGGGTGACTCCCGGACTGGGGAATATGCGTGCGCCTGGGCAGTATGCTAGGTCTGATGCCCCGTTCGGTGCCCGATCCGTAACGCCGGGTGTGGGATTGAGTTTACGGACAACCACCTAGTTGGTGTAACTAGAACGACATGATGACCTCAACGATTCCCAAACCCTTGATAACTGTACCATTGTTCCTACCCTACAGCAGCTCCGCGACCTTCCTATTCTATTCCAACTCTAGACGACACCAAAGTGGCGTACCACTCGCATCTTTCTCCCGATACACTATTATCCATTAATATGTCCAAGACTATTCTCGTTACCGGCGCTACCGGCAAGCAGGGTGGCGCCGTCATCAACGCCCTCCTCAGCCAATCAATCGAGAACTTCACCATCCTCGCCGTGACCCGCGATGCCTCGAGCACTAGCGCCAAGGAGCTGTCCGCGAAATCCCCTGACATCAAGCTGGTAGAAGGTAACCTCGATGACGTCCCGGGGCTCTTCGAGGAGGCCCACGGCGTTGCCGGGGAGCACATCTGGGGCGTCTACTCAGTCCAGGTCTCGATGGGCAAGGGTGTGACCTTCGAAGGAGAGGTCAAGCAGGGCAGGGACCTCATCGACGAGTCCGTCAAGACCGGCGTGAAGCACTTCGTCTACAGCAGCGTCGAGCGCGGCGGCGACGAGAAATCGTGGCACAACGAGACCCCTATCCCCCATTTCCAGAGCAAATGCTACATCGAGAGGCATCTGCGAGACGTCACCGCATCGGGCAACTCTGGCGAGGACATGGGCTGGACGATCCTTCGGCCGGTCGCCTTCATGGACAACCTGGCGCCCGGATTCCCGACCAAGGTCTTCCTGGCGGCAATGCGAAACTGGGTTGGTCAGAAGCCCGTCCAGTGGGTGGCCACCTCGGACATTGGCGTGTTCGCAGCAAAGGCATTCACTGCCCCGCACTACTGGAATCGCAAGGCAGTCGGACTTGCTGGCGACGAGCTCACCTTTGACCAGCTCAGCGAGTCGTTTGAGAAGGCTACGGGCAAGCCTGCCCCGGTGGCCCCTTGGTTCTTTGGGAGCGCGCTGACCTACATGGTCACTGAGCTGCGTTTGATGATTGGTTGGTTTGCCAGTGACGGGTACAGGGCAGATATCAAGGCCCGACGCAAGGACCATCCTGGGATGTTGACCTTGGAGCAGTGGTTGGACAAAGAAGGCCCTTTTGTGACGCTAGGTCGTTGATGATTGAGCTAGGCTTTGAGCTTGGGAGTATTGTGGGAGTTGAGGTATTCGTGAGCTCAGTGTATCATCCTGCTGACCGGGTTGCATGGTTCTGTTGGCGACACAAGAAGAAATAACCAATTACATACATATTCCAATTACATGGTTGCCTACAATGAACAACTTGCGTTGAGTGAACCCGTGCTTCAACATTGATATGATCCCAAATCTGTAGCATCCTCAAAGCGAGGTTATTTCTCGACAGGATTGAACTGCGATACGATACTTGGGACCATTTTCAGACTGCTTTCGATATCTTCTTTTGAGTACAGTCTTCGTGATCGTTCCATAAAGAACATGGATGCGACCAATAGATGGACTTAGAGACGAGTCGAAATCTCGGCACCAGAGCAGTGCAGAATGCGTATAAAATCAAACCTCCCCGTCCCTGAGCGGGAAAAGGGGCTGACCCACGTCCGCCGAGGTGTGGGTCCCTATCAACGCGAAGTTAATGGGGAGCTGCTGGCAGAATTGCCATTTAGGTACATTATGGACAGTACTCTCTTCCAAACTCAGTGCGGTTCTCCATGGAGGAGCGGAATCCTTACACTCCGTCACAATATTTTTCTTATTTGACAGTATGCAAGCATGCGCCCAGCACGCGTAGCGCGGAATGTCTGCGACGGCGACCCAGAAGCAAGCTGAAAGGCAACTCAACCAAATACTCACCGGTGTAAACAGCAGTCCGATGGGAACTCGTCACGCCGACGATGGATACACGCCGCGCGCACCGCACCAATGTCACGTACGCCAGCGTTGTTCATAGCGTCGGGCTGATCCATCACTCGGTGTCAAAGTCGTTTCACGTCGGAGCCGTCCCGCCGGGTGTCTATGCGCTGTTCAGACTTGTATTGCACTGGACTGCAGGGGCTCAGGACTCGCCCCCTCAGAAGCCCGAAGAGCTGGCACAGTTGAGGCTGCCAAATGGCAACGGCTGGGGATCGAGGTTTGGTGGAGGTTGACAAACGGGCGAGCTGACCTGATACTGCTGGACGCGCCCTTGTGGGCTTATCAATGAAAGTCAAGGACCTTGTGAGTGTGACTCGGGTCATTGTGAACTTTTACTGCGTGAATTAGTGGAACGCATTGGGCATCTTCACTGCTCCAAACCTTGTTTGTAAGGATATTACTGCTTGATTTTACGTATATTTCTTCAGATCTCCCCGCCAACCCTCACCAACGGGCCGTCAGTCCGATCACGTCAAGATCGTGAAGACCTGCGAGCCATCATTAGAGCAGGGGGCGGAGTCAAGTCTGCCTGTTCCAGGCACAATGCAAGTCACGTTACGGTCGCTCTCGGGCGCGAGCACCAGGTCAGTACCGCCAGTGAATGGGATGAGCTGACCAGTATTGGTCAGGCCCCCTGCGTCCAAGTCAGTCAAGCATTCAACTCAAGCCCATGAAGTGATTACAAACCTCCGTCTGCCCTGCCTCCACAAGAGAAGATCGTGACGGTGTCTCCAGCTGGGCGACGAGAATCGAAGCTGATACAGCCGTTCATCTGAACCAAAGTCAATACATATGCCCCAGCTCAATGATTACAAGGGTTTGGGGACTTACCAAGCTGCTCACCAGCAAAGCCGAATCCTGGGCATCGTTATGCACCCCTGCGGTGATGACGTCGAACTTCTCATTCGGCGCGCCGGCACAGTCGACCAAGGACACCGGGATCAGGTTCTGTCGGAAGTCTCCTGCAGTCGGGTCGATGAATAGACACTGCCCACCTGGTGCCTTTATGCTCACGGATGTGAAAACGCGAGTGGCGGTATTGTCTCTTTCGTGCGACTCTGCGGCGGCTGTGGGCACGAGTGTGCCTCCCGCGCGGGAAACGGGGACTGCTTCTGTAGGGTCTGGTATACTTTCGGCGGGTGCATCACTTGTTGCTGGGGATGAAGCCTCCGCGGCCCCAGTGCTGGATGCCGTCGCTCTGATGTCTGACGCCAGTGCTGTCGTGGTGGTATCAACGCTGCCAGTCGTTTGACCGGTGGTCGTCGCGACTGGAGAAGCAGTAGTGGCGGACGAGCCGGAGGATACGATGGGGTCACTTGGCTGAGCGGGAATGCTCACGTTGGCAGAATCATCACCGAACGTGAACATCTGGTCATTGTTGTTTGTGGCACAGGCTGCGACACTGAGGACATCTCCATCGACAGTCAGGCATGACTGAGCGTCGTTTTCAGGCGAAAACATCCCCGGTCCTGTGCCGCCAAAGTAAGGAAACAGCTGCGAGTCCGTGACTTCGCCGCCGCCGTCAGCCCGGCCTCCACAGCTGAACAAGAGGACTTGGTTCCCAGCTGCTCGTCTTGGGTCGAAGTTGAAGCACGCGTTGGTCTGTACATGCATTAGACCTCGCTTTACATAAAATATATCTCGAAAGGAGTGAGAGCTACTGACTAGAGTGCTGACGATAAGCATCGAGTCCGCTACGTTGTTATGCTTGCCACTCGTGATGATGTCCCACCCTTGCCCATCTGTGGAACCACATTCACCAACTTGGATCGGGGTAAGATTGGCTCGAAAGTCTCCCGAAAGTTCGTCTACGAACAAGCATCGTTTGTCTGAGGTCTGCGAGCTGTTTAGCGAGCCTGCGACATCATCCGATCTTAACTTCGAAGGGAGCCATACCTGGATCTGTATCCCAGAGAAGGCCTTAGTGGCAGTGGCATCGGGCTGCTGGGCCTCTTCGAAAGCTGCTTGATCCAATGCCGTAACAGCCCTTTGAGCGAACGCCAATGGCGACGCCGTGACCAACGATGCCGAAGCAAGGGCGACTGAAACGACTGTCTTCATCGTGTCTTCAGTTGAAGTGTATATGAGTAAGAGGAATTGATGCTATTAAAATGATGTAGGTTCGTCACGCTGGAAGAACGGTGCGATTGAATGAATGAATGCGAGATCCAGCCCGGCGAAATTGTGACAGGAGAACCGAAAAGAACGACGTAAAAGTCAATAAAGGGACGACTGTAGAGAATGAAAGCTTCGTGGTGCGGACGAAGAGAACCATCGCCGAAAATTCAACCTCGTCTGAGGCAATAGATATAGGTATCGCGAGGGACTCTCCGGAGGAGCGCCATTAACCCTTTCTAAGATGATGAGTTTCCAGAAAGTTTCATGATCGCCCAGCAGTCGACAACATAAACCCATCGTCGTTTCAATCCGCGCCCTGAACATGGCCGGCAAGGCGATAGATGCTGCAGGCCAGACAGGAGGCCGACAAAGGAATGCCCAAGAACGGGTTGCCGCTGAGGTTGATGAAACGGTGCACGTTGCAGCGCCCGGGGGTTTTAAGCTTATCAGCGTAGATGAGATGGACGCGGGGGGGCTGCCAGGGGCTGGGGCTGGGAGCTGAAAGGATCCATGTGGAAGATCAGGCCGCCCGATAGGCCATGCATACTCGGTTTTCTGGTTGATCTAGATCTACTCTGCTATGGCGGGTAAGTAAGACGCATCTTCCATACTATCTCTGCGGTAGTATGAGCTTCTGAAAACAGTCCGCGGCTACCGTTCAGCTCGATTGGCACGCCTCTGGTGTTTGATACGGGTAGGTATAGAGATATAAGTTCGAAGGGTCATGGGCACTTACCCCCTGTCGCATCGCCTGGCCTACAGCGCGCTTGGACAATCCGACATTCACTTGGCACTCAGCGTGGCTCGATACAAGTACAATTTGGCATCTTCTTCCACCTGGCAATAGAAAGACCGGTATGTGATCTGGCATCGTCCGTGAGATGAGTGAGGCATTATAACCTTCTCAATTATGGCTTACAGTATAGAGTTGATGCCCATCTCGGGCACAGGCTCACCTCTGCGTTCACCTTGTATATGTGCCTAGGTGGGTACGGTATGAAACCGATTGGTGCATCCCGCATGCTGCTGTTCTGCTCACCCTTCCATTTCACCGTCATGTTCCGCCGAAGCACTAGCAGTTTGTGAAGCTAACCTGTCATATATCGTTTCCATGGCGTAGGTAATGGGGAAAGCCATGTTTCCGACGCTCAGGGGCACCCGTTCTGCTACGAGACGAATGCCCACCCAGACGGGCCTCCAAGCTCGGTATGCAACTTGAGTCGGTTCACGGAGAATCATTGAGATGAGCAAACGAGACTCATACATTTATACTCAATTCTGCAGAAGACTGCGACTCTTCTTTCTTTCGGTAGAACCCTCTTCTCCAGCGGATGCAGCTGTCTCCCCGTCGTGTTTGCAGGTCACAGCGAGCCCAAAGAGATTGCCAGCGCCGCATACTTCGCTTCAAGGGCACCATCAATCGGACACCACGACAACATTGTTGGATCGATTATTTCTGACAAAGCGACGCTTGATATCGTCGTCGCATAGACGTGAGGTATGGCGATGGCGTCCGAATGTGGCAAGCCATAGAAAGGCGAGGTGGGTCCTGAGTCTAGAAGGTGTCAGACCCCCTTATCCCTGGCGAGATCTCTAGGGATCAACCACATCTCCAGCTTCTCCACGATTGAGCCCGCAGCTTGCTGCTCACTATTTCCCTATAGGGAAGCTCGCACGCGAAGGTAGCAATGCCGAGCCAGAGAGGTGGATGATGCGGCTTCCTGCGGGGGTTTTGATTCGCATCTAGAAGGCAAAGCTCGCTCACTGTTGGGGAAGCTGGATGAGGCTAGATGTGGCGCGATCGGGTTGAACTGCAAGGCCTTTGGCAATGCAGTTTGCCGCTTGAAGTTGGAACTGCTATGTGCTGCGCCAGCCACAAACAAAATCCTTTGTGCTCCACGTCCTCGGCAGGCCAAATTGCTTTCGTGTAGCTTGACGCACCTGAGAGGTATGCCTACTCACCTCGTTCAGCATGGGATCATGCGGCGTATCTTCGTGAACCCTTTGATGTCATCGCTTGGGCTTGTCAACGGATGGGCACCAGTGTCGAGATATGGCGATGAGACCGGATTTAGTACTTCTTGAGCAACGAAGCTGAAGACGATTAAAGTCTAGCTCAGGTCTAGAACCAGCATGTAGCATCGCCAAGGCCTCAGCACGGAGCGTCACATAACAAGGTAGGACTGACTACAGTCAGGCGGCCGTATGGTTGGATACAGCTGCCACCTGTCTCGAGTAACGCATGTGGACCTTCTCGAAGCGATCGCCAACCCGGTGCCTGGCTGCCGGTTTAAAGCTTATCGTTCCTGATCTGCAACGTTATGCCGGACGGACCTGCTGCATCGGGGAGTTGAACAGGATCACTCCAGGTACGACCAACGACGCCTGTTACCCAATACCGGACGATTGTCGCCATTCACGACATCTGACCGCCGCGTCCTGGGCCCAGACTGTCTGACGGATGGGATATAAAGCGTAACCAAGTCCTCTATATCCTTCATTTCCGGTTGACACTCGCAACTCACGCCTCACGTACGAAACATCATGAAGTTCCTTCAGATCCTTGTGTTCGTGGCGCCTCTGGTCCTCGCGACCCGAGACCGACAGGGCAAGGAAACATACGACGGGTACAAGGTCTTCCGTGTCTCGACAAAAGTCGATGCTTCGGCATTTGAGGAGCAGCTTGAGTCTCTGGCTGCCATTGAGCTCAGTCGCAACCATGGGCACATTGACGCGCAGCATTTCGATATCGCTGTGCCGCCAGAGAGTCTGGAAGCATTCGGCGCTCTCAACTACACCGCCGAGGTGTTGATCGAGGACCTTGCAGCTGACATTGCTCTAGAGGGAGACCTCGAAGGATACCCAGGTCAGCCCAGATCTCAACATTGGCCGTGCCGTACGCTAACAAGCTACCAGGTGTGGACTTCAGCATCCAAGCGGACCAGGCTGCTGCCGCTCTCCCGAGCGCGACGTGGTTCAATGCATACCACCCGTATGCGGACCATCTGACGTTCTTGACGGCCTTGCAAGCGGCCTTCCCGTCCAACTCGGAGCTTATCACAGCCGGTAGCTCTTTTGAGAAGCGTACCATCCAGGGCATTCACCTGTGGGGAAGCGGTGGAAAGGGTTCGAAGCCTGCCATCTACTGGCATGGCAATGTTCACGCTCGGGAATGGATTACTTCGATGGTGCGCCAGATTCATACTCCGACTTGACCCCGTTCTGACTGAGGATGTCTAGGTTGTTGAGTACCTTACGTACCAGATCATCCTCAACTACAACAACGACACGACAGTGAAGACAACCCTGGACAACTATGACTTCTACATCCTGCCTATCGTGAACCCAGACGGTGAGCCAAACCAATGATCGAGTCACCCGTTCATCACTGACTTGCATAGGCTTCGTCTACACTCAAACTTCCACTCGCCTGTGGAGAAAGAACCGTCAGACACGATCGGGTTCCAGCGCTGTCGGAACCGACATCAACAGGAACTGGCCCTACATGTGGGATGGCGAGGGTTCATCTACAAGCCCAGGATCAGGTCAGTAATCCTAACCCGAACCCTAACCCTGTCCAAAGAACGTTACTGAGTTGTACTACTAGAAACGTAAGCTTCCACTGCTTCCATGGGCCAAGATGACTCAAGAAATATTTTACATGTTTCCTTGTCGTTCTCTGCATCCTCGGAACCTGCAGTACTTCATCGTTTGTGGGACACTGACTTAACATAATACAGGTACCGTGGAGCTGCAGCTGGAGACACCCCTGAGAACACTGGGATCCGCAGTAAGTACACCAAAGTGATATGGGTCGCTTAGGAATCCATGCTGATTATGGTTTTCAGAGTACGGCGACACGCTAGCTGCTGGCAGGGGTGTCAAGAACTACATCGATTGGCACAGTTACGGCCAGTATATTCTGACGTAAGTTCACCGTGCGCGGTTCTCAATCTTCTGTCGTATGACATACGCCCCTGAGACGGCAATAGCACCCACTAGGTCGGGACCCTATGAGGATATCTGCTTACATTCGATACACAGGCCCTACGGCTACGACTGCTCGGTTTCAGCGTCGAACCAAGCTAAGCAAAACACGCTGGCCGCCAACACCGGCGCAGCTATTGCCAAGTCATACGGCACGAGATTCACTACTGGCGGTACTTGCGCAACCCTCTACGCTACTGCCGGTGGAAGCAACGACTACATGACCGACGTCGCAGGGACGGAGTTTGCGTGAGTTTATTCCCAACCCACCTCTAATGAATGCTTCGTTCTCACTTGACTTACTTACTGACTGGTCTTCAGCTGGGCTATTGAGCTCCGCGACACTGGTGCAAATGGTTTCGTCCTGCCTGCTGCTCAGATTGTACCGAGTGGCATTGAGGCTTTCGCGGGGATGAAGTACTTGTGGACCAACATGTAAAGCTCCCATAAGATAGGTAGTTACGCCGAGACGTTGGACTTTTGTTTGGGCTATCCACACGGCTTATATACTTTAGCTACTGCAATATCATCATGCATACTCTATAGTTCACTCAGAATGTCTGCTTCGAATCCCTCGTCTAGCTTGCCAACATCCCCAGAAAGCCCCGCGTCGTGAGGTGGCCCTTCATGTGTTCCTCGACCGTCGACCAGACCGTCATACGCAAACCGCAGCCAATAAACCAACTCAGTCGTGCTGTGCTCCTCCAATCCACGCATGATGTCCACGGGCGTAGTATCAGGCATCCACATCTCCGAGCGAATCTCCATCCCAGACCCATCCGCCAAGTCCCGAGCCGCTATAATCGTGTACCCAAACACAGTCCCGTCCATCAGCGTCAACGCTACCACATTCTGTACCGGAAATTCGGCCAGGTCGGGCATGAACGGCTGTCTGGCGGTTGGCTTCGCGCTTAAGTGCGCGATCAGCCCGGCGCCCCAGCTCTCGATGATGTCGATTGTGATTCCCCCGTCGGACGCTAGCTCCAGGTAGTGCGCCGGATGTCCCGCCATCAGTGCGTTCGGGAACGTGGACCCGGCGCCGGCGCTAGCGAACCAGTTCGCGAAAGACGTTGCGTTGAGGATGGCGGGGTTTACGAACGCGCGCACGAGCACCGGCCGTGAGGTGAAGCGGCCGGACGAGCGGGCGACGGTGGCGTGCCAGAAGATGTTGGCGGTGGCGATGTCGGTTTCCAGGAGGGCTAGGGTGCCAGAGGGACCGAGGCGGGCGCGGATAGTGTGGAGGACCGTGTGAGCGGCGGTTAGCTCGAGGGCGTCGAGGTTCGACTTGGGGGTTCCTTGGAGGACTTCGGTCTTGATGCCTTTGTGGGGTGAGGAGTGTCCAAGGGGTGGGATGAGGCCAAGAGGATGAAGCCGAGGCAGACGAGGAGGAGGTGCTTGATCGCCATGGTGCTGGTGTGGTGTCTGAACTTGTGCTTCAGTCTTGTGTAGTCTGGAAGGTGGGTTCGGTGGTTGAGGTTCTGGATGACCTGAGCTCGGTGTGACGGTTCAGTGTCCTCTTGTAGATCGTCGAATTCCTCCACTGATGATGATGGCCTGGATCTGTTCGTCCTGTCTGGATACGGTCAGCTTACGTCTTGGCGTAGTACGAAGGGTGTTTTGTACTCAGAACTTTAGACGAGTCTGGCAGGATGATGTTTGCAGATGGGAATTGCTCTTGAGGTACGGGAGCCCACCAGGTCACAAAATTGCATGCGTGCCTAAAAACCGCGTCAGGTACGTGCTTATATATTTACAGTCACGGCACCCCTCGTATGGGGGTTACTCTAAATAGATGTAAGGAGAAGATATGAAACTCCACGTTTGCTTTGGAGTTCATGCAATCGTCGTATTATATGTCCTCGCAGCATTAAGGACCTCAGTGATCGGCGATGTTTCCATACCACTGCATACTTATGTCACATCTTTCGGGAGGCTTAGACAGCAAGCTCGTGGGCCCATCGCTAGACCTTGAATGTCAATCACGAAGATGGCTTCTTGACTACCTATAGTTCTACCTTCGGGAGAAAGTTGCAAAATCTTACCAGGTTCGTCAGACCGAGTCGGGTAGGCGCGCTGTGGTTTCCTCAAGAGTCAGCGCTACCTTTTCTCCGCCGTAATATGAAGCCATGCAGGGTATTGTCGTCAGATAAGCTGCTTAGTCACTCCTCTCCCCGCTTTTAAGCAAATCGTGAGAGGTCACGGGCAGTGGTTGTTGAATGGCACGCAATCCACCGTGGCATCAGGGAGGTAGCGGTGCACTGAATACACGAATATCAACCACCTGAACCAACTACGCACTATTCGACAGCGGTATCGGGGTAATGAAGGTGTCTTCATTGGTTAGATCCCTACATGTGCCTGGAGATAGGATCTAGTACTAAGTATACACTCAAACCACAAAGCCCCTTTCACTGCCGTGTATACCAGGCTCCTTTGGCCTTCTTGATGCCTGGATCACCACTGCCACCAAGTGCTCACAAAAATGATCCAACCCCAGATCTCATCAGCCAGCTGTTGGCCTTGTTTCTTGAGGTTATTACGCCCTTCCGCATCCTTCACTGCCTCGGACACTCTCGACCCTGTAAGCTATTCGCGCGACGATGGTGATTTGGAAGCATTACTCCTGTCGGCTGCCAATAGTTCCTCGTGTAGACGGTGTATATGGAGATGGGCACCTTAGCGTCGGGATGTTCTCTCGGGAGGTGGTGTTCTCTAAGGGGCACTGGACGCCGACTTGAGTTGGACCCAAACGAGCTCCGGACCGTTGAAGTTGATAGTTTTCTTCATCTTGACGACCATTATCTGCCTGTCCTCTTCGCGCATCAGTTCCTTCCCAGTACTGGCCCATAGATCGTATGGCTCCAGGTCCTCCTCTCTCAGTTTGCGGCCGACACTCGAAAGTTCCCCCATGAACATGTATGCCTTTTGGATGTTGTTTGAATCCCCGAGGGGTCCCATTGCAGCTTCGACAATCCGCAGGTGCAGATTCAACAATGCCTTCGTCTCATCTGTTACGTTGGCCCGATGCTGCAGACGCGTGCATGCATTGTCAACCATAATGTGGCGTATAAGGTGGCTGTTTATGCCCCATTCGATTCTCTTCAGTTGCGCGAGGCCACCATGCGCACAGACAATGCTGTCTTCGGAAATGACATGCAAATGGAGCCGAGACTGTTTGTTCTTCTTGTGCCGGACGCTGATGTTGATGTAGAAGTGTCGGAGTGCTACGTGTTGGCTTTGCATGTTGACGAACATCAACGCAGACCACTTCTCGTAATATCTGCCCTTGTCGAGGGTAGACTGCGTGTCCGGATTGACATAGATGATTTCCGTGTCCAGCACGGCATATTTCCAGACCATCACGCGGAGCTCGGAAGGCATACGAGGGAATCGCGAGAAAGATGCGGGGCTAGCTATGGGTCAATGAATGGTTTGATGACATGGCGATGGCTAGGCTGGTTGGTGAAGATCCTAGAACTTGAGGGGTGTCGGTTTCCGCGTTTGGGCTGCGTTCGGGACGCGTTCGGTGTTGATGCTGGTCTCTGCAGTCAGGTCGCTTGTTGTAATGGAGTTCGTCTGAGAGGAATGGGGGGGGGGGTGTGTTGGGGGGGTACCGCCTTGGAATATCATCTGAAAGTGGTCGACGGTGGGTGGATGAGTGGTGCTGCTGCAAAAGGTACCTCTGGGCAATATGCGTTTCATTCAGACGAAAAGCGGGCGCACGAAACAATGGGCAAGTAAAGTATGAGTGAACGAAGATAATGAAATGGGGTACCGATGTGTGCTGCGGTAACCCAATCTGCGATGTCCTGGGGGCAACAAGCGTCAAATAGGGAATCCGTAGAGGGAGGTGATTAGGGTTGCGTGGCACCTCAATTTGGCCCCTCCTGGCTGATACCGAATATACTCGAGTGTCACAATGGTGGGTGGTAGGGTACTGAACGCTATATATGGCAGCGACGTTCCTCGCGGTTAAAGACACAGGCAGACAACAGGGTTAGGGTAAGGGTAGCCCATGTTTTGGGACAGAGTGGCATGTCCAGACCTTACGAAGCCGCATCCTGGCAACACCTAAAAGTGCTTCTCCTAGACAACCAGGTAGACAGACCCAGATGAACATTGCTCACTCTCACTGAGTGGGAATGTACCGGCACAGTTGATGAGCAGTTTCCTGTACCCGGCGGGCTACACGCCTTGGAGAAAGCATGAATATGGAAAGGTGTGTTGGATGGGCACTGACACAAACCAGCACCTTCATCCAACCCCTGGGTGATTCCACTTCTGCCAGTCCGATACGAATGAGTAGAGAGGGATCATGTAAACATAAGTTGGTTGTCCCTTAGCTAAGACAAGCTTCGAATGCCGAACAATCCACAACGACAAATGCTATGTGATTGCAAACAAAAGCATAGTCACCTTGCAGCTTCACCTCTCTAGATGAGGACCTCTATGCTATGCACCTGTCATCGCTTTCAGTCTACGACGACGAAGCCAGTATCATGCGCCTCCGTATCAACTTCCTCCACATGGACGGCACTATCCAAGTACCCACTGTGCAGCAGCGCCTGCTCAACACATTCAAATTCTTCGGCCAACGACCTGGTTCGTTCAGGCAGTATTGTGAGTTCATCACGGCCAACTTCACCGGCGGACCGGTCTTCAAAGAGGCTGCACGACTCATCGCCTGGGCGGGATGGCGCCTGGGAGCCCATTTGCTCTCCAGCACCGAATTCCAGACCCGGATCCAGGGATCCGAGGCTATAAATGCCGAGCACAGCATCAAAGTCTTCCGCTGGGCAGTCGCCCACATGCCCCTGACCGCAGCCGAGTTTCTGGATCGGCTCAAGAAGTGGGGCGGGGTGAGAATTTGTCAGGATGGAAGTACCTGGCTGGGATTGGACGGCGGGCTGGACCCCCTTTCAAAGACGTCCTGGCAAGCGGCATACCGCCGGGAATAGGGGCAGAGGGCATAATGCGTGCTTAAACCATGATTAATTCACGGTACCTGACGAGGAGCTGAAGCCGCTGCGCTTAAGTCTTATTGTTGTGGGTGGTGTTATCGTTTATGACAGTGGTGGACTGAGAGCCCGATGATGAGTTGTGGCTAAGTGTAACTCTGCTTCACGGATGTCGCGATTGTGTTCCTCTCGTTGAAGATCAAGTGTGCCATACCTCCTCCTTCTGTCTCAAATGATGAAAATTCCGTCAATTTTCTTTCTACCATCGAGATAGATGCATGGCGAAGAAAATTCTATTGGAGCTACGGGGAGCTGTGGCACTGGGGCTGAGTGAGAGTGTATATGAAGCTCAGATCGACATGAGCAAGTTAGAAATGAGTGTCTTCTTGCTGAAGGCCGCGAAAGAAGCCTCAATTGGTGGACACTGGGTTGGGAATCATGAAGTCTTTCCGAGGCCTTCGACCTGGGCTTCGGCCTGGGCATGCTTAGACTTCGGGGCGGACTTAGGGGTGAATAAAGACCTTGAGCATAGCCTCAACTGCCCAGGTGGCTACCAAGAGTGGTACATCTATATAGTGCGATACCCCTTAATCTTGGAATACGATGATAAGCCAACTTACAGGTTCAGCCGCAGCGGAGAGCGAGGCGCAGGTGTACGAAGACCCACTGCAAGAAAGTGCTGTCCAGGTTTTTCTGCCCGCGGGGAAACTTGACCGGCAATGCAGACGGAATTCAAAATGAGGCGTACGCAATTGAGCAATGCAGCTGTGCCCCGATCGCGGGACTCTGCAGCAGCATCTGCACCGATACGGCACAGCATCTGCACCGGTGCGGCACAGCATCTGCACCGGTGCGGCACAGCATCTCCACCGGTGCGGCGCGGACTGCACGGGCCCGTCCCTGATAGACGCGGCCTGTAAATAGTCGATGTATAAGTCCACGCAGGAATCCGTCGTCTGCTGATAAACCACAGCCAGCTTTGCTACCGCGACATAGCTAAGCCCAAGAAAGAGTCACTTCCACAGCCATGCGGACCTTCCTCCCCCTCGCGACCATAGCCGCCAGCGCCGCGGCAGCAGCCTCGATAAGCCGTCGGTCCGACCCGACGGTCGACTTGGGCTATGTGACACACCAAGGCCACAGCAACAGCCGCGGCGTCGACGAGTTCCTCGGTCTGCGCTTCGCAGCCCCACCACTGGGAGACCTCCGCTGGCGCGCCCCGGCGGACCCGGAGCCCGTCGCCGGTGTTCAGAACGCGACAGTCAAGCAGGCCGTCTGCGTGGGCCAGGACAAGTTGGTCGTCGCCGGCGTCACCGAGGAGGACTGTCTCTATGTGAACAGCGTACGTACATTTCAGTCTCCTAGGGGCTAATTTCAGCCCTTGCTCCCGAGGAACGCATCACGACTCTTTGTTGCTCGTCAAAAAGGAGTCATTGCTGACTCTGATTTGCTACCAGTACACGCCGTCCAAAGCGACGGCCAACCCCGACGCGAAGCTGCCCGTGTGGGTGTATCTTCAGGGAGGCGGCTACCAGACTAATTCTGGGGGCAACTATAATGGCACCGAGGTGATTGTGCAGTCGGGGTACGATATCGTTCATGTCAATGTCAACTATCGCGTGGCCCAGCTCGGGTTTCTCGGCGGTGTGGCTGTGGTCGAGGGTGGTGGCGATTACAATGTCGGGTTGCTGGATCAGTGGAAGGCACTGGAGTGGGTTCAGGAGCATATTGAGCAGGTAAGCTGATCATCTGCGAACAAGAAGGTGCCTTAATACTGACAATTCGATTCGATAGTTTGGCGGAGACCCAGACCAAGTCGTCCTCCACGGTCCCTCTGCCGGAGCCGGGGCCGTCAGTCACATCATGACTGCCTACGATGGCGTTGACCACGGGTTGTTCGTGGGCACGATTGGTGATGCTTTCGCATGGGGCGTGGGAGCCTATCCCAACGACACGGACGCTCACTTCGCCATGTTCTCATCGCAGATGGGATGCGCGAACGCCACTGATCAGATGGCATGTCTCCGTGCCACCGATATCAACAAGATCCAGACATTCGATCGAAACGCAGCACCACCCGCAGGAGTGCCCACACCTAACATGGCCATGTGGTTCAGCCCGCTCATCGACGGCGTCTTCGTCACCGGTCCCCAGCAGGACTCGTTCAGCCAGGGAAAATTCGTCAAAGTCCCCATGATAACGGGCGACGCGACGAACGAGGGTAACACGTTCGCGCCAAACGCCAGCACCACCGAGGAGGTGACAGCACTCGCGCAACTGGAGTTTGTGAACCTGACAGACGCCCAGATCGACACCATCGTCGCCGCCTACGACCACCCGCGGCCGCTGCCCCAGCACGCGGCCTATTTCTCCGTGGTGGCCGACATACTCGGCGAGTTCGGCTTCATCTGCCCCGTTAACAAGGTCAGCATGGGCGTGGCGGCGCACCTATCGCCCGATCAGGTCTGGAACTACCGTTGGAACACGACCGAGCAGCTGGAGGTCGACATGGGGTGGGAGGCGTGGCACACCAGCGACATCATCCCGTTCTTTGGCCCGGGCCAGGCGAGCGGTCCCGACGGGTATGAGGATCTCGACATCGGGTATTCGTTCTACCCGGGTGGCGAGAACGCGGCCATCGTGCCGGTGCTGCAGCACTACCTTATCAGCTTCATCAAGAATCTGGACCCCAATGTGGAGCGCTACGCGGGCTCGCCTGAGTGGGAGAACTGGGGCGAGGGCTTGGGACAGCGGCTGCGGATCCAGACGAATGCTACGGCTATGGAGGAGGTGCCGCAGGATCAGGTCGATCGGTGTAATATGTTTTGGGACCTCAACGATATCATGAAGCAGTGATGGGACGAAAAGAGGCTGGACAGGTTCTCGCATTTTGGGGGTTATTCATGGAGTGCGCGACCTATTTGCGACGGAAGCTCTCTAGGACAATTAGGTTGGGATTGTGTTACACTCAGCCCTTACAAGCTGTACGCTCATGTTGGTACCTAAGATTCCATATCACACGTGGAAATCCGGAGATTCTGGGATAACCACGCATAAATAAGCAGTTTTAGTTTAACGGGCCACTTCCAATGCTTATTCCATCATGCTTATTCCGATTCGATGCATACCTTGTTTGCAAGGACGGGTGGTGTACGGAGACTTATGAGGGTTTGGTGTAGATGAGAGTGCCACCACGTCGAAGACGGCAAAGGCGTTCTCGGAATATCAAGGTGTATGTATTACTTAGTATTCGTCCAATGCTTACTCCTTGTCATTGCCAATATTTCAATATTCACTCATCAGTCTCCATTGAATCGCTGCCCAGCTCGTCATCCTGCTCTGCTTCTTTCTTCTCTTCCTGCTTCTCTTCCTGCTTCTCCTCCTCCTCTGCCTGCTTCTTCTCCTCTGAACGCTTCTCTTCCTGCTCCTCGTCGTCCTCCCACGGCTCGTCCTCATCCGAGTCCATACCACCAGCCAACACGTTGTACAAGTAAGCCGAGCCCGATATCCAGGAATTCTCGTCCTCCGGGCGCGGATCTCCCTCCTGGTCGCTCTCGCAGTCGCCCACAGCGAGCCGGAACTTGATGATCTCCAGCGTCAGGGCGTCGTACTTCTCGAACATGTAGTTGGGATACACAGGGTGTTTCTTCCACTCGTGGCGGGCCTCGACCAGCCTGGTGAAGAGCTCGAAGAATGCGGACCCCGAAACTCGCTTGCCTCTGGCCCAGTCGATCTGGGTCCGGACGGCCTCCAGAACGTCCCAGAGGTCACCTGCACCGCCGGCGTTGATGATGGGGGCGGCGAGTTGGAACATGGGGAGGAAGGCGCGGGTGGTGCCTTCCTTGTTCAGACGGTAACCAGCTCTTCGGAGCGCGTTGGCTATATCCGCGTCGCGGTGAGGGCTGTTCGTGACCTGGCTGTAGCCGAGGAACGTCACTGGGGACCGGGGGTTAGCGGTGCCATAATGAGATGAGCAGGTTGGGGGGCTGGTCACTTACAGCCAGTGCGTGGCAGTGCGTCGCTGAGCTTTCTGGTTCGCAGCTGGAAGTGAAGTTTCTCAGCCATGACGGTGGTGGTGATGGATGCAATGAATTGCCTTGTCAAGGTGGTGGTTGCTTGAAGAGTGCAGACTTTCAGTGGTGGAGTTGTGTGGACCTTGGACCTTTCATGCGAGCAAGAGTAAGGCAAGATTCTTGTTTGAGTGGCCACAGCACTGTAGAAACTGGTCGTAATCATAGCGAATGTGGCTATTTCAGATGTTGCCTCAGAGACAGACATTACGCGGTGGTGTTGCCCAGCAGTCGAATCCAGCGGTCAGTGGTCCGTGCACTGAATAGGGGGGACTTCGGTACCCCGAGTGATAAGCAAGCGGCTACAGCTGCAGCCATCCACTTCCTTAGCTCCATCCCGCAGAGTACTCGTCGTCACATATGAAACATCTTACTTTGTGAGAATGCTGAAGCTGTAGGGTTTTGCCGACTGCCATGCCTAGGGCTCATACCCTTCTGCCAGTCCAACCCTATGATGCACATCGAACGCCGCATCAGCTTGTGGCACCACGTCTTCCAGACCACTCCTAGCATATACCCGACGCCTGAAGGTCGACTGGAGGCTCATCTCCGATACGTATTTCGTCCATACCCTTTCGACTTCCGCAACCAGATTGGCAGTGGAATTGAGGACCGGGACGTCACCAAATCTTTGGTCCCTTGGATAGCAGAGGCGCTGGCACTGGAGCCCGCTGGCATGCCAAAGGGGTCGTTCCAACTAGTCTTGGATGGTGACCCCGCCCCCACAAGGTGCTCGGATATGTGGCAGAAACTCCAGTACGATGCCCATTGGCAAGCAGTCGAACACCAGGCATGGGAACGAGGCCTGGTCCCCGGCCGGGTCCCCGACGGCGACAACGATTATGCTTGACAATATGCCTGGTACAAGATCTTCCCTGGAAGTAAGCGATCCCCCCGTCCAGTTTTGTTCATGTTCCCCCCGTCTCATTTTCTCCTCTTCATCCGTGTTCTACATTGCTGCGTTGACTTGTGTGCTCCGACCCGAGTGCTAACGGCGCATTATTAGCTGGGTTTCTCGGTATCGAGGCAGCATTACAGGACATCGCTGCTAGGACGTCTATCATTCAGTGCAACTTCCCTATATTCCCCGATCTACACGATGTCGAGGTAACTATTGCAAACCTTCCTATCCCAAAGGCCCAACGGCTTCAGCACCTTGCACGAGTACGAGCACCATATCTCCATCCACGAGGCATTCGAAACCGTGCCGCCTCTTCCGCCATGGGCCAAAGTTCTTGAGGTGAACATCCTACCCGAGTTCTTCGAGCGCTTCCCAACCTGGTTGACCAAAGGACGTAGGGGGCTGTCCTGGCCCGGGAAAGAACCGGAGACAGATGAGGAGATTTTCGACTACAACCTGAACTACAATGGGTGACGCTGCTGAAGAACGTCACCGAGCAAGTTCATGGCTCGCCTTTGCCGTTACAGCCCAAGCTTAGGAGGGCGGTCCTGAATCGAGTCACCTCCTACTCGAGTGACGTACGGGTCTACTGCGTGAGTAGTAAGACAGTGTCATCAACGGTGGATCGGTACAGAAAGCATCGCGGATCGCGGGTTGTAGGTGGATGGCGGCCGCTGATACACCTGGCCGCCGCTCACGGTCACAATGGACAACGACACGTTGGTGGAAAAATTTTTATACTCTGGTTTCATTTGGTGTCTACCTGAGCATCTACCACCCCCCCCATAGAAGTCGTACACCCCCACTAGTCGTACAGCCAAACCCCACCATCACCACCAAAACACTCCCTTATTCACTTGTACACGAATGAAGCCATTTAGGTCAGAGACAGTGGAGAGGCCCCATTTTATCGCAGAGCCCGATAGCCAAGCAGCTTGTCTCCACAATACCCACTCCTGCGAGGTTTTCCCCCTTGTTGGTTTCCCTCGCCAGCAGATAACAAACACCTACTCCACCCACCAATGCGACATATATCGAACGGCTACTGGAACGATATGTACACCAGAGAACTGAGGTTCACTGGGTCGCTTTGTCATTAGATAGGAGGTTTTTCTGACGGAATCGTGCTTGGGTATTGACTAAAACCATCTGAACACTCCAGATTGGTACCGCTACAGCGAGGATAGGCTCGTGCGCGGATCTGAATGTATCTAATTTGACACCTCTACAACCTTGCGATGCAATGGCTCTGGGAGGCGTGGTTTGCACTACTGAGGAGCTACCCCCCACGTTAAATACAAAACAAACAAACAAACAACAAACAATAGGTCAGAGAAATACAGCGAAATTATCATTCAAAAGCGCTAAAGCTGTTCATACGTAATATGTAGCCGGCACCCGAATGGCTCGCCCGGATCGCGATAGGCGAGGCTCCTGTAGCTTCCAAAACGCCCTCATCAAGGGGGTCATCCTCATCTTCCTCTTCGTCCTTTAACTCAATCATTATCTCTTCTTGTATTTCTACGCGTGTAGCAGAGCTAATGGTACCTCTGTGAGATAGTATTTATGTCACTGTTTTGAACTTCCTATTAGGATTAGGGATCTTCTGTCGCTTTTTTGGCCGTAACCGCTCTAACTCAGCCTCCAGAGCCTTGATCTTCTGATCTTTTATAACAATTTTGGTCTCCTTGGCTTCGAATGTGTTAACTATCTTCCTGTATTTCAGCCTGGTCCCTAGGGACTTATTTTTGCCGAAACTCATGATCTGGCGGCTCGTAGTAGGGGTCCGTTGGTCCTCTGCTTCAGAGCTTTCAGGGGTATCAGGCTCAGGGGTCTTTCTCTTCTCTTTTCGTATCTCTGGGTGCTGTAAGTACTTCTTACAGTTGATAGGATAATATCCAGTGATCTTGAAGCCCGAGAGGATATTTTACTTAGTAAAAGCCAAAGTTCTGGCCTTGCTATAGTATCGGATGAAGTTGATCTTATCAACAGGTGAGGGATCCGTCAAGGAATTCAACTCAGAAAAGAAGTTCTGGTAGTAGGCCTTCAGGGCGTTATAAGGCCCGTTATCTAGGGGTTATATGCTGTGACTAGTATATGCAGGGAAGAAACAGAGCAAGATATTATTGAAATAACATATGATTATGAATTCGTCCTATTAAAACGTATTAGTTTATATTAAACAGGAAGAATTAAGAAAAGTCTAAATAAAATAAGAAAAATTTATATACATATGGAGTTATGGCTCTTATGGCCATTCAGTATTAAAAGGATCGACTCGGACTGGTCTCCTCCTCGTTCTGCGTCTGTCTATAAGAGGAAAACATCCTCTAGCCATTTGCAGGCGATATTATTCGGAGTCCAGCCATTTTCTGAGCATATATAATGCTAATTAACAGTCTTTCAGAATTCCTTGATAAGTCACTGGGCTTAGTGGTCCTCCCCTTTAAAGATAATACCTGGTTTAAGGATTTTTCTACTTACTGAGATAATCTCGATAAAGGAGGTCCAGTTCCGGCCCTGAGGGCTCTTTAAGAAGGCTTTCTTAGTAACAGAACTATCCAGCACGAGAGAGTCAATGCTTATAAATTTAATTAGATTTTTCCTGGAATTAAAGGGGTAGCTATAGCTATCAAAACCCGACATGATGCCGCCCTTATCGACATTATAAGTGTTCTTTGGCTTTATCCAGCCGTAATCTTTAAGAATTTCAAAAAGTCAGTTAACTAATTTGGGCATAAAGCCCTTGAAGTGTGCTGCTTCCATCCTTTTGCCAATCTTGGTCTTGATCTGGGGGTCGCGGCGCTTAAAGGCTGTCATGAAGGTGTTTCTTAGGGGGGCCCCACCCCCCCTTTTCTTTTAATACCTTCTTGATGATCTCACGGACCAGGGAGTGTAAAGGGGTTGGCCCAGCTTTTCTTGTAATAAAATCCATTTAGTTATAGTCGTTTCCTGCGCAAGGGAGAGTCTCTGTTGCTGTATATGGGTTTCGGGTCTTGTAGGCCTGCCGTTGAGTCGATTAGATAGCGTCATGGCCAGAATGCCGTGTTTTTGAGCGCTTTTTTGCACCAAGAGGCCCTCATTTGTGATATCTAAGATGGCATTCGCCATCTCATCCTCTGTATACCAATAGGGAGGCATTTTAGGCCGGCTATATGATGCTGCGTTGCATACAGAATAAGGCTTCATTAGAGCCGCGTAAGACCGCAAATATGCCATTCGGGGTAGGAAACGCGGGGTTTTTAACAGCTAATCACGTAAGCGCTGCGGGATAAATTTTGTATTGGGAAAAACCTTATGATCAGGGCTATCTAGAACACTAATTGCATTGTGAATAGCTTCAATATCGGGCTGAAAGCGTATAAGTGAACATGCGGGAGTTTGGGTGGTGATGGTGGGGTTTGGCTGTACGACTAGTGGGGGTGTACGACTTCTATGGGGGGGGATGGTAGCTAGCCACCAGGGCTAACGGACGTGCCCTTCCTGGTCTTGCCAGATGTCAGATATACTACCCTATATGTTATGCTTTCTCGTTAGTGTATCTATGTAATTCGCGATAATCAACTTAATTCACAAACATCAGTAATCCCACGTAGGAGACAGCCAGAGTAGTCAACTGATGAGTATGCCCCAACGGTGAACGTTATCGTGCACGTTCCTCAAGCAGCCAGTCCTCAAAGCCGTCTTCAAACAGATCGTCGAGCGCCGCCCGCGGGCGCTGTTCTCCCCGGCATGCATCTGCTGTCTAATGCAGATGATCTCGTGCCGTCTGTCGACCCACTCGCCCTCGAGGTTGCGAGCGATGGCCTCAGGGGTCTCAAGGCCCTGGGGCCACTCGCGCTCGAGGGTTTGAGTTTCGCTCCGCCAGAGGTCACCGCCGGACAGGATCAGCAGGACACCGGCCTGTGGCCATTCGCGGTGCCGAATACGCCAGGCGAAGCACGGTGGGGGGGCCGGCTGGGACAGATGGCTGGCCAGCTGCTTGCTTAAGTACCTACAACATCCTCGGTTGAGTCGTCAGCCAGCCAGCCAGCCAGCCAGCCAGCCAGCCACGCGAAGCCCTTGGGGGTGGTCTGAAGATCGGGTCTGCCTCTCTCTCTCTCTCTCTCTCTCTCTTCGGACTGCTAACTCGAGACGCGCTTTGCTGTCCAAGGCTGCGCTTCATCATGTGCGTCGTCGCTGGGCGGCGTCTTTTATACCGTCATCGTTACTCTCCGCGCCGTCCGCCATTGGGTCTCGTCTAATACCCTTCCCTCGGACTCGGACTCGGCCTAAATGACGACAAGGTCATTCAGGATCATCTCCCAGAGCCGGTCGGGGTGGAGAGGGCGTCTCGCTTGATAGGCGAAGGTACTGGTGCTGTTTTCTTCCGTGTCGTGGTCAACTTCCTCGGTGAGGCTTTTTTAGCCCGGCGGCGCTCGGGGCGGTATTCTCGTAAGAGAATATTCGCGTGGGAAGGATATTGTTCAGATCGAGCCGGGATTTGAGAGTGCTCAAGAGCAAGCGCTTGACAACGACGGGTTGGTGATCAACCGGGGAATCCGCCGTGCTGGAGTAGCCCATGTAGTTACACTGAGCCCTCATAAATCTCCGTGCACCACCCGTCTTGGCAAGCAATGGTAATCTCATCGGATTGGATTAAGCACGCTGGAAGAAGCATTAAAAGTAATGCTGGTATCAGACCAAAGCTGCTAATTCCTGTATGCTTATTGCAGTATCTTAAAGTTTTCTACTGGTAATTTAGAATCTTACCAACAAGTACGTACGGGGACTTATGAGGAGGGCTGTGTGTAAAAGGGTCGACCAGCGTGGCGTAGGTGTCTTTGCCTGTACGTTCGGCTTTGAGGTCGAGTCCCGCCTCGACGTGTACGTTGACGAACCTGGCTCGGTCAATATCGCGAGCGTGAGCAGGTAAAATAGTCGACACTCTCTCACTCTTCCGAGAACGTCTCAACGACCTGCATTGACTCACTGACCCTTGAGCTCTCGATGACTTGATCCAATACTTATGTCCGACCCCTAGGCTTAAACCCGAATCGCCCGATTTCGCAATCCACCGTGGGGATGTGCTGAGGGCGGGGAATCTCATCAATGACAAGAACCGCTATCGTGACAGACAAGCTTTCATCTCAAACCAAATCTTGGGTATAAGTCATTGATAATGCGAAACATCATCCACGAAACCCCCTCAGGAACGGGTGACACGATGACTCCAAACAAGGACCTCACGGGCCACAAACTGCTCGTCATCACGCCCACCGACCTGAACCCAGAGTACCTGGAGCACCTACACAGCCAGTTCCCCGGTCTTAAGGTCGTTCATTCAAAGTTCGATCCGTGGCGGTCGGTCGGGCTGCCCCCAGACGTCTCCGACGACGACTGGAAGACGGTCACGATCCTGCTCACGGGCCCCAAGTTCCCCACGAGGGAGCAGGCGCCCAACCTGCAGCTGGTCCAGCTGCAGAGCGCCGGCGCGAACTACATACTCGATAATCCGCTGTTCAAGGATACCAAGATCCCGTTTTGCACGGCGAATGGTGTTCACGGGTGAGTGAGCCTTTCCGTTGGCAAAGAGGTAACTTAGTGGCCGGGTGGTTTCTGACTTTGTTTTGCGCGGCAGCCCGCCTATCTCGGAATGGGTGATATGCACGTACCTTGCCCACCAACATAGGAGTAAGTTCCCCTCGTGCACGTAGGCCCCTCTCTCTCACCTTAATTCAAGAGAGTATCTCATTGGTGCCAACTCCTAGTCCCACGCTTCCTCGACAACATGAAGGAGGGCAAGTGGGATTCGGAGCACGGCTCGGACGCTCCGGACATCCAAGACGCAGTCAGCCAAAGAGTGTAAGTCGACGGCGCATATCAAGATTTCTATGTCTACAAGTACTGACCATATCCCCAGTGGCATACTCGGCTATGGCAGTATCGGAAGACAGGTAGCCCGCGTAGCGACAGCCATGGGCATGGAAGTGTACGCGTACACGAATCGGCCGCGCCCAACGCCCGAATCGCGCCATGACGACTCGTACTACGTCCCCGGGCTGGGCGACCCAGAAGGTGTCCTCCCATCAAAGTGGTTCTCGGGGACGAAGCCCGAAGAGGTCGACGAGTTCCTGTCGTCCGGCCTAGATCTGCTGGTCCTGGCCGTTCCCCTGACGCCACAGACCCGGGGCATGATAGCAGCGCCGCAGTTCAAGCTCCTGGCGGGGAAGAAGACGTACGTGACGAACATCGGCAGGGGCCCCGTTGTCAACACGGACGACCTGATGACGGCGCTGGACGAGGGCTGGATCCGGGGCGCCGCGCTCGACGTGACGGATCCGGAGCCCCTGCCGAAGGAGCACCCGCTCTGGCACAAGAGGAACCTCATTATCACGCCGCATGTCAGCGGCAACTCGAGCAGCTATGGTCCTCGTCTTCTGGCCATCTTGGATATCAACCTGAAGAGGTTGAGCGAGGGGAAGGACTTTATCAATAGCGTGAGTAGAAAACGTGGTTACTAGGTCTATATAGACGGGAGGCATGGAAGGATAAGGTATTTATAAGTCATTACTTATAATGCTACTCTGCATATACTGAAAATACTAGGAAGAAATAAAGGGGTATCATAGGCAATCCATTCTTTGGGCAAGATCGTTCCAGTCCTCAACACTCGCCTGTCGGTACCCCCAGGAGAGTGCCGGTAGCGCCGAATAGCCTGGCTTTGTCCTCTGTGACAAACATCCCGCGCTCCATCTCTTCCTCGGTACGTTGCGCGAGGCAGGGTAACCCCAACAAACAGCCAAGACTCCAAGCCCCTTCCACTTGCGGCGTCGGCTCGCCAGAGCGGATAGGGGCAATTGACAACGAATTGTCCTGAAAGCTCTCCGCCGCCCCAGATCCTAGTCGAGCACCCTTCACTGCCGACCAGTACAGCTCGCTCCACGGCTCAATCTCTGCCCAGAACGCAGAATCAAAAGAAACCGTGTCAATCGACGCAAGGCGCAGAAACGTAACATAGGTCTTGATCAACCGCACCGCGTCATTGATGCGACAATCAGCATTCTGCTCGCTGTCCCGCGTGCAGATGACAGAAGAGTGATACGGATGCGTAACCTCGCGCACGTTGCCGAAGTCGGCCAGGACCCAGTGGGTATCCGACACTGTCGCGTCCAGGTAGTCCGTCACGAAGACATTCGAGAGTTTTATGTCATCGTGACATAGCCCATGCTCGCCGTGCATCCTGGCCAAGGCGCCCAGCAGGCGGTTCAGCGAGGGGCGGAACCGGGCATCTAGATCTCGGTGGTTAAGGTTCTCGGAGCGCAAACGCATAGCTACGTTCTGGAGGTTTCCAGATGGTAGGTAGGGCGTGAGCACAAGCCAGCTTGCCGGTTCTGTCTCTGTTGCTGGGGCGAGGAGGTAGCCTTTCAGGGGCAGGAAGTCGGCATCTTCGGCCACCTCGTCCTGGAGGCCGCCGAGCACCAATGTGGCGGGGATCTCGGTTGGTATCCTCGTAGGTGATGAGGATGAGTCAAGGCAGTTGCGAAGGGGACTCCGCGTGGTGACGAAGGTCTTGATCACGGTGTCCTCGTACAGGAAGATCTCGCCCTCCCAGCCGCCCCCTATGCGTTTCCACTCCTCCCGCTGGATCGGCCTCTCAGCCAGACTACCTGCGGAAGCTTCCCATTCTGACCGATGTATCCTTCGTTCTGAGTCATTGCTGAAGATCGTTGCTGAGTACTTCTCCTGGAGATCATGGCGGTATTGGCGATGGAGCGCCACGAGAAAGAGGATTCCTGTCACCGCGGCGGCGACGGTACACCTCAGGAGGAATCGGAAGCGTCTTTGGGAGAACTGCTTGACTTCCGGTCGCCACGATGATCGACGTGCTGGTTTGGTGTAGGGATATGCGGTTTCCTCAAAGCCCATGGTGGTAGTGTCAATAGGCTATTGATTAGGGTGCTCCTGCGTGTCCAGTTGGCGCGTCGTAGGTAGTTAAAGTATTTGATATAGACGCTTATAGGATCGTAAAGAAACATAAGGTAGGTATGTCGTGAAACGGGGTGTCGTTGAAAAAGGCATATTAGTAGACATTCACGTCGGCTCCTGCCCAGGCGGTGCGACTGGCAGTCACAGTCATCAAAACCAGACAAAATTGAGCAATAACTCTTGGAGCCAAGCACTCCTTCCCTGTTTTCTTGAATTGTCGAACACCTTGGCACTTTGGTCATTCCAAGCTACCTAGTCCATCGTCCCAACGTAGGTCATGACTTGCAGCTAGGTCCCGCCGTCAGTCCAAGGTACGCAAGAGTATTTGCTCAAGTTCGGATATCGGTTCATCTAGATGTGGATGCGGTTCGGTTCACACGGCAAGGTCCCGCGCGATCTACCTCAAGGCTAACGAGAACGCCAAGCCTTACCATCACGATCATACTGCCGTCTGTGCCGCCTGTGCCGCATAAGGTAGCTTGGGATACCCCCCGTGAAGCTTCATAGAGTTGACCGATGGACCGGCATAATGTCATGATGTCATCAGGCCACCATTATAGGAACTCCGTATGGGACAGACAGTCTTTCCAGTCACGCAAGCTCTTAAATAATAATTTGCATAAGCATCTGGTATAAGCCGATACTCCAATCGAAACCGACTGGAATAAGCACCAACCCCAGCTTATCCCACGCTCAGAGTTTTACGTGACCCGGACTCGGAGGCACCTCTCCGGTATCCCATATGGCCACCTCAGATCCCATCTCGAACTCGAGCAAGCTGTCTTCTCCGCCAGGCCGCACGATATCTTCATGGCTGACCCAGCTTCGGTCCCAGCTCTGGCCATTGACCTTGAAGCTCTGGACGTACATCCCATCTTCCAGTCCGGTAGCCTTGATTCTCAGAACCGACCCACTGTCCCCCAGCCTCACGGTAACGTCTTCGAAGCGCGGCGCAAGCACCAGGTAGACCGGCTGGGTCACGACCGGATACAGTCCAATCATATTCCACACAAGCCAGCTGCTCATAGAGCCTGCATCATCATTGCCGGGGATGCCAGAGCGGCCGGCGTTGTAGTACTGGTCGACGAGTTCTCGCGATCGACGGACGGACTTGTGTTGCCGCTGTGGGAGGTAGTTGTACAGGAATGGGGTCATGAAACTCGGTTCGTTGCCCGGATTGAATATCGTCGAGCCGGCACTGTTACCGCCTTGGTCGGACTGCGTGAGTCCGAGTGTGAACATGGTATCCAGACGTGCTTCAGTTGTCTCTGGTCCGCCCATGAGGGATATGAGTGTCTCCATGTCGAACGGGGTCGTCCAACTGTATTCCCACCTATGATAAACCTCGTCAGCATCGGATTATCAGTATCTTGGTAGCGTGACTGCAACTTACGGGACACCTTCATAGCTGATGCTGCCCCATTCACACTCGCCGCAGGACAGAGGATCGTAGTCCTGGTAGCTGCCATTTGGATATGTCGGCGCCAAGAAACCCGTGTAGTTAAGCGAAGTGACATCTGTCGCCCATGTCTTCTGCCAGCCACTACATCACGGAGTTAGCAGGGTGATGTATTTGCAACTCACGTGCATGGGTATCGGGTCACTTACGCTGAGCGATTGCGGTACAAGGCGATATCCTCGGGTGCCTCTCCCTTGGCGACTTGGGACAAGCTAAAGTCATTCAACGAGTACTCGACCGTCTTGCTCAAGCACCTGCCTCTTGCTGGAGTCACATATCCGTATTCCTTCCAGTCCTGCAGCGCCCCACGTCCCTCCTTCGTACTGCCAGTCGGATCCTCGAAGTCGAAATTGTTGTAGGGCAGCACTTCTGCGTTGGTCTTCATAGCAGCATATCCATCAGTCCAGTTGATGCCGCCTTGTAGCCCCTTTACGTAGGCGTCTGCGAGGACATTGTCCGAGTTTGAGCCACCTTGTACTCTGCCATTGTGGTTATGACTGCGCCCCTCTGGCATGAAACGCTCATATCTCCAGATATCGATCATGGCTCTTACGATCTCAATCTGTGCTTTGGGTTGTATGAGCGTCAGGAGAGGATGGAGGCATCGGAAGGTATCCCAGAGGGTGTAGAAGTCGTCGTAGTAAGGCTCCCCCGAGTCCCAATAGGGGTTCTCGCCAGTGCGGTTCGATGGCAGGAGATGGGAGTGATACATGGCCGTGTAGAACATTTCGAGCTGCGTTTCGTTTGACGTACTGGCTTCAACCTTGGAGAGAACTTCGGTGTTCCACTGGTTCTGCGCTTCTGCCTTGACAGCTTCGATATCCCAGCTTGGGATCTCTTCCAGAAACTGACATGCCTTATCGGCTGATACCCAGGAGACTCCGACCTTGGACTTGACTGTCGTCGCATTGGGTGGAAACTCAAAGAGGGCCCCTATGCGATCAGCGTACTGGTATTCCACTGTCCCGCCCTTGATCGAGGTCTTGTTCGTGAAAGTCGGCCTGACATCTGTCGCATTTGGCCAGTACGGATCAGTCGCCTTGCCGGAGAACAGCTGGGCCGATGATGGTGTTGTATCGAAGTGCCCGCAAAAATACACGCGATAATTACCGCCTATAAGGTGTCAGCTCATTGTTCCGAGGTGAACGATACATATCAGCTTACCCCAAGCCCACCCTTCTCTGTACACGCCATACCCCGAGTACCAGGTGCCATCTTCGCTTCTCTCAAGCTCACCGTTGCTCCACGCCTGTTCCTTCTTGCCAGTGCTGGGCAGAAGATGACTCAGGTCGACCAAGACGTACCGACCAGTGTCCTTTGGGTACTCATATTTCATGATGCCCGCATGCATACTGGCGCTCATCTCCGCTGTGACGCCGTTCTGAAGTTGGGTCTTATAGTAGCCTACACTCGCTACATCTTCGGCGATTCGGGGCTGCATGTAAGTCAGATTGTCGAGCACGTTCACACCCTCGATGGTAGTCAGTGGCATCTGGGGTATGAGGCCGTAGGTTGGTGCTCCTCCGGTGCCGCTTTCGTGAAGCATGGTGACGGCTGTGACGTTGCCATCTGGTGTAAATCCAGCATTTGCAGAAACTGCGAGTCGTGTTAGAGCGTACGTATCATGTCGATGGTATTCGGATATCGTGCTGTGCTATCTTTTAGGCCAAGGGAAGAGCATCAGTGGCCGCAACTTACATGAGACATTCCACCTAGGCCGTAGGGTCAGTACTTGCTTTCTCGGTAAATATAGAGGGTAACATCATTACGAACCTCGTCGTGTCAATCCCAACCTTGACAGCACCAAAGGGTAGAGCAGCGCCAGGGAAGACATTGCCGGCATTGTAGGCCGTCCCAGGAACCGGACCCTCTGTACCGATGAACATGTTCACATACTGTGTCCAGTCTGTCGTGTTTCCGGTAACCGTACCACTTGCGGCGAGAGCAAGTACGCCCGCTACGGCAATGTGAAGGAACTTCATGCTGGCAGCCACGTTCAAAGAACCCAAACTGGAGCAAGTCGTCGCATTGTACACCAGCAGGCCATTATATGATGGCAGGGACTCTCTCGGCTCTTAAACTCTCTTTATGATCACCACCGCCATCATCACCGCCGGTCAACTGCCCGCGTTGGACGCTGTTGCCCACCGTGGACCCTGGTGTACCCCATACTACCCCATGTTACCCCCATATTACCCCGACTCTTCCCCATATCCCAGCCCCAACGACCCACCGACTAAGCTGTTTGTAGCGAACACCACCGCCGAGCTCCAACACGTCGCCGGGCAATCGCCCGAAAATTGCGGTGAGTGGTGGATAAGGTTGGTCAGTTGCCAAGTCGGCTTTCGCTTCATAGTGTGGCCTCGACAGGTGCTGGCTGGAATAGCTGTGGATGGCGAATAACGACGATCCCACAGTCCCCTTTATGCCACCGTCTATGGAATACCTGCGTAATCTAATTGATCGCTTGTGACGTCATGAATGCCGATGAGAGCAACTCAGTCCAAGCCAGCCCTGAGATTGAACGAAAGGAAATCCCGCCGACTTGAAGAAATATTCACGATTCATATTGATCAGGGGTAGCTGTTCAGGCGGAACCAAGTCCTTGGGAGTCGCGCCGGCTTCAATCGGATCGCTTCTTGCAGACTTGGTACGCGACAACCACCCAGACAGGGTCCACCAGACGTACCAGGACGGCATGGTGCTCTTTGAATACCTCAAGAGCTGCTAAAGGTGCCCGTATGGCACAGTTACTTCAAGAGGCAAATTTATCAACCCTTCTCAGGTCAGCCCCTGACTCGCTTATGCTCGTACGAGGCACGATGGCGAAACCTCGGCACCACTGCGCAGCCCAGCCCCCGCGATCTCGTTCCTTAAGTGTTGAATGATCTCCCTGATTCTCCCACATCATCCGGACCTAATTACCTACCTCATCAGTTATCACATCGGTACTCTATAATCTATATGTTTCCGCCTGCGATACCAAGGGCAACAGATTTTACGAGGAGAACCCACCATAGTGGTGGAGCCTGAACCGAGCCGAGTTGGGCCTACTGAGTTCCGAGAGGACCGTCCTTCCACATCTACCGGTACCTCGCCATCGCGAAAATGTCAAGCGACGATGAGACAGCCAAGTCGGAAGACCCCATCATCATTGTCGGCGCAGGGCTAGCCGGCCTAGTCGCAGCCTATGAGCTGACGCAGCGCAATGTGCCGGTCCTCATCCTGGACCAGGAAGGGGAGCAGAACCTGGGTGGCCAGGCCTTCTGGTCCCTAGGCGGCATCTTCTGCGTCAATTCCAAAGAGCAGAGACGCCTGGGCATCAAAGACAGCCGCGAGCTTGCCATGCGCGATTGGCTCGGGTCCGCGCGTTTCGACCGCGAGGACGAGGACTTCTGGCCGCGCAAATGGGCTGAGGCCTTTGTGAACTTCGCCACCGATGATATGGAGGACTACGTCAAGGCGCGCGGCATGGGCTTCCTTGTGAACGTCGGCTGGGCTGAGCGCGGGGATGGGAGGGCTGAAGGGCATGGCAATTCCGTCCCGAGGTTCCACATTACCTGGGGTACTGGGCCGGAGGTCGTGCGGGTGTTTGCGGAACCGGTCAGAGAAGCGGAGAAGAAAGGCCTGGTCCAGTTCAAGTTCCGACACATGGTTGACGAGGTGCTGGTGGACGAGGACGGCAGGGCAAGCGGTGTCCGCGGGCGGGTGCTGGAGGCGGATAACGTCGAAAGGGGCGCCAAGTCGTCAAGGAACTCAGTGGGCGAGTTCGAGTTCCATGGATCCGCTGTCATGATCTCGTCTGGTGGTATCGGAGGCAATGTTGAAGCAGTCAAGAAGGCCTGGCCAGTGGATCGCCTGGGCCCGAAGGTCCCAGAGAACTTCGTTATCGGCGTTCCCGCCCACGTCGACGGTCGAATGATTGGTATTACTGAATCGCTCGGCGGTCGCGTTATCAATAAAGACCGCATGTGGCATTACACCGAAGGCCTTCAGAACTGGGATCCCATCTGGCCGGCTCATGGCATTCGCGTCCTGCCAGCACCGTCATCGCTATGGCTTGATGCAACGGGCAAGAGACTCCCTCCATTCCTCTACCCTGGGTGCGATACGCTGGCAACGCTCAAGTATATCTGCAGCACCGGCTACGACTACACCTGGTTCATCCTCGACCAAACCATCATCGCCCGCGAGTTCGGCCTCTCGGGCTCCGAGCAGAACCCCGACGTGACAAACAAGAGCATATGGCAGCTGCTCCTCAACAGAATCTTCAGCTCAAAGGGCCCAGTTCCGGTCCAGAACTTCCAGAAACACGGCATAGACTTCGTCGTACGGGGTAATCTGGAGGATCTAGTTGCTGGCATGAACGAGCTGGCCAAAGCTGCTGGTGGCCCTGTGCTGGATTACGACAAGGTCAAGGAGACGGTCGAGACCCGCGACGGCCAGATGGACAACAACTACTGCAAAGACGCGCAGGTGCTGCTAATCCGCAACGGGCGCAATTACTGGCCCGATAGCCGCAGTCGTATTGCACCTCCGCATCGCCTGCTCGACCCCAAGCACGAACCGCTGATCGCGGTGCGGATGAATCTGCTCACGCGCAAGACGCTCGGCGGGCTGGAGACAAACTTGCAAAGCAATGTAATGAAAACAGGCGGTGAGCCTTTTCCGGGGCTGTATGCTGCTGGTGAGGCTGCTGGGTTTGGCGGAGGAGGCGTTCATGGTTACAGCTCTCTTGAGGGGACGTTTCTTGGAGGATGCATCTTCTCGGGCCGGGCTGCTGGGAGGGCAATTGCCGATGAGGTCTTAGGAAAGTAGTTGAATTATATGAACAGCCGTTTGTGCTATATATGGGATGCTTGAAATCCGCTTGGAAGAGACCCATACAACAAAATCAAGTAAGCAGCGAGTTGGTACGAGGGGCGTACGGAGGCTTTTGGAGGTTCAGTATACCATGCATTGTCCCCTTGCAGCAATCCCCATCCCAGGTAACACGTCACTCCCTATCAGCACTTTCGGGACAACCGACCGACCCTTCTCAGGCAGCACCAGGGCGCCGAGCCTACCATGCCGTCCTGACCGCCGTGTATCCCTGCGCCGCCTGCAGTGGATCTAGGATGTGGCCAGGTCGGCCGCTTGGGGTTGTAGGCAGGTTGGCCACTTGGGATCAGGACAGATCAGATGAGGTGCCCCTAGAGGTCTACATGGGGGTATTTAAGTGTAGATTCCACGATAGCCAGCCGTTCTTAAATTCTTCCAATACATCATCTTTCTCGCGTTCTGTCCAGACCTCTATTGAGCAACCTGACATCTGACATCTGACACAGTCAAGACAACCCTTTCTCCGTTAGTTTAAACTCACACCTACGCGAAAGGTACACGAATGCAGCGCGTATTCAAGCAATATCACCAACACCACCGACACCACCAACACCATGCAGTTCCGAACCACAGCCATTATCGTCCTTTCTGCGCTTGGGGTCTTAGGAGACACTCTAGTCCAACAGAAGCAAGATATCCAACCGCGCGGCTTGCCCCTCAGCACTATTTACCTTGAGTGCGTTAAGGGTTGCGAAGACAAGGCAAAGGGGTGGTTTGAAAAGATCGATAAAGAGAGACAAGAAAATATTATCGACGATGGACTGAAAAAGAGATTTGAAGAAGAAGCCAAGGAAAAGCGTAAGACTTGTATAAAGAACTGCGATTAATGTCAGGGAAATTGGTGCCTGTCGGGTGTGTTTGCAAGCGGCTGTAGCTGAAAGGGGCTTCAAGGGGCTGAAAGGGGTGAGAGAAGTGAGAGGGATCCATTGTGGTGACAGCATTCGGGTGTTGCCTGGCATATCCGTTGTCTGGTGTCAGGCAGCCGGGGATCAAAGGGCTCCCATAGCTGTACTGTATTTAGGTACTTTGGGAATCTTCCGCTTAGAACCATGGATGCGACACAGACCAATCATCAGCCCATTCCTGAACCATCACATGTCTTGACCTTACCTAAGGTACCTACTACTTTTAGGTACATGGAGCTGGTCCAGGCTTACTAGCCTGCTTCCCAGGGCCGATGCCTTAGGAGAGCAGGCACCTTCCCGCTTGGTACCTTAGGTGTGGAGTTGAGAAGGAGCACACTTCTGGGGCAAATGACGTTGTCGTTCCTGCACTTTCAGGGCTGGCCGTCAGGGAGTGACCTACCTACTCTTTTTCGTCCGACCTCGTGGGTCTGCTCCTCGTTGCCTCTTTTCTTTCTCGACCCTCCCTTGGGACCAAGTTCTAGTCACAGTCACCATAAGAACCTGTTGCTTCGCTCTGCGTAACCAATCTCGACTTCAACACATGATCGGGAATACTTCAAACCCAAAGCCTTACATTTACTCGAAAGCAACCACGTAAGCTTGCGAGCCTTAGAAAGCCAATACACACACACAGCCGTACCTACACGCATATATATCTCGCCCTTTTTCGAGCGTATAACATCAACCACCCCTTTACGGGCGACCCTTTAGATTTTTTTAATTTTATATATTACTAATCAACGATAAACCACTTTTATTAATGTTATAATAGTTCGTTTATAACTTTAATAATAATAGCATTAAATAATTATTTAAATAACGCTACCTATATTATTACCCACCTGGTCCCTCGTCAGGTGAGCCACCAGGTCACGTGTAGATTAGATGAGGAAGGAACAAGGCCACCACCTTGCTGGCTTCCTTTTCCTTCCTCACCTTGTTATTTTTGTAATTAATCCCAGATTGCAACACACCGCCGCAGGCATCGTGACAAGTGGTCTCAAAGCGCTTGACAGTCTCAGTGATGGTGGCAGGGCGCGTGGTTTTGAACGCGTCGGCAACCTCCTTGTGTTAAACAGCGTGTATTATGGTTGATCTGGTTGATAACGTGTATTCTGGTGATTCTGATTGAAGTGTTCTCTCTCTGTGAAAATCCTTTTGTGGGCTAGGTGGCCTAAAAATGCCCTATTGGCCTTGTTGGTGCACTGCCACCTCCCTGAACGCCACAGTGGCTTGTGTGCCATTCAACACCTTCCGGCTCTGCCTCAGCACTCTCGCCGCCACAATCGCAGAGCGAGCATCGCGAGTGAACTCCCCGTTCGGCGCGCGACTGCCGCTCAATTCGTCTCCAAAAGATCGAAATACCATCGTGATTTGCGTTGTTGAGAGAGTGTCGAAGTTGAAGGGTGGTTGACGCGTTGCTTTGATGGTCGGAGATTAGTGGTGGGGTGTATGGAGACTTTTGTCCACCTAGTTTAGCAACCGGACTACGGCCTCGTACCCGCTCTCTACCGCCTACTATAGCGGCGTCTTGCCGTGTTTATCTTTTAAGTTAAGATCGACGTTCCTCGTATCTGTGAGATTTCAAAGTGTTCTATTAAGGAGAGGAATTCCAGCTACTCTAGAGCGGCCAGAATGGCCCTATATATATCCAAGATACTAAAAGAAAGGATACGTGGCCTTATATTGGCCACGTATGTGACAGAGTCACAAATCGAGATAGTGATCCTAAAGGATGACTATGGATGGGCTAACGTAGCCCAGAACCCAACAGTATCAAGCAGCAGCCGGACTATGGCCTTGTGCCCGTTTTGTACTGCCTACTATAGCGTCGTCTGGCAGTTATTATCTTTTATATTTACAAGGAAATCCCTAGCTAGTATTATAATAGCTCCCTTTAAACCAAAATAAGATGCTAGGTATAATCTGGTTATATAATTTAACGTTATTTAATTATAACCTCTTTACTTATAACTATTATTAATTTTAAAAACTTAGCTTAAGACTTTGATTTAAGCTGGTTTAAAAAGAGTAAGAATATTCAAATAGTCCGATCCTTTTTAGCCATAATATCTTTGATTACAAGCTAAACTGGGTGGAAAAAAGTCTCTGCCCGACCCATCACAATCTTCTTCTAATCAAAACAACGCGTCAATCACCCTTTGACTTCACCACTCTTTCAATACTGCAATTAATAATGGATTTATGATCTTTTGGGAACAAATTGAGCAGCAATTACGTCGCTAATGGCGAATTCATTTCAGAAGCTCGCTTGGCAATTGTGGCGGCGCAAATTGACGGCAGAACGCGTAGGGATGTTACAACCACGTTCAAAATGAAGCGCCTAAAAACCATCTCTCACATCACCACCAACTTTGAGGCCACCTCCACACCAAATTCTGCCCCAAGAAGTGGTCGCCCACACGTTTTGAATACTCGCAAACGCGCTCGTGTGATCGAAAAGGTAAGAGAGCTCCCCAGTGCGACGTGGCAAAAGATCTAAAATGAAGCCCGCATTTTGTGCTTTTTCAAGACTATCAAGAAGATATGTCACGCACACGGCCTCCAGCAATGGCGCACAGCAAAGCGAATCAAGCTCACGGATAAGGACACTCAAAAGAGGCTCGCTTTTGTCAATTATTATAGCATATTAGAACACCTGGAGGAGTTATTATGAGCCATGTTCTCAGACAAATATACGGTCTAAAACTCATCCGATAATCCAAGCGATTGGGCCATCTAATTCTCTTCAGAGCGGTACCGTTATGATCTCGTGAACTAGACGGATCATAGCAAATCTCATATTTCGATAATGGTGTGGTCTATGATCTGGCTACGCAACGAAGAAAGAGGACTAGGCAAGTTGGTCTTCTGCCCACCCGATGCGGATGTTCTGCACAGAGGAATATCCGCAGAGTCATATAAATAGGTTGTTAAAGAAGGCCTGCTTCCGTTTTATGAGGCTAGAGATCCTTTTATTTAAGATAACGCGAAAATTCACCTTACTAGCGGTGTTCCGGAGTGGATAGAGGAGCACAGCATCTGCAGTAGTGACTGGCCTCCTCACAGCCCCAATATGAACATAATCAAGCACGTTTAGCGATTTCTGAAGAAGAAGATACATGAAATCAAGCCTGAATTTTCTGAATTAAAGGACAATATCCCCTATTATCGCTACGCACATGAGTTAATTGAGCAGGCGTGGTCAGAGATTGATACGGAGCAAGTTTGGGTTTTGATAGAGTTACTAGAGGACCGAATGGCTGCAGTGAGGCGCGCCAGTAATTGGTATACACACTATTAACTTATCTATGAAATGTAATTTATTTATGAATTCTATCACCTGAATTAGATGCCTTGTGGTTTAATTTAATTAGAGGTCGCAGTAGATAGAAAGGGTAAAAATGGGGATCGGGCGGAGTCTTCTGTCCACGGATTGTATATAATTTAAAAAATGGTATAATTCAAGCCGGTTTTTAAGTTTTTTATTTATTATTACATATTTATTTAAAATATAGTTAGAAGCAAGGTAAGTAATGTAAACTGGTATAATAAAGCCTTATATATTAAAAAACTAGTTACTTTTCATTTTTCAAAAGTATTCTTGATTTATATAATAAATTAAGTAAATAATACTCTTTTTTCATTAACATTTACTAGCTTAGCGTATATAAAATTATATCACTTATTTATAGGAGGTTATTTTAATTAAGGTTTGACTACTTAATTTCAACGACAAGTATATATAATAGTTCTGGTTTTATAAGCGGCCTTTTTTTATATATAATATATAATAAGACTTTCTTAGAGCGCTTTGCCTATTTTCAAAGTTATTTTTGAATTCTTTTTACCAAGAATCAACATTAAAATTATAAATACTTAAACCGGTCACTAGCTCTTTTATTATCGTTTATATAGCTCTTTATATATATTTGTTCTTCTAATAAACTCAAATAAACCTATAAAAATAAAAATATAAAGTGATTAATATAAATTACACTTGGATATATCTCTTATTATAAGCTTTTATTATACTTATTATAATCTTGTTTTAAAGAATAAGCTAGCTAATAATTGATCTTAAAAGTTAGTATAAATACCCTTCCAAATATTTATAAATATTGCCTTTAAGTATATTAGTGATGGTCTAGTACCTGTTTCCACCTGGTTAGATGCTGAGTCATCAGGTCACGTGTGGATTAGATAAGGAAGGACACCACCCTATGTGCTGTAGCCATTCGGGTGCACACACACCTGGATTTCTTTCCTTCTCTACCTTGTTATTTTTAGAATACCACAAGTTTTCCAGCACAACGCCGCAGGTATCGTGACAACATTAATCTCTTTTAATAAGCAGTCTTTAAATTGGTTTATAATCTTCTATATCGTTTTAAAGGTTAAAAAACTGATTATTCTTATATCTGTTTAGAAATTAAAAATTGCCGATAAGAACTTTGTATAACAACCGTTAAAAGGATAATACTTATCTAATATATTAATAACAATAAAACCCCATGAATTTTTAGCTGTTATTAATTTAAATGCTTTAAAAACATCGTTTATAAATAGCCGAGTTCATTTTTACTTATATTAATTATTAAAACAATTATATTTTTATAATAAAAAAAGCTAGCTTTAAGGTAGCTATTTTAATAAACAGAATAACAAGCTTTTAATAACATACTCGCTTTAACGATTATAGTTATAATAAACATAGGCAATTATAACATTAATCTTGCTATTACATCACTTTTTAAACTTATTGATAATAATTAATAAAAAGGTGATCTTTTTAACTTTAAATATCCCGGGATAAAATAAAATCTTATCTATTTTTTTAAACTAACTTATATATTTATCGAAACTGAAAAGCTATTATTTTATACCTAGTTAACGTCCCTTTAAATACTTGGTTTAATAAGGCTTATAATTACTTGATATTAGCTACTTTAATATTTTAATATCTTTTTTTTTTAAATATTGTCATATGTATATAACACCTTTATTTAAAAAAGAAATGGTGTTTAAAACTATTAAAACTATTTAAAATGACTAAATAATCTTTAAAATCGCTGTATAGCTAATAACAAGTTTTCAATAAAAAATTTAAGATATAAAAGTACTAACTATTTAATAAAATATCGCCTAACTTTTTTTAGCCTCTACCATATTTAATGATATTATATAAAGAAGTTTTATATATATATATAGCTGTTATTATCATAACGTAACCTTATTAAAGCAATGTTTTTTTTAACTCTCAATATATTTATAAATGCTATAAATGATAAAATACATAAATTCATTCATTAGTTTAACAGCTTTTCTTTCAAAGTGTGAACATTGTAGTGCTGTCAGATATAAGCTGCAGCTGTCCGCTAGGTGAAAGGGATGAAAGGGGCCCAAAGGCGGTAAAAGGTCCATTATGGTGACCAGTGGCAGGTTTGTTGTTCGCTGTCAGGCAGCAGGGCATCAAAGGGCTGTCACACCTGTATTTAAGTGGGAATCTCCCCCATGGATCTATAGTCAAGACACAGACCATTATCCATCCCATTCTGACCCATGGATTTCCACATAAAGCATAATATATCATTTTATAATAAAATCTCATTATAAATTAAAAAATTTTTTATAAGTGGGTTAATAAAAGTAATAAAGCTATAATATATAGCGAGATTATTATTATATATTAATCGTATTTATTAAACAGTTAGTTTTAACATGTTATCTTCATAAGCAGCTAAGTAGTGTTTACTATTTTTAACGACATAAAAGCTCTTAAGTTTATAACTCTAGTTCGTGCTAGCGTTTAGTTTTTAAAATATATCTTATAACCTTGAAAATTGATTAAAAGCGCTTCTAATATTTTTCAAGCTCGTATCCCTTTATTAAATTAATAATTTTAAGTAGGGCTACTACCGCTTTCATAAATGTCGGTAGCTTGTTTAAGAACCTTATAAAATAAAGGCTTTGTCTTAAATAGTCTTTTCGTAGTCGTATTAATATACGCCGCTATGATTATAACTATAAAAAAACTAACGATGGCGTTTTTTAAGCGGATGTTACACTTAGCCGGAGAACCGCCGCTAATGCCAACTATAAAACCAACTTTAAGATTTAAAAAGCTGCGTATTATATCTTTAATAACGTTTATAACATTCATAAGCTTATACTTTTAATAAGATAGTAATATAATAATGTTATTATATTATTTATTCATTTAAATATATAATCTTTTTTATTGTTAGCTGGCTTTAAGTTTAGTTCGCTATACTTTTTATCAAAAAACGTTTAAATAATAACTTGCTTTTTTTTCAACGGCGTAAACCTAACTAATCATATACTTATTATGATTTACTATCGTAAAATAACGCAGCACTTATTTTCGAAATCTCCGCTAAAAGAAATACTTTAAATAGCGTAGTAAAAACCGGTTGAAGACCCGTTTTATTTTAATAACCTAATAATACGTAATAATAAAAACAGCTTAGCCGTTAAAAGTATAAATCAAGTTCCAAATCTTTATACATATATATATTCACTTAGTCTTTTCTTTTTAATTCCAGCTATTAGTTTATTAATGTTGCAATTACTTTCGCTTATATTATTAAGCGTTCTTATATTTAAAAGTAGCGAAAGCATTTTAATGAAAGGGCTTCAGCTTATAACTATAATAAAAAAGAGATTAAAAACGAGCCTTTCCACCCTTTTAAATGCTAATTTACATCTTTTACTAATTAGTGGTGTTTAAGAAAATTCGACTTAAAAGCAGGTTAAAACAGAAACTAGCTAATAATCGACTTAAGTGTGCTTACACTGTGTATAAAAAGATAGTAGCGACAATAACTAAGCTATGCTAACTCGGCGTTTAATAGCAGGCTAGTAGATATTGAACGCATTGCTTAAATAAAACGAAGATTGTACAATTAAATGCGGGCTATAAAATACAGTTAAATAATAATGATTTTTATAAACGGCTAAAATCGGCAATTAATCGGCTTAAAAACATATTATTATTTGAACTAGGCATAATAAATAGGATGGTTCAAGCCTAGTAAGGTTAAATCTGCCTTGCAATGAACTTTAAGTCGTTAATAAGTAAGGGCGGTAGCTTTACTTACACCAGGCTACCTACTCTTTGCAGCTGTTGGATTAAAGGTACGCCTAGAAGGCACCTTGGTAGGTAGATAACGTAACCTAGCTGTTCCGTCCTGATCCAGCCCCCTCTGGCACAAAACTGCCACAGTCGCACAAGGACACTCTAAACAGACGGAAGACACACACACACTTCACTCTGACAATTGGCTCAAATCTGACAGCAGCTTATATCACAGACGTCCATTGCCTCGAGCCCTCGCTTCCAACCTAACGTTGGCCATGTTCGATCAATCAACGCCTGGGCTACATCCCGGCACTCATTGCTAACACTATAATAACGTTTGCAGCATATAGCCCTTGCTTAATGCCCACACCTTATGCTCGAGTTTAGCCTGCCGTCTCGCATTGATATATCTCGGCTTAAGACTTGTTGTCGGCTCAGGGCTCATTGTGACAGTCCGGGTTAACGAAAGTTTAAAGCCAAGCATTAATCGTTTATAAGTTTATATACACTTATATATATTTGCAGTGCGCTATTATTACCGCCATTTATCATCAATAAAATTATTATTACTCATACGCTGACCCGCCGTATGGACATCTCGGAGAGTCGTCCGGTATGCAGACCTCCTATGATCTATCTTCGTGTGGTAAAATCCAGCAGGGGATGAAAACCCACACGCTACGGTTTAGTTCTGGCTTTATTACGGCATTGCCGCGGTTTATTGCAGTTGTATGTCATGACCTTCACTGTCTTGACTAACCTGATAGGGCGCGTATTCCTTGGCCCCTGAGACCTCTTCCCCTTTGTGATATTCCCCCTCCCCCTCGTGGTATCCCTATTACCATATTCCCCCTCCTCTTCTATTCTATCTGGTACCGTTCTATATCCTCTTCGGTCCGGCTCTTTGGCGCCTGTTGGGCCACTTTGCCACTGCTTAGCTTCCTTGCTAGTGAGAACATTCCCAGTAGCCCTAGTCTCAAAAACCACCGTATAAATTCCGGGGTCTCGTCCGGATCTGACAGTAAGCTCTCAAAGTCCCTTCTTGACCGCAATATTCTCGTCCTGAGAGAGGCTTACAGTCTGCCTTTTTGGGCCGCGTAAGAGGGTATCGAACCGTCACGTGGTATGCCGTCTCCTTCTCGCCGCAATCGCAACGTGGTGTAGCCTCTCCTGGCACTCTCTTCTAGAACAGGAAAGCCTTTAAGCCAATGGTCTCTGTCCAGACCTGGCATAGGGCAGACGCCTCATGTTTCCGCAATCCGTAGTAATATTGTAGGACCGCCCCTGCGAGCTCCTGTACGAATATCCTTGAGCTGCTGGCGACCTCGTAGCAACCCCCGTCTGGCTGGCTCTTACGATAGCAACTATCTATCAATTCCTCCACGACCTCTCTAGTGCCTGTTCCGGGTGGTCTTGGCCCAGTCACTTTAGGATCGCCTCCTTCCAGTCCGTTGGGTTATCCTTCTGTGGGGACGCTGTTGCGTAGGGCGACCGCCAAGGCCGACCTCTCCCCCGCCTGCCGCCTTGCGCGGGTCTCTTTGCGGCTTCTATTACTGCCAACCTTGCGTCTCTCGCACTCTCTGCCACCTTTCTTGTTTCAGTAATAACGTGTCTACCTGCCTCTCTGTACATTCAACCTTCAAATGCTGCTACCTTTATATCTAGGTATGCGTCCAGCAGGGGACAATTGGTCTCTATCTCCAATAAATATTGCGGCGTGGCTTTAAAGGCCCCTGCAACCACCTTTAAACACGCCGCTTGCGTAGTAAGCATCTTCCTTGCTAGTCCTTGTGCCTAATTGCCCTCCGATGGTGTATGCCACGCCGTCGCACCAAAGGCGATGGCGCTTCGTACCACTTTGGTGTATACCTCTCGGGCTCGCGCCGCACTACATTCCCACATGGAGGCCACTATCCTGGTGAGGCCAAAGATCTGGCGTTCCATCTTTGCCTTTATCTCTTTTAGGTGCCTGTTCCACCGCAACTTTCTGTCTAAGTATACTCCAAGGAACCTAGTTGACGGTACCGGCTTTACCAGAACCATCCTGTTTTAGACCGGATCCTGGATTTCTTCCTATTGCCGCATAAAATATATGACTTGTTTTTTCCCGCGTTGAACTGCATTCCGTGGCGAGCCGACCACCTGTCACATACCTGGTATGCCTTTTCAAGGACTTTATAATTCCTCTTGGCGTCCGGGTGGACCGCTAGCATGTTGGTATTATCAGCAAAGCCCATTACTATCATGGGCAAGCCTGCTGCTTCAAGCTCTTCATATAGTGTGGCAACATATAACAAGAAGAGGATGGGGGATGCTGGGGACCCTTAGGGGACTCCAGCACTCAATTCTCGGGCTGCTGACTCTTTTCTATTAAAAAGAAGCTTAGCTGATTATCTGTTAATATAGCTTTTTATTTATCTAATAATCCACATAGGGTATCCCTTTTTCTATAAAATGTGGCAGAGCCGCGTAAAGACGACGGCATCAAAGGCCCCCGTGATGTCCAGCTGCATTAGCGTTGCTACTGCGCCGTAGCTCCATCCTGTATGGACTGCTTTGACTACCATGCGGATCGCATGTTCTGTCAACCTGCTCTTACGGTTCTCTATTTGGCCCTAAGGAAAGAGCCCGTGTGTTCCCGCTGCCTCTATTATACGGTTACTGATAACCTTTTCTATGACTTTCCCTATGCAGCTAAGAAGCGCGATGGGCCAGTAGGCCCCTAGAAAGGCCTTTTCTTTTGGTGTCTTTCCGGCTTTCAATAATACTATTATTGATGCTATTTTGAACTGTTTCAGCCACTCGCATAGAATAAATGAGCATTCTGTGACCTCTGCCAGGGCCACTCTTAGCGGTTTGCTGCATGCTTTAAGAAATTCTGTTGGCAGAAAGTCCCAGCCCGGGGCCTTCTAGGGTTTCATCAAATCAAGAATTGCCTTAATGTCCTTCTCGTTCACCTTCCTACTTATGGCAAACTTCCCTTGAAAGGGGTCTAGTCCGGTGTCAAAATCTTCCGGAATATCGGACAGGTCCGCTGTTAGGGAAGGAAAGAATTTCCCTGATAAGATATCTACCTGCTCGTCAAACTTAGATGTCAGACCTCCCATGGAGCCGGGTTTCCTTAAGGGCAGGAGCGTTCCTGCCTCTCGTGGTTTGAAATCGTGCAGCTGTGCCGCCCTTTCAAGATCTCAAAGCTTCTTTTTATCTTTGGACGTTGCTGTTGTGAGGTAATGCCATGTTTTTGTCTGGGCTTTACTGATGGTCTGTTTCTGTACCCGCCTAGTCTTTGCTAGGCCTTCAAAGTCTCGATCTGACCGGGAGGATTAGTAACGTTTTCTTGTCGCTTTTGTATGTGCCATCGCACAGCCGATGTCCTCGTTCCACCACTTCTATTTGAACCCAGAATTAGGCTCTTTTTTCCTTGTGAAGGCGTCTGCAATGCCTTGGAGCCGCTCAAGCAGCTTGTTGATATACTCTTCCAGTTCCTTGATAGATCCGGCTCCCTCTTGAGGCGCAATCTTCAAGCCTTCGACTTGGACCGTTGTTTTGTTTATTGTCTTTCACGATCAATCTAGCGGGGCCCCGTTTCGTTTCGGTGTCTCGGTGTGAATTCGTACCATCTGCAGCAGGTGGTCTGAGCCCTCCCACTCCGGTGGGATCTTTAGCTCTGCCCTCAGGAGTGGGTGGGCCCAGATGAGGTTTATCGTGGAGTCCCTCTGATCATGCCCCATTCTTGTGGTCATTCCTCTTGGTGTCACTAGTTTTAGGTTCATCGCTTAAATAAGCATTAAAAGTTCCTCGGTCTCTGCACCTAGCGTGGTTCTTCTGTGTGTATCCCATATCGGGTGGTGGAGGTTAATATCGCCTGCTAAGACAACCTTGCCCTCCCACCTCTCGTTAGCAATTGCCTAGAACGGGGGTGCGCGGTTCCTGCTCAATACCGGCTCATTATATAGCGATATAATGTTTAAGACACCTTCCTATAAGCAGAACGTGACCGCTGTCCAATTATGCCCTGCGCGTGCCTGCCATGCCTCCGGGGCGAACTTCTTGTTGATGTACAACATTGCCCTGCCATGCCTCGAGTAGATCGGTATGTACTGCAGCTGGCCGGGCAGTGAATGGCATTCTCAGGGCCAATCCATGGCTCCTGGATTGCGATCACGTCCGCCAGTCCCTTTATCCCGTCCTTATCCTCCCCACCCTGGATTGCTAAGGCTACGTTCTGTTTCGAAGCTTCTGTGTTCCACTATGCCAGGTATACCGGCATTAAACGACTGGGTGCTCGGGTGTGTCAACGCTGTTACTCTCGGCCCTATCCTGGGTGCTTGAGATATCGATTGTCGGGATGTGTGACAGTCCGTTTGGTGCTGCTTTTCTTGCCACTGAAATGAAAAAGATTATGGTTTGCGAGGCGCTAACGTGTGTTGGCTGGCCTTTTTTTGGTGTACTTCCGTTCATGTGATGGTGGCCGCCCTGCTTCCTCTTCTGGACCACTGTGAAGCCATCCGCTCCTGTCCGGAGCATTGCTGGGTCTTTCTGGATCTCGAACTGCCGGGGTTGGTATTTGTATGCCTCCCGAGCCACCTCCTCTCACCCTATGTACACGCGGCACCTTTTATCCCACGCCATATGGTTTCTCTGTACAGTTCCTGTATTTAACTCTCTTCTGATCGGTGTTTGAAGGGCAGTTAACTTCCTCTCCTTTGTGTGGTGCTCCGGCATACCTATCATACCTCGGTTTATTTTGGCAGTATTTTGCCGGGTGTCTAAAGTTGTGGTACTTGTAGCATTGTTCGACTCGGACGTTCTTTGTGAACGGTTCGTAAGAATAGATTGCCACTTTCTATACCAATCCTTGCTCGCATAGCTTTTAGGTCTCCGTTATGTCATTTACCCGTAGTACTAACATTGTATGTCGGTGCTCCGGGTTTCTTGGGAAGATGGGATGCATTTTCCTGATCTTTGGTGCATATTGTTATATCTCTCCTAGAAGCTCTTCTGGCTTTGTGTGAGCTTTCCGCAAAATGTGGTGCAGAAGACCTTTTGTTATCATCGTGAATTCACAGCTCGACTGTTCTGCCATTGCCCTAAAGGCAACTCTAATCTACGCTGCTGTCCCTTCCTTATACTTGTTTGTTGTGTTAAGGAACGTAACCGCGACGTCCCCGCTGGGAAGTTGGCAGGCTGCTACCGCTTCTTGTACGCCAATCGCCATGTTTACCGCTTGTACCATTTTGATGGCTGTCCTTTTCGTCATCTCTCAGATGCTTTCAGAGTTTTGAATGATAACCTCCCGCTAGATCAGCCCCGGCACAAATACTTTTGGCGTGTTTGTCACTACGGGTCCACCTGCCGCGGCCATATTGGCCCAGGATTATGGTCTTATTGTCCCTGGTACTGCTTGGGGTGTCTTGGGCATAAATCGCCAAAATGTTGTTTTGATGGACCTGTTGAGTTCGTCTCGCATGATCGCTTTGGTGTTTCGGTTTCCTGTCGTAATTATTGCTGTATTTGCATTGGCCTTGGTGGCCTTTTGCGCCTATATGGCTGCATACCTATGGACTATCTGGATGACCTCCTCTAGCGCGCCCTCCTTCATTAGGTTAGCCAAATCTTTCTTTAACGTAGTTTGCTCCTCTGCTTCTCCACGCTGTGCCTCGCTCACTGCCGGTGCAGTTGTGTTGGTCGCGCTTCATCCGGCGTTGAGATGGTACGAATTCTGCTCAAGCCCTGCCCTTCCCTGATCAATGACCATTGGTTCATCCGCACCACTATCTTACGTCATTGCTTGGTGATCTTGAAAACCACGCTGCAAGGTAAATTCGGTAGGTAGGAATGCGAATCTTCAAATTATTTGATGTAATAGTGTGTTGTTGCAGAGTTATCCGTGTCGTTCCCCAAATCCTCACGTCTCAAGCCTGCTTGTATGTTTGCTCATCATCAATAAAAAGACTATATTTAAATGTAAATAAACGCTTGCCAAGAAAATTTATGTAATCATGAAAAAGCACTAATATAGCCTTTTTTAAAACTAATAATGGACTTAAAACCTAGCATTGCTTAAGCCCTTTATTGAGCTTTTACCCCGCCACCGCTTTTAACAGGTTAGCTTAATAAGCTGTAGCTATTATACTTAGTGTAATAATATGCGCTTAAAACGTTTTTAATTAAAGATAATGAATAACGCGTTATAATGATAATTGTAAGTACTTTATATTAAGTAAACAAACAGGGTTTAACTTACCCGTCAATATTTAAAAAGAGACTTAAAATTTATTAGTAGAAATTTAAATAAAAACATAGTTTTATAAGCCTTTATACTTATTATATGTTACGAACCAACGAACAGTGCGGCCTGATAGCAGGCCCAAAAGGGACGATTAGAAATAGGTTGAACAGTGAGTGGGGTGCTGATCAGTAGAGAGATCTGAGCAACGGAGCAACAGTACACAGATCGCGTGACCAGCAGGACCTGGGTCATGTGACTAAGAATTTGGATCACTGGATCACCATGGTGAGCCAGTGGGCAGGATCACCTTGGATCACCGGCGATCCAGAGTGAGCCACCTAATCAGTGAGAGAGAGATTGGATATATAAGGACAGACATTTCCCAGCTAGATAGATAGACAGTCTCTGCCTAAGTGATCAATCTAAGCATCTTAGCCAACCCTAAGGTGGGAGAAATCTCCTGACGACTCGACTATACAGTGAACCCAGTTCAGACCAAGCCCCAGTATCTGAGTGTCTTCTAGTTGACAGAAGCCTCTATCATCCTTTGTGTTGACTTACTTCAGAATATAAACCTTATAGAACCCATTAGCCTTATAGGTTAGACGGCTTGTCACATATCAGTAAAACTTATAACTTAAAAAAGATAAGTGTTTTAATCGAGACAATCATAAATTGTCATAAAAATGTTAAGATTTTAAAACGATATAATAATATAACAATATATTACGTTATATTATCAAAACCCATTTTCAATTAACTTATTATAATTTGCTTAAAGTGTTATTAATGAGGTAAAAGGTTTGCTAGCTTTTTTTTTTGAGCTTATAGAAAAAGTAAACGCGGTTTCGTAGTTTTAATAACTTTAAAGCCGCTATAATTATTAATTAAAGCTTTTAAAAAGTTAACTTATCATATATTAATGCGAGCTATATTTTTATAACAATATATCTATTTTATAAAGGATTGCTTTTATATAACTTAAAACCTAGTGTCAGGAATCCTGTATCGGTGCAGAATAAGGGTAGATTCCCTAGTTGCTTGCTTCTTCTGGCTATGGGTAAGAGGGCCTGATTTGGTACTAAATACACACTTAAACCACAAAGCAGGGCCTATCTTTAGAGCATTTAATAAAGCTCCTTCATTCAGCTGCTTCCATTGACCCCTTTGACCATCAAAGCCACCACAATTCTCATACCTAGTAAATTATAAGTGTAAGAAAGTATTCTTAAAGATATCTTATAATAAATCCTTATAATAAGGCAGGCCTACCGCCTTGTATTCGTTAATCGTATAACGCTACCGCTTTTAATTGCCGTTTTATTTAAATTTCTGATTATAAAAACGCAATAGTTTCTTTAATAGCGTTTTAACGGCTTTAATACTAAAAACCTTTACACCTAGCTAAATAATTATTCGTTTAAAATTTTAATAAATAGTCTTTATTATATCAACTTAACTTCCAAACTTTAAAATGTTAGCTTAATTAATATAAACTTAATTAGTTTAAGTTTATTTAACGCTATTATAATTAAACTCCGTTGAATCTTACAAGGCCTTTATAAAAACCAATGTCACGGCAAGCATACTGGGGAGCTGGGACATGGCCTGCAGCAAGTAGCTATTACTCTATTGACGAGAATATCAATACTAGAGAGAAAAGGAAGAGAGAGAGAGATAGGTACAGTGAGAGGTTGCCCCTTTAAGGGGATCCTCTGGTCAGATCCTTCCCCTATTGGGAAGTATCCGCTTGTCATGTGGGAAGGTCTGTGCAGGCCGTCACAACTCCCTAGGATCCTTGCTGAAGACCTTGAACGGAATCCATCCATGCTGAGATTCGCCTCTCATCGCCACTTGCAGGATTGGCTGTTTGAAAGTACCTATGAACATGTAGAGGGGCAAGACACATGCGTGCATTGCGATGCTTTGAGAGTACAAGTTCGTCCAAATTGACCGGATACCTACCCTTGTATCCACCATGGAGTTGTTGCTTCTGCCAACCGAGTTATGAAACATGCGGCAACCAGAGACGAAAAAGCCGAGCAATTCAATGCTATTTGTTTCGAGATAGAAGCGGCTGGATTGATGACCAACTTCCGCTGTCTAATTATCTGTGGAATTTGTGACTACTCGGATTCACTCAAGAACAAGCAGTGGCAACCTTACGCAGCAGTGGCGGCAGCAGCCTATGTTAAGCAATTACTTTCAGTCATATCTGCGAATAAGGTACTAACGATAAGAACGCCCTCTCCTGTTAGTAAGCATGCCTCTTCGCCATATACATCTTTCCACTTGACATGCATATAACTCAATCTTCGGTACAAGATCACTGAAAGGTTATCTTAGAGGCACTTAAGTTTAAGCAAATCGATTTGCGACAGTCAAGTATTAAGGCCGCTCATACCAAAACATGTAAGTGGCTGTTGGCGCACCCTACTTATCTGGATTGGACCGACCCGGACCAATTCGCTCAACATCATGGCTTCTTATGGATCAGCGGAAAGCCTGGGGCCGGGAAATTAACGTTAATGAAGTTCTCATACTTGCATACAAAGAAGAACACAAATAATGATGCTACTATCTCTTTCTTCTTCAATGCGAGAGGAGACGAGCTTGAAATATCAACGGCAGGAATGCAACGATCTCTTCTGGTTCAACTCGTAGAGAGGTTTTCGGATCTTCAAGTCGTGCTTGACGATCTGAAGGTCAGCCGTATCGGCAACATTGACGTGCTCCGGGACGCCTTCTCTATGGCAATATCTAGACTTGGTCAGCGTCGTTTAACTTGTTTTATTGATGCCCTCGATGAATGTGATTGGGACCAGGTCCAGGACATGATTACCTATTTTGAAGGTATCGGAGAGTACGCTCTTGGTCAGTGAATCAAATTTCTCGTCTGTTTTTCTAGCCGTCACTACCCCTATATTCACATCGAGAACGGCATCAAATTGACCCTCGAGGACCAGCCTGGCCATGGACACGATCTGGAGAAGTACGTGAGGAGCAAGCTACGAGTCGGGCCAAAGAAGCGCATCGAAGAGATTAGTGGCGAGGTATTACAGAAATCCTCTGGCGTGTTCATATGGGTGGTCTTGGTTGTGAACATCCTGAATGATGAGTTCAAACGAGGCCGTCTGTTCGCGGTTAAGAAGAGGCTAAAAGAAATACCTCCTAAACTGAACAACTTATTCAAGGGTATTCTGACCCGAGATAGTCATAACCTGGCCGATCTATTACTATGCGTCCAATGGATACTCTTTGCGAAACGACCGCTTCGGCTTGAGGAGTTTTATTTTGCGGCCGTGTCTGGATTGGATGCAAGCAGCCTGTCAAAATGGAATCCTGAAGAACCCACTGAAGAGGATATGAATCGATTCGTACTTAGTTCTTCCAAGGGCCTTGCCGAAGTCACCATGTCAAAAGCCAGAACTGTTCAATTCATCCACAAATCCGTCCGAGATTTTCTGCTTAAGGACAACGGTCTCCGTGGTCTATGGCCCGATCTTGGGGATAACTTCGAGAGTCTGTCCCACAATCGACTCAAGCAATGCTGCGAAGCTCACATCCAGCTGGACATATCTGGTCTGATACCTTCCGATCAAGAACTCCCGAAAGCATCTTCTTATGAAGCAAAAACTCTATGTGAACAACTATCAACCTCGTTTCCCTTCTTGACATACGCCACCCATCATGTGCTTTACCACGCCAACACCGCCGGCACTCGACTGCCACAGGGAGATTTCTTAAAAGCGTTTAATCTTCCAAACTGTGTGACGCTCAGCAATGCACTCGCAAGGTATAACACCCACCAATATGATCCAGCTATCCACATACTGTACATCCTGGCAAAAAACAATTTTTCAAGCCTGATAGCGACAAGCCTTGACCATAATCCAAAGACCCACATACAAGGGGGTCAATATAAGTTTCCATTCTTTGCTGCCATGGTCAATAGTCATCGAGATGCTGTAAAAGCGCTATTACGGCAACATCACTATTAGCCAGATCAGGACGATGTTTTCGTACAACTCGAGTACGAACCAGAGTTTAAGGCTATCACGGCTCAAACACCAGTTCATTGGGCACTCGCGAAAGGTCATCAAAACCTTGCTTGGCTTTTGATCATATCTAATAACTGCGACTTGGAGGCCAAAGACAGCTACGGCCTGACGCTGCTGTCGTGCGCCGCCGCGTACGCCCATGTGGATGTTGTCAAGCAGTTACTCGAGAAGGGCGCCGACTACGAGGCCAAAGACAGTCGCAACGGCCGGACGCCGCTGTCGTGGGCCGCCACGTACGGTCACGTGGATGTTGTCAAGCAGCTGCTCGAGAAAGGCGCCGACTACGAGGCTAGAGACAGCTACGGCCGGACGCCGCTGTCGTATGCCGGCCACGTAGATGTTGTCAAGCAGCTGGAGAAGGGCGGCGAGTGCAAGACCAGAGACAAGGGCGGCCAGACGCCGCTGTCGCAGGTCGTTGCAGACGGGCGCGGGAACGTCGTGATAATGCAAAAGTTCAATAGTTGTTCTTAAGATAATCATTATTCTTTCTCAAGAAGACTCGCTGGTACATAAGACCACTGATCTTCTCGTTTTAAGCTAAGTATCTAAAGCTTACTCGCCTATGTCAGTATTGTTTGCAACAGTTCATACATTACCATCATTACCATTAGTTTGCCAATGTGTCTAAAGCACCTTGCCGTTTTGTTTCATTCTGTGCAAAATAAAAGTGTACACCAGTTATGCCCCTCGATGGTCAACGCCTCCATCCATCCACCCATCTATCCATCAGGGCATTTCACCTGCACATTCACAACAATACAGGCACCGGGCAGTCCAACCAAAGCGGGCAGTCAGCTCCTTATCTCTAGAGACACGCAGCACACCGGGTAGTCCATCCAGGGCGAGAAGCACAGAGTCGGCACCACGCGGCGAGAACAGGAAGCAGCACTTGAAGTAGGTAGCGTAGCTGGTCGCCAGACAGCGATAATTTTCTATCGTTCCTCTGAACCTACCAGGTCCGACGCTCGAGACCGGCGAGGCAACATTTAACTCGTGTAGCCCAGCCCACTTGATCTAGACGACGTGCTGCAGCAAGTGCCATGATGGTATCCAGTGTGACAATCAGGCCTGCAGCTGCGCTGGTCAGGGCTGATGGGTTGAAATATCTAGATTCAACGATATCTAAGGAAGAAGAGGCAATGTCAGAAGAGAAAGGGGAAGCTAGGGATATATATGTACATAAATATGTGGAGGTATTATGTAATACCGTAACATCCAGGCCTTTATTCTGTTTCTTGACAACCAGCAGCAACTTGGCCAAAACCGTGGGACGAGCGTTAGTGTAGAGGCCGTTACGAAACACAGCCGAAGCAACTTGAATGGCTTCTAAGGTGTCGTCAACTGAGAGACTCACAATCGTGGACTCGTTCGTCCCAGGGGCCGACACGATGGTCGTGATCGAAATACAGGAAGAAGCCATTGCTAATACTGCCTCCCGCAATCTCAATTCGGCGGTAACACTGAACGAAGGCGCAACATCGAGCTTGTTGTACAGATCGAAGGTCTGTAACTGTTGGGGCTGGAATCCAATTAGCCACGAGTAGCTGCCAGCGGATGTCACGACATATTAAAAGGGCCTCCAGGAACAAACTAGTCTAGAGCTTGTTCTGTTCCGCGTAATCCACCCAGACGAATTGGCTGGCGAGGATATGATCCTTCGCACATCCAGGGCAGCGAGCCAATGCTGTAACCTTGACTTGCACAACTCGGTAATTCGCGAAGCTCATGATGGAGTGTGTGCGGTACTGGATCGGTGTGGAAGGCGGCGCTGAATCGGTGCGGGTGACAGTGTAGGTTGCTGGTAGCTTGTCAGTATTACCATCCGACCCCCCGAACCGGCACACCCCCCCAACCGGCACAGCCAAACCCCACAATCACCACCAAAAGTCCCCTTACTCACTTACACGGATTACAGCCCCTTTTGAGGGTATCTAGACTTTCTTTAGATGGTTAAATAGCCCTTTTCTTGGTGTTTAGCGGAATATAGATTATTTAATTGCTGGGCCATCGGCATCGGCATTTAGCAGCCTCCGTGCCCCGCCCTTAAATACAAATTTGCTGTAGAATTCTTTCTGTGAGCCCCTGTCCCTCATGCACCACAGCATCCTGAAGCCAGCCACGATGCCTCCGCCCACGTATACAGAGGATGATGTGGTGGATGCCTACCTAGACGTCACAGATAATGGCATGTCTGTGAGAAAATCCAGCCAAAAATACGGCGTCCCGGCCAGCACGCTGTCAGCACGCATAAGGGGGAGAGGGACTAAAACAGAGGCTCACACCACCGAGCAGAGAATTTCTCCCGAGCAAGAAAGCAAGGTAGCAGCCTGGATATTGTGCCAGGAGACTTTGGGGCTTGCCCCTTCTCACTCAGCAGTCAGGGAAATTGTGGTAGAACTCCTAAAAAGAAAGGGGGATTTTGCACCACTTGGGAACCACTATATGGACAGCTTTAAACGACGCAACCCTACCATTCAGACTAAAATCGGCAAGCGAATGGAATCCGCTCGGTTTAAGGGGTTTACCCCTAAGTCTGTGAACTGGTTCTTCAACATCTTGGAGGACTACGGCTGGGTGAAGCCAGAAAATACGTACAATGTCGATAAGGGCGGCATCATGTCGGGTTTTGGTAACTCTTTCGAGCCCCCTACCCTCATAGTTAACTAACTACCCTTATAGGCATCGATTCCCTAGTTCTGGGAAGTTCTGAGACGAGGAAAGCTTTCCTAAAGAGCCCCCAGAGCCGCTCGTGGACATCTTTCATCGAGACCATTTCAGCTACCGGTAGAGTACTCAAACCAGGCTTGATTTTCAAGGGAAAAGATCTTCAAGTGCAGTGGTTCCTCAAGGAATTCCAGAAGATAGCCGACTGGTACTATATAACGTCGGAAAACGGCTGGACCAGTAACGATATCGCCTGCCAGTGGCTTGAGCACGTTTTCATACCACAAGTAGATGAAATTCGTGGCCAGGAGCAGTGGGAACCAGTTCTTTTGATCCTAGATGGCTATGGTAGCCATACCTCCGTAGGTACACCAATTTTTTCTATTTTATTTACTGGTTATTTAATTTATTCCGATTTAAACAGCAACTGACTGTAGAAAGAACGAATTTATGATGCGGTGTTATTTTGCCAACATCTTGCTATGCTTTTTCCCAGCACATACCAGCCATGGAATGCAACCACTGGATAACGGCCCTTATAACGCCCTCAAGTCCTACTACCAGAGATTCCTCACCCAGTTAAATTCTCTGACTGATTCCTCTCCTGTTAACAAGATCAACTTTATCCGCTGTTATAGCAAGGCAAGGGACATGGCGTTTACGTCAAAAAACATCCGTTCGGGCTTCTGAGTAACGGGGTGCTACCCAATTAGCCGCAAAAAGTGTCTAGACCATCCAGAAATCCAAGAAGACAAGCGGAATACCCCCGAGCCGGAAGAACAGGAAGACTCGGAGCCAGAGGACCAACAGACCCCTACCACGAGCCGGCAAATCCGGGATTTCGGGAAGAACCGATCCCCAGCCACTCGGCTGAAGTTCCGGAAGATCTCCCATGCCTTTGAGAACCAGGAGACGGAGCTGGCCATAAAAGACCAGAAGATCAGGGCCCTGGAGGCTGAACTGGAGCGGCTACGGCCCAAGAAGAGGAAAAAGATACTAAATCCCAACAAAAAGTTCATGACAATGGTAGAAATACTAGCCCAGGGTGGTAATCCGTTAGTTCCGGTTGCTGTAGAGTCTTCTTCTTCTTCTTCAGAGTCGGAGGTTGTTGAAGACGGGGTGGAGGAGGACGAGGAGGTTGCGGACGCTGAGGAGGCTGTAGAAGCCCCTGTTGCAGAAGCCCAGATGACTAGATCTGGGCGGTCAATCCGGGCGCCGGCTAGATACGTCGATTGAGCAGCCAAAACACCACAGAATGATAATTTTGCTGATTTTTTCGACCCTATACAGCCTCAAATGCGTGTAAGTGAGTAGGGGGGTCTTTTGGTGGTGGTGGCGGGGTTTGGCTGTGCCGGTAGTGGGGGTGTGCCGGTTCGGGGGGGTCGGATGGTACATATGGGTGAAGGCATGTGAGGAGACGTAATCCAGCGTACCTGACAGACTGGAGGAAAGGTATACCCATGCCACGCCCCACTTTATTCAGGATTCGCCCGGGCTCACCAGCTAAAGCTGGTGCTGGACACCAAAACACCCAGATCACCAAAACACCCAGTTTTTCGATCTATCTAACTAGAAACGCCTCAACCACCTGCAACTGTGGCCAGATTCGTAGATTTCCGCCGGTACCAGTCTCCCAGAAAGCCTCTGTTTGCATGACTCCTTTGCTGCTTCGGAAAAACAGCGTTTCGCAGCATTGCGAGCCCTTAGATCTGCTGCTTCAACCATCTTCCCCGCCTTGACTATCTGGTCTTTTTCCTTCTGCTGGACCATCCGCCGGCCATCAGCTACTGTCAACACCCCTCCTGACTTCAATGGAGTATTCTTGGTAGCCCAGCGTTGTTTTTGAACGCGCTCAGCATATTTAGTCTTCCCCAGGTCTCTTTTAGTCTGTACTAGTTCTGTGACACTTATTAAAGACCCTTTAATAAAGCGGTTAATATTAGCAGCAAATGCAGGATCAAGACTTTCGTCGCTTTTCAGCGCTGTGTCTAGCTTATCAGCCACCTTGTTGATCTGGCCCAAGGTCATTGGCGTGCTAAGTGGCGAGGAACCTGCCAAGGTAGGGGGAGTAGGTGTCCTTTTTGGCTGTCGTTCTTCTAGGCTTTGAAGCACCGGCAGCGTGTTATATGGCCAGATACCAGTCTTCTGGAAGGCAGAGAGAATCGTACTAGACTTAAATGCTTGCTGGCGGACCTGCTGAATACAGCTAAGGAACTCAAGCTTCGTGATGTTCACCAGACCATCAAGGACCATTAAGTCCAGTGCCTTTGCGTGATAATGCTTCAGTGGCTGGAAGACTACCACGTCTAGCGGCTGCAGCAAGTGCGTCAGGTTTGGAGGCATGCTAAAAGGGATGATGCCGTGATCTTCGCAATATTGAATAAATTCAATCGTATGGTGTGAACCATGGCCATCTAGAATAAGGAGCCGTTTCGTCCTAATGGCCTTTGTCGCTGTGTATTTTTAAATGCTTTAGCCATTCCAAGCTGATTTGATCGTTTGAATAGCCGCTAGAAGAAGGGATAATAGCTGTATCTCCATGTAGTTCAGGTTGTTGATACCATCGGGCCATATGGTGCTGGCCTGCCAGAATCAAAAAGGCTGGTATGTATTCTCCACCCGGAGAGATGGCTTCAATAGTAGTAGCAGATTCCCTATTTTTAGGGGTGCTGAAATAGTGGGCTCTCTTTCGTTTGGTGACGATAAGCTGGTTCTTTCCAACACCTATGCGAAAGCCAGTCTCGTCCATGTTTCAGATATCTTTGGGAGGGATACCCTCTGCTTTGCATGTCTCTTTGAGCTTCTGG